GATTATCATATATCTCTATTTCCTAAAATAAATAATATATAATAATAAAATTTGAATTAATTTCTTTACCTTTATTCTAATCTTTTTAAATAAAAGCTTTTTACTAAATCATTTTTATTACCTTAAAGAATTTAATTGATATTATATATTAAATAATTTCTTTAATAAATTCAATTATCTCTTTTATTTGATATATATTATTAATTATTCCAAAGCATTCCTATAATATATAATAAAATAATAATATAACTTTTATACTAAATATTTAAGATAATAAAGAATATATTTAATAATATTTGAGTAAATCTCTTTTCTATTTCTTTTATTTTAAATTTAGAAAATTAGCTTATATATAATAAAAACTAATTTCACTAAAAAAAAGCTTAAAATAAATATAAATTATAGTATCCTGAATTATTATAAATATATAAAATCATAAAATTAATTCAAACATTTATTCTCTATATTTATAAAGATTAATAAACTTGGATTACTAGACTTTAATAGCTTATATATAGACTATTATAAATTAATTACCATATACTAACTTGAAATTGATAGTATAATCAAATAATATGGATTCACTAAGTTCTAAAGGAGCTAATTATATTTTGAAGATATTATTATAAACTTCGTAAATCCTATCTATAGTTCCCTCATTTGTATAAATATTACTAAGCTATTAATACTTTATTTTATTAATAGGAATATATTTTATATAAAATATTTTAAGGTATAGATTAGTTTTCTGAAATATTAATTAAATAGTATTTTCTAATATATATTTAAATGTATTATATATAAAATAAATACTTATTTAATAAAAAAATAAATCTATTATAAGATCAATAGAATTAAGAATATTTCAAAAGTTTATAGGAATTATGGGATTGTGTATAGCTTATTTGAACCCTAAAGATGAAAGCTTTGAACAAAGAACAAATATAGTTATAATCAAATTCTTTATATCTTTGATATAACTAAAACTTTTATTTCTTTTAATCTCCTTAAAGTTAAAATTATCATAAATAATCATTATTTATAAGTAATTTCTTTATACTTTGATTTCCTTTTTAACTACAAAAACTATATATTTCATTTGATTATTATAATAATTATAACTATTACAAATTCCAAGACCAAAAAATACTTAAATATAACAATATTTGACTCCACAATTCATTAAATAGAAATTAAGTATATTATATAAATAATTTAATTAATATTTGAATCAAATATATGCTACTATACTAATAATTATATAGATTTATTGACCTTAGTTTTCCGTATTTGGTTCACTTAGATAATTAGAATAATAAAAATATTCGTTAATAATAAAAGTTGTAAGAATAAAAGACTAAATTAAAGCTTTTTTTTCTATTAATTAATTAATATTAAAAAGATTAATATTACAAAATTTATTTAAAAGAATATTTATATCAAAAGTTTGAAGTTTTGATTTAATAAGAAAAACAATGAATTCTTATTTTAATATATTTTTAAGATATTTTATGAAGATATTCTTATATATTGTACTTTCAATAAATATATAATTTAAAGCCTTTTTAAGCTTTAATTATTATATTTCAAAAATACCATTAATTTTATTATATATATTATTAAAAGCTCAACTTATTATAAACTTATTAAATAATATTTCCTTCTAGTTTATTATATTTAAAATATATTGAAATTTGAATTGAGATATTCTATTAATAGAAGTATTAGAAGTTTCAGGCTCAGAAACAATAGTTGAAAACCTAGGTGATGGACTAGATAGCCATAATGATGGTGGGCTGGATGGTAGTAATATACTAAATAGGCTTATTAGAGTATCAATTATCAAAATATTAATTATCTTAATTATTGTAAAAAAAGGTATAAACACTTACAAATTAATAAAAGATAATAGAAGTTAATAGAAATTAAAAAGAATTAAAAGAAATTAATAGAAATTATTAGAAAAAAGTAGAAAGAGATAGGAATTGATAAGAGTTAATAAGAATTAATAGAAGATATCTATTTCGAAATTTATTATAACTTTTTCTATTATATTTTAATAATAATAATCCAAATATTATTAATAATATTTAAATTTAGTTAATTAATATATTATTACTATACAGTTTTATAAAATACTAGAAAATCAAGGTTTTCAAATCATATATTTACTTTTTAAATAAATTGAATTTAAAGGATACAAATATACTTTTAAAGTTCTTTTATTAAAGGTTTCCAGTTCCTTATTAAAAATACAACTAAATATTCTCAAACTTTCAAAGAGATAAATGTTCCCCCCGATCCCTGATTGACTGAAAAAAATTCGATTATTAATAAGCCACAATATCATTATGAAAAGGATCAAGATATTATTTAGAATTCTAATTAAAAACGTTTTATCGACGAAGAGATTCTGAATATTGAGATAATCGCTTAGATAATTCCGAAAAGGAGAGCCTGGTTCACATGATACTACAGTGTCACATGATGTGGCTTTTCCGGATTATCTCTCAACCGAAAATGTAATTTCATGTGTTCCACCAATTCAAGAATAACACACAGCAGCCATCAGTATCATTAGCCACCATGTTGTGATAGGGTGATAGGCGCTCTTGTAGCACATCACGGAATTGAAAAGTTTGCATCTCCACATCTTTTGAACACGTCCATATGCTTGGGCGTACCGCTCTCGAGATATCATTCCAGGAAACGGGACAAACTTCTATCGAAAGATCATTCTTCATACCATCCAATGTATTCCATATCATGTGAATCAGAATTGACGGGTCTGGGAAGGAATTTTCGTTGGCGTTTCACGGTGTCCAAACCTGACACATCGATTTCTGTCATTTTATTTGCGCTATTTGTCGTCATTGCTATCTTGTTTATCATAGGGAAGCTTTGAAAGTTTGAAGTTTTATCAAGAATTCATTGTTTGTAATTATAGATCGACCAGCCAGGGGTTCGATTGAATGTTTCGAAGTTACATGTCCGTGATGAATTTATCAATCTCCGCCCGAAATACTCGGGACATTCATGTCTTTACTATCTTCTTTGTTCTTGTGACTATTTCCTTGAAAAATTTTACTCATTCCATCGGCCATCGTTGTCATAATGACAGGATCCCTTTTGTATCAAGTCTGCCAGTTCACATACTCGTTACTCGTCGTTAGGATCCTGATGCCGCCGTTATCAATTCCTCGACATCCTCCAGCTGTCAACTTCAACTAGGCCTAAACAGCAGAACTCACTGGGAACCTCGCGATACCATCTTCATGAAACCTGTCTGCTCCAAAAGCTCTAGTAAGCCTCTTGGGAGAAATCATACACGACTGCAACAGACCCCCACAAAATCTTGACTACTCTCAAGACACTATCCTAACGCGAAGATCTCTTCTAGCTGAGATTTGTCTCTAAAACAACGAATTCTATCTATATTAGACTGCGGATGGTGTGCGAAAGATTCTGTCATACGAATTTCTGGATGAATTCTGGAGACATAGCAAAATGGAAGATCTCACATAGATCTTGGCTTGATTTGTCCAATCCGACTACTACTGGTTCAACAAGTAATTACTTCCTAGAATACCTCCTTTAAAGTCGTATGTCTGACTATTTCGGATGCAGAAACGACTTCTTCAAAACCTGGCTAGACGTTAAGGGGAACATCACAATGAGAAGTGATACGAGGTGGACACAGAGCTTCCGAACTGACCCCTTAACTCGAACACCTCACGCCTCTCTTTTCCCCCGACAACATTATTTCAACAAGCAGAATTGACATACCTTCCAGCCTAGCTTCAAACTCAAAGCCTACAAATATTTAACCCTGTTTTCAACATCATAACCATCAACATACCTCACAAAAGCGCCGCATTCTTCTACTGCTCCTACGCTTTATCCTGTCAAAACACGACTAACTCTCTTCCCACGGCTTCTCGAGGCTCTCAGAACATATCCACAGAAGCTGGCATTCATTCATTCCAGGAGCAATTGCCAATAGAACAGCATCTGCGAAGCATTCCACGATATCATTGTCCCCGTCTTCTACCAAGTAGATCCATGCTTCACATGCAAACACATGTGAAGAAACGTAGTTATTGTTCCGCAGGGCGGATGCAGCGATAAGTCTACAGCCGGATATAGTGTTATATTACAGGGGCACGGTAACCTTGACACGACTATAAACAAGACTGGATCAATGGAGCACAATACGCATGGCACGCTTGGAGCGCGACTTGAAGGAGTAAAAAGAGATTCGATGAACAAATCGAGGATTTGGCAGTGGAATACCGCACGACGCACCTGGAACTCAAGACACAAGACTATCATGTTTCTAGGATAGCGCTACCATCAATCATCACGCCTTCGGCAATGCTACTATTTTAGAAGCCCTGAATCTCAATTATACGAATCCACAGACTGGAGATTTGTTCTCTCTAGGTATCTTACCTTCATACCATGCTTTCCCAATATATTCGCTTGATTCCTGTGATTTTCACTCATGAGTTTGATCGTCATTCTCTACTTGGGGTTTTGTTTCGCGTGTATGCTTCACCAGCAGTAAACATTTGCTCGGAGTGGTTTAGGTACATACGATGAAAAATAAATAGCGGGATTATTAAACTTAAATTCTTTCTCGTTCGTAGACAGTTGATTAGCGAGAGTTCAATTAGCTACCTAAGGAGTTAGATCACCATGAGCACCCAGTCAAACATAACCTGCCACTCATTCTTCGACGCTTTTTGTGTCTGTCTGTTTGTCTATCTATGCATAAGCTTTTCATTAATTTCCTCACCGAGGACGATATATATAGACATAGGATTTTAAATCCCGTGAGAAAGATAGCAACGCCCAACGCCACGCTCAAACACAAACCCGAACCCATGATTCCCGTTTCCATGTATGCAAGCTTCCCACCACAGTGCACAGTCGTACAGGTTTCCCATTCTGATAAACACACTCCACACCCATAAACATAACCACAACCACAACTAAACCTACTTAACTCTTGCCATGATCGTCTCCCCCCCTCTCTCCAAGTCTCCCATAACATTCCCCCACCTCTCCTTCACACCCTTAAGCATACTCCTATCAAAATCGTCTCTCGCTCTCAACACCGCCTCCACCCAGCCAAGCTGCAAATCCCAATATTCTCTCTTGAACCCCTCCACCACATCCTGCACCGCTCCCTTCTCACACTCTAGAATCTCGAGGAAACTTTGCGTTACCGCCCATTTACCTACGATGATATTCCTTACGTCTTCCGTGAGATATGTATTACTGTTGAAGAATTCAAAGGCTGTTGAGACATCATTGAAGATTTTGTCTTTGAATGGATCCGCCCTCTTGAACTTTGCACCTTTATTGCGGACGCAGCCGAGGTATTGAATGAGGAGTTCGATGGCGAGTTCTTCGATAAAGATATCTAGTAGGGACTGATGAAGGACATTCTTATAATCATTGATATATTCTTCAAATGTGACAATCATTTGCTTCATAGCTGTATTTGTATACCATTTTGGTGTGAAGAAATCCGGCATGACGGTTTTGAAATCGACGGCGAAGATCAAGGTTGCGAATTTAGATATGCAATGGGTACTTAGATCAACATATCCATCGTTTAGACTAGTAATCTCGACGTCTACTCGTTCGAGGTATGTAGTCGAAACGAGCGGTTCGAATTTTTGTCTAAAGCTTGTAAGGTATCCGAATCGTCCCTCATCTTCATTATCATCAATACAAGCGATTTGATCGTTAGCAGTAGCAACAAGCCAATCCTGTAAAGCTTGGAAACCCTCCAGTTCAGTAGTTGCATTGAAGTATTTCGCGGCTTCAATATCGAGCATCTCTTGCCATGTTTGTTGACGAGTCTTCAAACGCACGATCATGATATCAACCACCCCTTCAACGATATCCATTCTTTGACTAGCACCCGCAGCATCGATTTGTTCACGTAACATACGCCACATATCGACCAAGTTCTTCGTTCGAAAGTATCCATATTCATCCTGATCCAAATTCGAACCATCCACGTTCCTCCCATCGAAATCTTTCTTTTCTGTTGCGAAAATCCGATCAAGCCATTCATCCAAGTACTTGATAATGATCTGTTCGAAATTCCTGATCATTTCCTGTTCTCTTCCGTCTATAACATGCGGCTTCAATTCGTCCTTCTTAAACCCCAGCTTATTCATTTTCGTATAGTACTTTTCCGGCCAGTTCAATATCGCCAAATTATTCGCCTGGGTCGTCTCTTTATCGTCGATCATATCAATGAGAAAATCATGCATCAACTGATGGTAAATATTCCCGTATGTCTTGAGGATTTTCCATTTCTTGGGCATCAATGGTACCATTCCCTGTTTGACCGCATTCAAATCGTTGAAGAACCATCTCAAACCCTTCTCCAATTTCGAGGGGTCCTCCAGAAATGTCTGTTTGGTTCCTTCAATGTCCGCTTCGGCCTTAAGCTTAATAGCCATCAAAAACTTCTCTTTATACCCTCTCGTACTCTTCGCCCCATCCGTGATACTCTTAAATCTCGCCGCCATCTCCTTATGATCCTTCAACGCCTCCTGCAGTGCCATAACCCTCTTGTCACTCTTCTCCTCAGCCTCAATAACCACCGCCAATCTCACCACTAAGCTGCTATTTCCCTGCACAACCACTTCTATCAGATTCATAGCCACCTTCCCAATATGTTCGTCAAACCAATCAATCGTATCATCCAGCCTCGCAAAGTAATCCTCCAACGTGCCCTGCAATCCCGCATCATCAGCCCTCAATATCTGCTCCATAGCATCATCCCTAATATTCCTCAACTGCGTCAATTCATAATGAATCGCGAGCAAATTCCCCATATTATCTTCATCCGCATCATCCTCTCTCAAAAGCCCCTCCACCTTCGTTAACCTCTCATTGAAATCCACCAAATTCCTACGCATTGTTTCTACCGCCATGAAATTCCTATGCGTCTGGCTCACCAGATTAATGTTTGGAAAATCCTTAATCATATTCTGCGCCTCGGCGCATAGCTTATCAATCTTCATCATCTCATCTTTGATCAACTGAACCGTTCGTTGGCCATCGGTAATCCCATGCATACCCGCCTGAGTAACTTCGAGTTGTTCTTTCAGACCAGAACGCAGTTGCGAATCGACAGCGGATTTCTTGCGCGTGTATTCGAGCTTTAGGGCAGGAATTTTGTCGAGGTCGTCGGGATGGTGGAGGAGATCGGAGAGCTTGATGGAGGAGACATCCATGGTCATTTTTGCGGTGGTTTGGGAGCTACAGGAGCTCGAGAAAGAGGGGAGTAGGGGTTATGCGCGCAGATCTTATTCGAGGCCAGGTAGAAAAGTATAGCTCTCGCAGAGCTTTATTAGCAATTTTAAATTCCCAGGAAATGATTCATAGAGATCGAATCAAAAATATGTGAAATCAAAAGATAGTTCAATGGTGTATGAGGCATTACGTGCATAATCCCAAAACGAGGACTAGCGTGGCATGTAACGGTGGAAAGAATTCCCGACTCCCGAGAATCCTGGTTTGATATTTACGATTTATTTCTCTCAATTGAACTTTCGATGTACTGGCAACGGCGACATTTATAGTGCGGGACAAGCCATTGAATTCTGTGCTGATATTTACAAGGTGTGTTATCTAATTTAGTTCTTGATGCTTTTATGCGCACTACGATTTACAATTTCTACTCCTCGCTTTCACTTCCTTTCCCTCATTTCAGAACAACCCCTCTAACCTCTTTCACAGACACCCAAAACAACCACAACTACATACCCACCACCCACAATGTCCACCACTACCGCGGCCCCTCTCGCCCGCGCCATCCGTTCATCCAAACCTCTCCCCTCTACTCTCCACCAAATCAGCAAAAATGCACCCAAAGCCATCTCCCAAACCTCTCCATCTACCACTCCCTCCTCTTCATCCCCAACCAAAGTCTTCCACCAAAAGCCCTGGCAGAAATCTCCTCCTCCCAAACCAACATCCTATTTCCGCATTACTCTCACCCGATCTGCTATTGGACTCCCGAAGAAATCCTCGCGTGTATTGAAGTTCTTGGGATTGCATAAAAGAACGAGTAGTGTGTATCATCCTGTTTCTTCCGATATTGCAGGACAGATTATGAAGGTCAAAGAATTGGTTGAGGTAGAGGAGACAAAGGAGAGGAGGAGTAAGAGGCAAGAGAGGGAGAGCAGGAGGCCGGAGAGTGGGTTTGTTGTTGAGAAGGAGTTGGAAACGAGTGCGGTTTGAGGGGTTAGGGCAGAGGGAGGAGGGATGGAGTGCATGGGACTAGGAGTAGAGATAGCATGAAAGAGAATACAAAGGTAGATTAGAATGGAGGGCTGGGTGGAGACACTGGGAATCAATAGGGCGATACCATGTATAAATCTGTACATTCGATTTGGGGATGGGACATAGGTGGTCTGCATTATATGTGCGATTAAGTTTGGAATAATTTCCAATGCGTACGAGCAACCAGGGAGACTTTCAATGCAGAATAGATACGCATTACTCGCGATGACAAGCAGTCAAACTCAGCCCCGTCCACTCTCTCCCTTCTACGATAGACAGCTACATCAATCGTCCTCCACCCTCTACCCTCCACCTTTTCCCTCCCTGTAACTGACCTCACATTACCTGCCCAGTATCACCCTCACACACTTCGCTCAAGCCGCTCTCACATAGCTGGAGTTCTGGGTCTTTCTGTACACAAGACATACGCATGTACTATAAAAGCATATTTAGCTATTTGCCAAACAAAAAGCATATAAGGGTGGTGAGGATGTGAAATCGCACCTAAAATCTGAGAACTTCAATTCCAATATCAGTATCCTACAAATTTCAGATGAAATTCTCACATGTACCCTGGAATTGTGGACCGCTTTGTCTTCATCTTGAGTAAATTCGACATGCATATCACTGAGAGGATTTGCATGCACTGATTGATGTCCATACATCTGCAGGGCAAGTTCAAACACAACTAAAAAAGGCTGAGATGAGAAGTCATGTAATCTGTAATCCGTCATCGCAATGCTAAACTACCAGCTCAAGACCAAAGCCAAGGGTTGAACCCAACATAATCGAATATCTGCCATGCCAACAATACCGCCCATTAGAATCTACCATGATCCATCCATCAATCCATTTAAATCAGATTCCTTCACATGCTGCTCTCTTAATCTATCTAACTGTCCTGCCGCGCCAGATGCCGGTTCGTCAAAAACTTCCCTTCCCATTGCTATTGCAGAAACAAATAGCAGTGAAAGCAGAAACCTGCTAAACAATTTCCTTTCCTTCCCCAGATGCAACTTTCGATTGAATCTTCCCTTGATTCACTGTAACACAAGATTTATTTCTTCCCCTGAAAACAAAAGCCAGAAAAACAGCAAGCGCCATTCTCCATTCCATGCTATTATACATCTCCATATCCACCTATCCATTCACTTTTGCATGTTTGCACCTTTCCATCTCCCATGCTAAACATTACTCTCTAATTGGGGTTTCGAGCCTTGTCAACATATTCTGCGCCAGGTGTCTCGTATTCAGTGACAAAGTAATCTTTAGCATTCTTGCCGATCCAGTTGGTCAACTTGCTAAGTTCCTCTCGAAGACGATTAACAGATTGTAAATCCATATTGGTTTGAGCAATGAGTTCAGGCAGAGTGACTATATATCATCAGTGATGTATTTTTAAGGAATGAATGTCAGTCTTACCCAAAAGACGGCATAAGTGCTCAGCACCATAGGTATCACATGCAGAGCTATGTGGATATGAGTCATCATCCCATAATTCACGGAAGTCCATGTGCTGTTGACGTTCAAATCTATGTGTAATCGGTTAGAGACAAGTAGAGGTATCCTCAGAATGAACATACCTGTACAGAAGAATGCGAGGAAGGCATCTCTCGAAATACTCCTTCAAACCAGCGACAATCTCTTCCAGGATGTCCGCCTGGGCACTGCCAACAGGTCTTTTTGGTTTCTCAAATTCGAGCCAATCATTCAAGATTTGATCGACAGATTTATGGTGGGGTAATGGTACAAGTTGTTGATTCTTAGTGACATTCTCCCAGTCATCAACAAGAATTGCTTTGATATGATCGGGGATGACGAGGTTGATGGATGGTCGATTATGAAAGTTTTCCTCCTGTATATAGTTAAAATCACGTCTTTCCATGACAATATTTGAGTTCAAAATGCGTGGTAACATCTTGGTGGTTTTGATAAGACGTTCTCCTCTGACTTCAGAGGCACTTTTCGTTTCTTTTTCAAATTTCACTTTCTTCTCAATTTCTGCGCTAGCAGCTGTGCCATTGTTTTCTGGAGAAGCCTTTTGAGCGGTCTTTGAGACAGCCTTTCCAGCAGTCTTCTTCAGAGCAGATTTATCTAATCCATTATTAAGAATGAGCCTAGATTTCTTTGGGGGAGGCTTCATGATCTCTTCTATACGCTCTTCGCTGTATGATAGAGGAAAAAGTCTCTTTCGTTTTAGTTGTGGGGGAGGTAATTGATTTTCATCAAATAATCGACCAGCGATAGGATTGATTTGACCAGGCTCGTAATCTGCATACCACTGCCGCAAAGGTTTGGTGTCGGTACCCTTTTTGATGTGAGCTTGAAGCTTAGGATGAACTGGAGCCGCTTTCTCTTTTGGTTTGTAGACGTAGTTAGATTTATCTGGTCGATATGTTTCAGAATTTCGAATGGAGTTGTTGGAGATGAATTGGAAATCTTTGGGTGGTCTTGCATCCAGATTTGTTTTTGGGACCATGGAGTCGTTTTTGAGAAATTTATCAACATTCCAATGCTCGCTCTTAGGATTGGCCCAATCTGGGTTCTTTCCATTCATTATTGGCTTTGGTTTGGTAACCATTAAGTTGCCAGAATCAATGACTGAGCAATCATATGGTTGTGCTGGACATTTTTCTCTCGCACTTCTCCGTACATTAACTGGTGGTGCAGCCAAATTATTGACTGCCTTTACAACTGCCTTTGCGACCGCCTTGACCCTGGTCTTTGCCTGGGTCTTCTCTTTTACCTAAACAGTCATGAGTGATTGAATTATTGAAGGAGTGGAGGGCGACTTACATTGGTCACTTGCGGCTTCTGGATTTTATTTTGAGAGGATGAGATGCCGATTTTCTTCGCAAGACGAGTCGCACGAGCTTTAATAGCTGGTAGTATAGGAGGACCCATCTTTAAAGAGTTCTCGAGAGAGGTTTGAAGTAATATTTGAAGGATGATCTTGATGACTTTGTTGTTGTGATTGATTGAAGTTTGAGAAATTGAATATTTTGAAAGTGTGATTCAAAACGGCGCAGTAACAGAATTTTGTCAAATATTGGTAGCGATCGAAAGCAAAAGAAAAGCTTTGAATGCCCAGCAATCTGATATTTCTCTTATTGCGTTGTATTGAGGTCCTGAAATGATTGTATTGATGAGGAATCAATTTATATTGTTGTTTGGCGACAACTTTGACAATAAGAAGAAGAGAGAAGATGTTACGATTTTCCAAATTTGGCAAGCGAGAACCCAAAATTTGAGAGAAGGTCAAACTAACCATTCTGGAAATACTTCTCGTATCTCTTATACCACCTCTTGAGGTAAATTGATGCAATCATTGAACCCTCCAAAACCACCGTGAACATAAGGAAAAATGAATAAAACGATATGGGAGGAATGGAGGATGTCAGGATTTCAGAATCATAATATCAGTGTATCAGGAATCAAAGGAATTAATAGAAATGAATCAAACTTACTTGTTCCAAATCATAATCACGATTTCTTCTTGGACCACCTCTTCCACCTCCTTGAGCTGCCACACTGGCATGTCGTTCTTCACTACCACGACCTGAACCAAAGTCCGATCCATTTGTTCGTCCACCAATTTTCTTACCACCTGCTGAAGTTGCGGACTTAGGCTTCTGGCTCATTTTCTTCATCTCTTGATGAAGTTGAGCGGCGAGCTCTTTATTATCGTCATTAAACTTCATTACTCGATCTTGAGGTACCCAATCATCCCAGCTATTTTGGTTATCATGGTTAGATTCTGCTTGATTTCTTGTTCTGGGCAAATTGCCATCCAATTCTTTCAAAGTACGAATACGAGGTCGAAGTGATCGTGATGGCTTTGGAGGGGAAGTTTGGGACATGTTGATACAGAGAATGAAATTTGGGGGAAAGGGGGGGAATTGAGATCGAGTTGAATTTGGAAATGATTTTAGTTGTCTGAACTGTACGATACGATATGATATAATACGATATCATACGACACGATACAATAAAATACCATATCATACGATAGAACTCAACAAAGTATATCGTTATCAGTATCGGGAATGAAAGTTTTGAAGGTTGAATATGTTCCAAGACTTCTGCACTGGGGTTACAAGGAAGGTAGAAGGAGGTATACTCAACTGTTCAACTATCTCGCTACATATCATCCAGCTTTGGAAAGTAGCCCGAAGACGAGTAGAAGTGCGTTCTTTCTCTTTCTTCTCTCCAATCGTCTTTTTTCATCGAGATAATGAAACAGATGACCCAGGAGATTCCAAAAATTCTAATGAATTCAGATTTAAATTTAACTTACGTTGCTTTCCATCTATTTAGAAAAGATTATGTTAACACGTTTTCTCCTTACAAAAAGCTAATAGTATATAGGTACATATGTACATATATACCTAGGTAGCTATATATCGAGATTTAGAGAGAGTTTCTTACCCCTTATAATGAATCTTGCATTGCCAGCTAGAGCCATCTTCTGTTGGTCTCGTGTCTAAAACCTTGGCTTCATACAACAAATCATGATGAAAGCAAAGAACTTTTTCATCTTTCGCATAAGGAGCGACAGGTGGTCCAGATTTTGATGGTGCCATGATTTCCGGTCCGATCTAATAAAGGATTTTGATGAATGTAAAAAAGTATTAGATAAAGTGATTGGGTTGTAATGCTAATGAGGTATAAGATTTGACAGCAAAGCTATGTCTAAATACTACCAAAGTTTGGAAGTGAAGTTATTGGGGATTAGAAGATTGTCGTATGCAAATGATGATTATGTTGTTGAAGAAAGGGAGTTGGATAAGATTAGAAAATCCGTTTCCATTTCTGTCTGCATCTTAAGACAACCGAGAAGTAGCAAAGCAAGCGCGTCTTTGACAAAAAAGTACGTGTCACGCGTGTTTTTAATTTATGTACCCCAGGTTTATGTGATGTGTCAAGGTTCAATAATTCATCCATGTTCCTAAGTGACATCTTCCAGAAGAGTTTAGTTTTCTGAGGGCTTGAGTCTTTGAGTATAACCTCATTTTCGACTGTTTGCTTTCCCAATCCCGAGCTCTCTGGCCATTTTCATTGCAACAATACATCAATGCTTCTTACCCCTTGCCCCTCAATTGTATTCTACCAAAGTCCAGATCAACTCTCTACAATCTGCCACTAGAAACAAAATACTTCAACTCTCCTCAATTTCCCAATCATCGCAATGCCACCCACCGAACAAAAAATCCTCACCACCTTCCTCCTCCCTCCGTCCTCCCTCCCTCAGATCATCTCCCTCGCCTCCTTCACTCTCCTCTTCCCGCGCGCTGTCCAATCATCCCCTGCTATCCGAACTCTCTACCGGGACCTCCAGCATCAGCGCGCACAAATAATTGATAATGTCTCCACAGCAATCGAGCAAGAAGTACGAAGAGGAAGCGCGATGGAGAGAGCTGTTGTGAGGAGGAGGAGAGGAGATGAGAGAGTTATAGAGGATGATGAGGTGGGGGTGGAACGAGCTGTTAGTCATTTTATTTTCTCTTCTCTGCCTCTTCAGTGATTGCCATCCCCTCTACCTACCCATCTGCCTCCCATCCAAACACAACTAACGCCCCTAACACAACTTCAGCTTTCCAACTCGGTTCAAATATCCAACCTCCCATCTTCCCATCCTCACTCCCTCCATTCCATCCTCCCTCCTCTCGAAGCAGCAATCGAAGACCTCGAAGACGAAATCGCGCGACTAGATGCGGAAACCGAAGAATTATTAAACGAGATGAAGAATACAGTGGGGGGGTTGAGTGATCTTAGGTATGGACGGCTCGCGAATCCGGGGATAAGGGGACAAGTTTTGGAAGGTTTGGAGAGAGTCGAGGAGGCTGCTGCTGCGATAGCAGGTGGAAAGTGATTGGCATAAATGGGACATGGATTAATATTACCAGTGAAAAGTTCTGGAGGAGAAAGACAAGGCGATATAGTCAATGAGGGTAATGAAAGTCCGCAGCGTTTTAGGACGACCAGCGACGAGACACAAGGCTCGCGCATTGGGTATTGAGGATTCGGCATCAAACAGCCAAGTGCGTTCACACAGGCGCAAAGGTCGCAGTGATGCATCACTACCAAGAGTGAAGATGTACAGGTGGACACACGTTGGACGTTGCGATCTGTTTTCCCCTTCCTTAGAGTCTGCCTCCACGGCAGTGGCTCCCAGAGGGTCAGCGGAGCGTCATTCACAGGCACAGTAGACATGGAAAGGATTTAGCCAGGCGTAAGGTTTGACAATTATGATACCCATTTCTCCATTCATTAAATTTGCTTAGATAAGCTACGTAAATTGCATTTCGGCCACCCGTCGCTTTGAAAACATGCATAGTATATGAGAATTAGATCCCCCACTGCAGTCTTCCCCAAATTTATAATCATGACAAACATCTCTTAGTAGGTAACTCCATCTCCAGCTGGAGCAGCGCGTGGGCGAGCTCCAGCTGCTGCTGCAGGTCCTTGTGGACCGAGGGTTCGCTTGCTCCTAGAATTGTTATTAGCGAGCTGCGTAGAATCCAAAAGTGAGAGGGAACTTACATGATGGTTCTGCTAAAGAAAGAAATACCAATCATGAACATCCAACTGGGAACGACTCCGAAGAACCAAATTACGTATCCAACTGGAACTGCGGCACGGTATTGCGCAAGTTCACCATCAAAAGGGTGGAACCAACCCTCATAAGGTGCCTTCTTCTTGTACGATTTACTAGAGTGCAAATCCGTGAATGTAGTGACGGTTGTAGAAGTGGTGTTCAATGGAACTGTGATGATAGGAACTGGGGATCCTGGAGCTCCAACTTCCATAGTCCACAAGTGTGGTGGTCCTGCGCCCCACGAATTGCAAAGAACAGGTTGTTCGTCGCAATTCAACATTGCCATGTGAGGAGCTGTGGGGTCGACAGCGAAAAGGGCAGCGGATTCATTGAAGCCCTTTTCGATTTTGCCGCAAAGACCAAAACAGGTTTTGTTTCCGCCAGTAGCTAGAACCCACCATTCTTGTGGGAGCGACGACTCGGGAGTGACGCTTCCGCGGATAGTTTCTTGCCAGGTATCGAGGGTAAGATGGTGGATTTTTGCTTCGCCCACTTTAGCAGTTGCGGCTTCGAGGGGAGATTCGGAGGCTGGAGAGGGGATGTAGGATTGAAGTTTGCCGAACCAGTATTGAGCTTGAGCTTTAGCTTGGTCGAGAGGAGATTCTTGGGCCACAACCAGGAGGGGGAGGGCAAGGACGGAAACGGTAGGAATGCGCATTTTGACGATCTGTTATGGAATGAATGATTGAGGAGGGGTGAAAGCTGTCAGAATTGAGGGGGGTCAAGAGACTATATAAGCAGGTTTCTGATTAGGAAGCTTTCTGCGATTAGGCTGGAGATCTGCGCTGATTGGCAATAGCTGATTGAATGCGCCGCGATAACACTTTTCGCGAGTGAGCTGATCAATTTAAAGGTTGAATTTGAGGAAAGGAAAGATGAGATATATATGATGATATGAAATGGTGAATTTACAAAGATCTTAAATAAATATAACAGAATTTATGAATTTGCGGGATGATGAGGCCAGATGGTTTTTAATGGAAATATTAATATTAATGGATACCCTCGAGGTACCTGGAAGTACCCTTTCACTCAAAAGAAGCTCCACTGCATCTTCTCGAGGGGGATGGGACGGATGTGAAGGGGGGAAGAACCAATCAACAATTGGAATGACCCCAGCTTTGCTTACTTCGCTTACGACTAAACTCTTTCAGTATTAGTTCCTTTTAAAGTGGATGACATCTCTATCTCTATCGCTATTCGCTAGTTACGGTAAGCCTTACACTTTTGGTCTGATCGCTATCGATTATCAGAAACTTTTTTTTTATCAGAAGCCTTTTTTGATTTTTTATTGCGGCAGTGAAGGCGCAAAGAGTAATTAAGAAAGGTTTTTCACAATGTCTTTACAGGAAAAGCTCGACAAGATACGCTCGCCGAAGCTTCAAAATCAAAAGCAGGTATGTCTAAAGAATTGCGATTCTGGAAATGCCTCTGATGATATAGTCAAGTTTACTAACTGATATCAACGTCTAGACTGCAATTGTATTGTCTGCGGTTGAAGATACACTTAAAGATCAAAAAACAGAGGCCACTCCAACTGGATATTTCGCCGCATTATTGGCACTCTTAAGACAGGCTTGTCCTCAAGATGGAGAAGTTAATAAAGATTTAACAACTTCTGTTGTATATTTACTCGATATTATTACACCTTTTGCCCCGCAACCACTCCTCCGATCCAAGTTTACACAAATTCTCACAAATCTCGGTCCCGCCCTTATATTACCAGAAGCAGATGCTCCTCTTCTCAGACCTTCGATAGGATGTCTCGAATCATTATTACTCGCACAAGATTCTACGGCATGGGAATTGGAAGTCATGGCAATTGGGCCCAGAAGGGCGATTGCTGGATTATTAAATTTCGCTGTGGATCACAGACCTAAGATTCGAAAGCGTGCGCAAGAAGCATTGGCAAATGTTCTGAAGAATCCTCCACCCAGTCCTTCTCTCGATCATCCTGCGGCGGATATGTGTGCGGAAACTGCTTTGAGAAGTTTAAGTGATTTGGCGGCCCAATCGCATCAAGCTAGGAAACAGAGAAAGACCAGCGCAACTGCAGAACATGAACCTGCTTTGATTCACGCATTACAATTAGTTAAGACTGTTGCAGGAGCATCTGGAGGATGGCCAAGCAAGAAGATTGAGGCATTGTGCGAGGTCTTGTTGAATATTTCGAAATCGAGCAATGAATATTTGGCGATGACTTCGTTCGAAGTATTCGAGATGATATTTGAGGGTATGGCAAACGAAACCGCGACCTCGAAGTTACCTCGACTCTTAGAAGTGATCTCTGAATTAAGACCTTCTCAAAACGATTCTCAACTCTTACCTCCTTGGATTGCTGTGTTATCACGGGGTTATGATGTTTCTGCTCAATTGGAGCCAGAGGAGACTTTCGCAAAATTACCCGAACTTTTCACAATGATCTCTGGATTTATGTCATCTTCATCACACAGCATTCGCGTATCTGCATCTGAATGTTTGATTTCGTTAATGGCAAATTGTGTCCCAGATTCAGTTATTGCAGAGCCTTCGATTTTTGATGAGAAAGTCCTCGAGAAATTGGCAAAGTGTGCAATTGATCTCTTGAGTGTTAAGTATCAAGCTGCTTGGATGGAAACTTTCAATGTCATGGGTTCCATGTTTGACGCTTTGAGATGGAGAGCAGACCCAATTTTATCCGAAGTCGTTCGCGCAATTGGCGAGCTCAGAGGTAGCGAGTCTTTCGCTGGCAAAAAGGAAGCGGATGAAATCCTTGGAAAAGCTATCAGAGCTATGGGACCAGAGAGAGTTCTTAGCATTTTACCTCTTAACCTCATCAAACCAGTAGCTGGACAACCTGGACGCGCCTGGATGTTGCCCATTCTACGAGACTATGTCAGTAACACGAATCTTCAACATTTCCGAACCGAACTCGAGCCATTGAGCCAAGCAATGCTACAAAGAGTTAGCGATCACGGAGCTGTTGAAAAGACAATGGATATCAAGATCTTCGAAACTATTGTCAAACAGATCTGGGCCATTCTTCCTGGTTATTGCGATTTGCCATTGGATCTTACTGAAGCTTTTGATATCAAATTCGCGGAAATACTCGTCAACATTTTATATGGACAAGTTGATCTACGTTCAGATATTTGCAGAGCTCTCCAAACTTTGATTGAGTCTAACCAAGCAGTTATCGCCATCGAAGGAGAGGAAGACTTACTCCTGCAGAGCCGTGTTTCAAAGGCCGTTGCGCAAAAGAACATTGAGCACTTAGCTACTTTCGCCAGCAATATGCTTTCTGTTTTGTTCAACGTCTACAATGAAACATTACCACAATATAGAGGTTTCATTTTGCAATGTATCAACGCATTTCTTAGCATCACCCCTACCCAAGAACTTATTGAGACATTCGAACGGGTCAGTCAGGCATTAGGAACATCGCTCGCTGAAGCTGGTGCTCAAACTCAAGCAGAGAAGCAAAAGCAAAGACAGCAAAATGCGGCTAACAAGATGCCACCCACGAGTCACAGTCTTATGGATTTGGTTATTACAATCTCCATCTACTTACCAAGAGATAGTTTCAGCACTCTTTTCAATATGGCAGCTCTTATCATTGTCAAGGATGACGACCCTCAACTTCAGAAGAAGGCTTATAAGCTCATTCCTCGTCTTGCTGAGTCGGAAACTGGAAAGGCCGCTTTACAAGAACGTAGCACTGATCTTCAGGAACTCCTTTTGAACAGTTCCGAGAAGGTATCCACACCAGCAAAGCGTGATCGCCTTGCTGCTATTTCCGTCCTAATTCCTTTCCTCCCTACCGACTCTCTTCACTTTATCCCAGCTATCTTATCCGAGGTCGTCATCTCATGCAAGGAGACAAATGAGCGTGCTCGAACTACAGCCTTTGATCTCCTCATTCTGATGGGAGAGAAGATTGCTTCATCTTCCGGCGCCATTATCGACAATAGCAAGGTATCTCACATGCCCGACGATGCACCATCTGTAACTGCAACCCTCGAGGAATACTTCACCATGGTCAGCGCCGGTCTTGCCGGTAGCACACCTCACATGGTATCTGCGTCTATCACTGCTCTCACCCGTATCCTTTACAACTTCCGTGAATCTCTATCCCCTGAAACTGTTAGCGATCTCGTCCAAACTATGGACCTTTTCCTCACATCAAACAATCGTGAAATTGTCCGCAGTGTCCTTGGCTTTGTCAAAGTCTGTGTCATTTCTCTGCCTTCTTCTCTCGTGCTTCCACGTCTTGAAAGTCTCATTCCTAATCTCATGGTCTGGAGTCATGAGCATAAAGCTCATTTCAAGGCGAAGGTTAAGCACATTCTCGAACGTATGATTCGTCGTTTTGGTGTTGAGATTGTCAACAAGTATTGTCCGGAAGAAGACAAGAAGCTCATTACCAATATCCGCAAGACTCGTGAGAGAAGAAAGAGAAATAAGGATGCCGCCAAGGAAGCGGGCGAAGACAGTGACGAGGAGGAAACTGGTGGAAAGAGAAGAAACAGATTCGAGAATGAATATGATGAGGCTCTTCACGGAAGTGATTCGGAATCTTCTGGCTCTGATGTTTCAGATGATGAAGTCCTCGGCAAATCAAGAAAGAAGGGTGGTAAGAAGGCTGCTGGCGGTAACCAATATATCGTGGAAGATGATGATGAGCCACTTGATTTGCTTGACCGCAAAGCACTTGGTAGCATCTCAACCACCAAACCTGTAAAAGCGCGAACAATCACGAGAACAAAGGCAAAAGTGGACTTGGACGGAAAGTTATTGCTCGGAGGTAATGATAGCGATGATGATGATCAAATGGTTATCGATACTCCGGCAGAGGAAGATGGTGGTGTGGGCGCTTATGTTCATGCATTGAAGGGTAGAGATGCGCCGAAGAAGGGTAGAGGTGGAAGACTTAAGTTCAGTAACAGAAAGGGACAGGATGAGGATGATGAGATGGACGTTGATGAGGATGAGGTGAAGGCTGTTAAGAAGAGCATTGGTGGGGATAGGGAGAGGGGCAAGGGCGGAAGAGGAGGTGATAGAGGACGGGGTGGCAGGGGTGGTGGCAGAGGAGGCTTCAATGCTGGGAGGAGAGGTTTGGGTGAAGAGAAGAGATCGGGTGGGGGTGGTGGAGATCGTAGTGGAAGGGTTATGAAGAGTCCTAGGGGCAGAGGAAGGGGAAATGGTCATCCAAGGAGATAAACGGATCTTGAGTAGCATGATCAAGATAGGGAGATGAGGAAGAGTAATGACTTATAAAATAGCATTTGTTTGGAGTTATGGATATGGGATGAATCAAAATGGTCTTTATATACTCACGTGTTCAGTCAATAATTATGACTGCTTCCCTAAGTGTTGTTTGATAAGTTATTGTGAAAAAATCTACATTCGATACATTCAATGTGAAGGAGAACACAAAATCAAGCAGAACAAAACAGATAGTGAATAGCGAATCGACACGTCCCATGCTACCCCTATATAAACCTCTTGACCAGACTCGATCGTGTGAACGAATGCCTCGTCATATTCACTTTCTTCCACACTCGATGTCACGTCCAACAAGGTTAAAAATCCTCAGATCATCCGTGCCCTTTTATGTACGCGATTTAGTGTCTCGACGCGATTTTGCCTGTGTTCAATCGAAAATGCCTCGAAGAATTGACAACCCAATTCTCGGTCAAAATCTCCGGGACAATTTTTTGCAAGATCGTGCAATCTTCCTCTTTCGATTTCTGGTCTAAAAACTGTAGATCTGCAGAAAGCCCCATGTCTGTTTGTGTAACCAGACGTGCAACAAGAGGTTTTTGGAGTGCGAAGAAGCGAGGTGATTGGTTCGCAGAGCTGCATGGGTTGAGGGGAATGGAAAGTTGAAGGGCGGAGAACACCACGACCACAGCACAACAATAACACGTTACGGTTACGATATCAATATGGCAGAAGAAGGAAAGCGTAGGAGGACGAGGCCATCGAATTGGTGGGAGGTTCAGGATAATGAAAATGATAATGGGAATGGCGAAGTGGGTGTTAGCAGTCAAAGTACGCCAAACGCGCAAAGTCAAAGTCCAAATATAAATACAGTGGGTGGAGGAATTGCAAAGAAGAAGGCAAGACCTTGGGTTCCGGCGGGAACGAGTGTGTCTAGTGAGAAGAAGAGAGGAAGGTCTTCTTTAGGAACGGGTTCTGGGATTGCGAAACAAAACGCGGAGAACGATGAGGAGGAACAGGGTAATATTGAGTTCGAGGCTGAAGATGACAATTCAAGGACAAGAAGAGGAAGAAAAAATACGAATAATACAGGAGGAATGTTGAGTGGCCATAGCAATACTGATGTTGTTGAAACGGTAACTGCGGTCAGTTCCCTGGCGCCGCAGAAGAAGAGGGGTAGACCTGCTGTGGGAGTTGTTGATCGTGCAGCGAGTAATGGACCATCAAAAACCGCGGCGGCGGGAAGCCAAACAAAGGGTGAATCGAAGGTGTCTGAATCGAAGGCGTCGCATACGGGTGTAGAGGAAAGAAAGCGTGGAAGACCAGCGAATGGAAATATGGGTACTACAAACAATAGAGAGAGAGAGAGTAATGGGGATCATATTGAGCCCGAAAAGAGCAAGTCATCGCGATCACAAAAGCGCCATCAGGCAGAGCCAGGATCATCGGCACCAGGACGTACAATGAAGAAGGCCTCTAAGAATATCGAAGAAACGTCTGAGAAGCAATCGAAGCTATCGAAGTCGAAGAAGCATGTTAGAATATCAGATGTATCACAAACCAATGAACCGGAAGCTGGAAAGCCAAAACCCAAGAAAGCTGGACCTCCAGATAATTCCGAGTTCACAAGGAAGCGAAAGGATCCGAATACTGATGAACAGCAACCACAACAACAAACTAAACGTCGCCGTGTGGAAGATTCACAAGATAATCGGGCCGAGCAAGAACAGCCAGAGCCGCCTTCGTATCAACATCTAGCAGCTGTTACTCGGCGTGTGACGCACGAAACTATCAAGACGAAATGGGAACCTCTACGACCGGGATGCTTGAACAAAATTTCTGATATATTGATCGATGTACAAAGACCAGTCGTCTTACAGATTCGCGATGAACGTAAGAAGACTCAAGCCAGTACAGCGATACAAATGATAAGCCGTCGACTTTTGAATAGAGTTCGAAAGGGCATGCCATTTCCTAAAGGGACAAGAACCAATCCAGAAGACGATTTTGATTTTGAAAAGATACTGGATTACAATCGAGTTTTAGAGAATAAACTCACACCGATTTTGCATTCAAATGACCTTTTGGAGGCCGAATTGAGGAAAGAGGAAATATTACTTGAGAGTGAGGAGAGATATCTTGCAGAACTGGAGGCAAATGCAAAGGATGAAGCAACAAGTAGAAGACAAGCCGCTCGAAAATCTCACCCATTGCTTCAATTCGAGATTGATAGCACTCAAAAGGTGCTCAATGATAATATTGGTATAGATGAGAACGTAGCTACTTCCTCGATAACTCTCAACGTAAGTTTCTATTGTTTTTAAATCTCATACACAGCTAATATCTTTTCCAGGCCTCGAAATATGAAGATCTTGGAGGCATTGTTAAGAGTATAGATGGTCACGTGGACAGTATTAAGGGCAATTTACAACAGATTGACGGTATCACCGATGCTATGGCTAAGAGTAAAGCTTCTGTACAAGCTGCTCTCTTCACTCATCTCGATCTCGAACAGTACAATGACGTTGTTCTGGGTTAAAGACATAAAAACGGTTATTGATGCAAGACACAACGGTTTTGGTGGAAGGAAAGTGGGATTACATGTTTAAGTTTGGGAGGAACCTTCCACAAGAATATTTTTGTGTTGTGCGGCTTTTGATTTTATAGTTATTGTATTAGATACCCAAAATTCGCTCCTTCATCATTGATATGTAGGTAGTTATGATGATCTACAATTTATTTATTCTTTGTACCAAAGTATCTTTTAGACCTAGACCACCCTTGATCAACCTCGCTTCACGATGAAATTTGCAGCAGCTGCCGTCGCCCCGCGTTCTACACGTCAATTCAATAATCCCATTAACCCGAATCTTGCAACGCAAATTAACCCAAAATTTCAAATAAGTAATTTATTGCTATAACAATCAATTAATGCAAGGTAAATTGTGGACTCTTGTGTGATGGGTAGTGAATTGAGCTGACAAGCTGAAAGGATCCTTCTAATTCATAAATTTACCAACTGTCAAAAGCTTCGTTCACCCCTTCAATAACGACCAGCGCAACGTCGCAATCCAATGGAACCCTATGAAACTTAGGCTCTGATGCCATGGAACAAAATGGAGCCAACAATGGGCAGGATGCGAAGCCACCGGCATCATCTGCAGCTGCTGGCGCAAACAAGAGCCCGAAGAAGAGGCGTAAAGTAAATCATGGTATGCAGAAGTTTCCCAAGGGAACCAACGACTTCCAAATTTGAATTACATGATCTGAAACATTGGCTAATTGTAGAACGTCTTGTGCAGCTTGTGTATACTGTCGGCGATCTGTGAGTACTCGATTGGGTTATACTACCAGGGGGGTTGGACGGGTGTTTGCATACCGTTATGCGTGACATTGAAATGTCAGTGGCCAACAGCTAATTCGGTATTGTCCCTGAGCAGCACATGACATGCGATTTAGTACGACCTTGCGCGAGGTGTACAAAGCGTGGAATTGGACATCTCTGTCATGATGAGCCCCGCGAACCGGAGTCGTCCACGAAGAAGGCAGCGGCGAAAAGTCAGCAGCATCACCATAACAACAACGCTACAGCAGGAACAGCGGAGGAGCTGGGAGGGACACCGCCAGGTCTTAAGCTCGAGAATTCTCTTGACAATAGTCTAAATAACTCGTTCGTCACGGCAGAACAACAACAAGGTCAAGATCAAGTTCAGGAAAACAAATTGAGTCTTGGAGCACCAGCAATATCCCGCGGTGTCCCTCTTCAGTTGGTCCAGCCTACGCCGGTTTCTGGGATACAAGCGAATGCTCTCGATAGTAGCAGCAACAATCAATGTATGATGCTTTATATTCTCCTAGTTTTCCTTCTCATGTCTCCGAGATTACTCTGAAATATTGGGCACGTATTAATCCTTTTTCGTTATAGTTCTTGGGTATCCGAATGACTGGCTTGGGTCGCAAAACCAATTTCAAGATATGCATAACTACCATCCATCGTACATGTTCAACGCACCGGAAGTCACCAACGAGTACAATCTTCTAAACGATTTCCTCAATAATAGTCTTCTAGACGACGGAGCTCTAGGTACAGAAGACACATCAAATTTTTATCCTGATCAAGCTGGTTCAATGTTGTCAGGAGGCAATTCTAACACGCTCACATCAGGAGCGCAACAAGCTTCAAGTAGCGGTCCATCAACAGGACTGAATCCACCAGGAAATTCGATTACTAGACCAGCGAGCGTCATACCAATTGATAAAGCCCGCGAGTACTACCTTCAAGCGGCTGATCCCACTGGTAATGATGTCCCCGAGGTTAGAATGCAACTATTGTTAAGGGCAAAGTACGACGCCGGAATGCTGAAGCCTTTCAATTATGTTAAGGGGTATGCGAGACTTTCGGCTTATATGGATGGACATATGCAACCAGCTTCAAAGCAAAAAATACTCCGGCAATTGGATCGTTTTCGACCGAAATTCAGGGAAAAGGTGCAAGCATTGACAGATATTGAACTCATCTACGTGGAAATGTGGTTTGAAAGGAGTTTGATGGAATATGATCGAGTTTTTGCAAGTATGGCCATTCCAGCTTGTTGTTGGAGGAGAACGGGAGAGATTTTCAGGGGAAATAAGGAAATGGCCGAGTTAATACATGTTCCTATTGAGAAATTACGGGATGTAAGTTACTTTGAAGATTTTCATTCTCGTCCACACTCGCACTCAAACGTTCTTGGCAAAGACAAATATGGAAGATGCTGCAACTGTGGCTGGTTCTATCTTCCGAGTCCTATCCATTGTTCAAACGGCTGATAATTTTCTATGGATAGGGAAAAATAGCGCTCCACGAAATCCTGACGGAGGAATCGCTAGTCAATTATTGGGAGAAATTCGGAGCTATAGCTTTTGATTTGAATCAGAAAGCACTTTTGACGAGTTGTTCGTTAAAGAATCCGGACGATAAGAGTAAAGACCCAACGATTAAATGTTGCTTTTCGTTTAATGTGAGAAGGGATGATCATAAGATGTGAGTTTGGTTCTTTTTCTTCTTTGGGGGCCCTTGAGGTGGAGGGTAGAGGGGATAGGGATGTCAGCAAAAAGAAAATGTGGTTGAGATGGACAGTATTTCCAAGACCAAGGACTAACAATAAATTCAAACAGCCCATCTCTAATTGTTGGAAACTTCTTACCTCAAGATCCTATCAAGCGGTGATATAACTAAGTTATGTTATGGCAACATGAATGAAAGACGGAGAGTAAAGAAGTGGAAATGAAGATATTTCAACACTATTTGGTATTTATTAGATGAGAACGTACATAAGATGCATAACGTAGAGATTGGAATTGGAAATGCTATTTTGGAGAATGGGATAGGATTGGAACTGGAGGTACTTATTCTGGGAAATGGGAAGGACGTGAAGGGAAAGGGGGTGGGGATAGCAACGCAGAGGTTTCGTGGATTGATGGTTGATGGTTGGATCAAATGGACTTGATAAGCGGGCGGCGGGGAGTTCTGGAGGTGGGAATGTTCGGGTAAATAGTAGGTATGGTAAATTACCACCTACTATTGAGTACCTACCTAGAATGGATGTAAATCCACAGAGCAGAGCAAAGAAAAGCATTAAAAAGCTTCACCTTTCAACTTTTTATGAACAACTTTTTCTTAAAACAAACAAAATTATGTCATTAAGAGTGTCTCGAAATCGGAAAAGAATGCTGCCAAGTAGCGGTGCGGATGAATGACTGTACTGTTTTCTTTTCTACTTTTAATGAGGGAAGAGGATTGGTGATGTCTTTCTTCTCTTTTTGATTCTTTAGGTCTTTAAACAAATAAGGTGCTGTGGAGAGCAGTCCATCTAAGATTCCTCGAATAACATTCAAGAAATTTGAGACATTAAGAGAAGTCAGGAGAAGACGAAAACGAATAACCAGGGATTAAGAAGGCGGTACGAGAAGGGAGCACGAGAAGATATGATGGGTATGGCGGCAGATAAGAGGGCTGGGGCTGGTGTTGCACGGCAGGAGGGGGGCACTGGAGGGAATGGGAAAGGGATGGGGAAGGGGGGTAGTGAGGTGGATGGGATGGGGATCGAGAAGGTCAAGGTGAAGGACAAAAGGTTGAGGGGGTTATTTGGTGAGTTTTGTGTGCTTTTCTTTTATTCATTTTTGTTTTGCTCTGTTTGTGGATGGGGTGGAACTCAAGAAACTGGAGAGTTGAAAGGCTGAGGGGTGAGTATTAGGGTATGAAGATATTGAAATGGCCATTTTTTTCGATCGCAGCAAGCTATGGGGGTCTGGGGGCTTGCCTCCTAGAGAGGATTGATCTTCCTGATTATGTTAAGACGACGCTACGGAGGCTTCAGCGTCTGTGGGTGAAGGAGGTGGCGGCAGATTTTATACCTTTCGATTGATAGACGCTCCGCTGGCCCTCGGGGGGCCACTGCTGTGGGTGCAGTCTATTTGGAAGGAACACTCTCTTGCTTTTCTTTAATTTCAATTCTGACACACTAAACTCTAACTCACAGTATTCGTACAAAGACTCGAAAACGATCTCAATTCCTTAGATACAAGCCTCAGTCGGGATGTATTCAACTTCACGTTTACAACTATTGATGGAAATGGCACATTCAAAGAATTGGAGAACAGTATTGCTACATTTCCAACGAAATTAAATGCGAGTGCGAAGGATAAAGCACAGGAATTGGATGAGAAGGCGACGGGTATTTGGAATGTTGCGACGAGATTGAAGAGGAGTCTTCCTGCGGAGAATAATACAGATGAGGATGGAGGATCGAAGACTTGTGATAAAAGGAATGAGCTCAGAGCTGTGCTTGTTATGGTTAGAATGTTCGCTTTCCTGGTATTGGATTGTGCTAATGAGTGTGGGAATTCTGTCGCTCACATACAGGCTGGTGCTGATGGGGATAAAGAGAAAGAGGAAGGGGAGAAGTTCAGGGGAAACTTGTTAAGGTTGATGAGAGTGGGAATCAAGACGGGGAGAGACTGCTTGAGTATGTATGCCTGCCTTTGTTGATCTTCGAGGGAAAGAGCCAGACTGCGGATTATTGCTAATAAGTGCGAAATAGATGATCAGAAAATCGATTATGCCGTCAAAGTCTTGGAGAAACTTGCAGGTTATACGGGATATGGTGAAGAACTTCTACGTACATACGAATCATCTGGTATATCAGAAGAAAGGGCAGCCTGCGCAAGATTCACTGCTGAGTATTTTGTTCTTAGAACTTTATTGGTAAGATCATACAACTTCTGCATATCATCTGCTAACATATTGGATAGGCATGGCGACAGGATGATATGCAACTCGCTGAACATATGTTTAATAAATCTATGTCCTCCAAAGAACTTTTTGATCATGCTACCACCGAAAGTCTCTCAGATACTTTATATGAGATGGGAAAGGCACTATTTGAGAAGAAACAGCATGCGTTGTCTGTCAAATGGCTGGAGCGTGCTTATGAAGTTCTAAGTGGTGATGAGTTGGACAAATTGAGCGCCGATGCCACAGAATTGCGAATATCCATTATTCAAACACTGATCAAGGCACTCTTGGAGACTAAAACAACAGAATCGATACGACGTGCACGGGACTTGATTGACCTTCTCGAGTGCGAACTTGGAGATAAATTGGTAGTTCTGTTATTAAAACTAGAACTTCTGGTGGGAATTCCACACGAAACTTTTGATGGTTTGACATATAGTGCTATTCTCAATAAGATGATTCGAACTCTTGTTTTCAATCCGGCGAATTTGCGGTTGTTCATGTTTCATGTTAGAAAACTTCATGAAAAGGCGCCGAGTTTGGCATGTGGAGTTCTGGATGAGATGATTAGATTACGAGTTAAAGAGTTAGTAACTATGACAGAATGGTTAGAGAAGGCTCTTCTTACGAGAATCTGGATGGGAGTTAGTGGGAGAGAAATTGAAGAATTGTTTGTTGCTATTGATGGGTTTCTTACCATGATTGCGAAGAACATTGAGAAGTCGATCGGTGTCGAGGCTACTATGGCTGCTCATACGGTTTGTGACCTTATGGCCATTGAACAGACAAAGGACTAATTTGATATAGTTAATCTGGAAGAAGATAGAAGCGAACTATGGTCTAAAGCAGTATGAAGTAACTGAGAAATGGTGTCGTCTTGCAACTCATGGACTGTTTAAGATACCTGGAGAGGCCAACATGGCTAAGATATCTCGGTTTGTTCCCATTCTCTAATGAGTGTTCACATCTAATATATAGATAGGAAGCTTCTTCTCTGCTCTCTAAATCGAGGGGACATCAATTCCGCCCGCACTATCTTCGCCGCTATGTCCGATTCAGCAAAAGAAGAGCCTTTGACACGCTTTCTTATGTACAAAATAGCAATCAGAAGTGAGGAGGTCGAAATAGCAGCAGAATGTCTTGAAAAGGTTGCTTCGTGTTCCGAAGATACCTCCCTGCTTTTCGCTTGCGTTCTTGATGCACAGCAAGTTGGCAATAAGAATCATGTTCTAGATGCTCTTTGGTTGGTACTAGACAAGTGTGGATATGGTGCACAAGAGAGTGTGCGTCTTCCGTCGATTATTAGGATGATTATTGTTCTGCTTATTGGTATGATTGATTCCGAGAATACACCAAGTAGTTACGCCAGGGAGAACATTGAGAAATTGTGTACAATGTTCGAAAAAGGTAACATTTCTGCGCAAGACCTTTCAAAACGCTGTGCTGACCATGGAATCACAGCACTCAACGCCATTCAAAAATCCCTCAATCGAGATACATGGACAATCCTCGAACTCGAATGGTTTTCCCGAAACTCCTACAACCTATCCCTCAAATATCTTTCCGTTTGGGAACCCCAACAATCTCTTAGAATACTTGCTTGCTGTATCGGTTTTATTGATCGATATCCTCCTGATATCGGCGAAGATGCTCATGAAGACGTTACACTTCGAAAAATGTTCTGCAACTTCTGCGCTGCGACTATTTTCGTTTCTGTCGCAAGAGCCGAACAGAATGTTGAATCACAACTACAGTTCTATCTTAATTTGAGGAAACATGTAGCGAGTTTTGATCTCATTTTACAGGGAAAGCTGGAGAATTTGGAAGTGGAGATTACCGAGGATTTGTTGAAGAAATTGTCTGTTCTACTTTCGTTTGATTTTGAGGCCGCGTGTAGATTGAAAGATTGGGACGGACTTGGAGAGATTATATTCAAGGCAGATATTTGCAAGAGTATGAGTGTCTATGAATTGATGGCGGATTGTATCTTGTGTTGTGAGGCTCCTACTCAAGGTTCGTCCTTCTCGCTTCATTGTTATCTCCCCTTGCCCTCTGTTTCCCTTGCCGCTTTTTCTCCTATATTCAGCGGTATTTCTCTATAAATAAAACGCATATACTAACATATGTTTCTTTTTAATCACAGTCCTAATCATGACCCTCAAAAAAATCACCAACAAAACTTGGGAAATGGAAGAATTCGATACCATCAAACTGTCAAAATACATGCGTTGTTTATTCCAAGCAGCTATGGGATCGGACGATAAGATTGCAGAAGGACTTATCGATCAGGTTTGCATGCTTGCTGCTGATGCTGCCGAGGTACGTCTTTGAATTACTCCCTCTTCCCTTCTTCTCCTTCTTCACTCTGTGTCCTTTTCTCTTCCTGTTCTCTGCAGTCATCCAAACATCTTCTGTCACTTGCAACTCCCGTCTTGGGGTAGGAACCAACAAGTTAACCTCCACCCCAAACTCAGACACAAATCCCTTACCCGACCCAAGAACTCGATTGGCTAGCAACTAAATCCTTCAACCATGCCATCGATCTTTTCAGCACAGATCAAGATGAAGCGTGTAAACGATGGGCTAATAAATCAATACTAATTGCGGGATATTGCAATGATGCTGGAAGCTTGAAGAGGCATTTGATCCAGAAATTTGGGGGATTGAGTTTCGATTGTTAGTGTTTGCGTGGGTGATGCGATGGAGACAGCGTGGTTGTGCGATATGTTAGGTTGGCTCTATATAAGGTGCTGGAAGATCGATTATTGCACGGATGAAAGGTATTTCTTATGCTTTGCTAGGCATTTCGCTGTATATAGATCGATCACCTGCAGATTATCTGCTTACAAAACAGATTATTAGGAAATTCAAATAAGTAAGCTACAGACTGTTTGCAGATGATCTGCCTACCTGTTGGTTAACAAATAGTTGGCAGATTATCTGTAAAATGTTTATAGGTAATCTGTGAATAAATAAATAATCCGAAAGAATACCTACCTTTTTCTTCGAAATCTGAAGCTATTCCCGAAGTATAATGTGATTTAGCTTTGGTATTATAGATTAATGCTGGAATTATATTATATAAATATATAATATTAATGCATATAGATCATTTTAGAGGCCTCACAGATAGTGTGCAGTGTGAGTAGGACTTTCTGGATCTGCTGTAGAGTAAACTATCTGCAGATAATCTTCAGGTACGGATAATATCTGCGTAGACTATGTATACATACATACACAGAGAGAGAGATGCATACCTTATTCCGAGCCCGAATTAAATCGATGAAATTATTTTTTCTTGTAGTAATCAATTTCCCAACACGTAAGAGTACATATATAACTCGAAAGTCTTGCATGTGAGCAATTCTTCACCTCTCAAAAACTTCTTTGGACTTGTTGCTGGGAAGAAGCTACAATTATTTGAACAAATATATATGGTATACGAGTCACAGAAATTGGACGAACGATCACTGGATTGAGGAGAGAAAGAGTAGTAGAACAAGATAGGACGAGAAGTGACCAGCACATATAATAATTTCAAGTAGCTTCTTATGCCAGCCTCAAGAGAAATAAATAAAGGAGCGTCAAAATAGTTGACCTCCCAGCAGTCAACTTAGAATGCCCTCTACACCAGCTTTTAAGTTCCAAGATAAGCTCTACTTATCCTTGTCCCATCATCCACAATAACCCTTTTACAATCCGCGGAAACCCTTGATGGGGAATCTAAAGTTGACGTGATGACTTTCCGCGCCACTGAGTACCACAACCTTACTCTCTTTCGCCTTCTCGCTCGCTTCTAAACTTTCCCATCCCACGGCGGCTACGAAGACTTTTCCCTTTCCGTCAACATCATCTTTGGAAAGACCAGATGCAACTCCGGTACAGCCGTCTAGATCCTTGAACTTGGTGACTTGAGCGCGGAGATCGTCTTCGGAGGAGGCGCCTTGCTCAATGGTGAGCATTTGGACGAAGTGCGCGTCGATTACTTCTTTGGGAGCGTAAGGTTTGAATTCGATGATGATGAGGTTTGGGGGGGCGGTGAGGTTTGGTTTTACTTGGGCGAGCATTTCTTGGAAAGCGGGGGTTGCTGTTGTAGACAGTTAGATGGATTTTCATGGTTGAAATAAGTACCTAGTAAGAGTAGAACAATTGGGGAAAGTTACTTTGAAATTTAGTGAAAGCTTCAACAGATTCCCAACCGATAAGAAGTTCGAGTTTTTGTTGATCTTCGCTGTGGGGTCCCCAGCTTTTGTGCTTGTTAGAGATGCCTCATGAATGAATGGTGAAGAGAGGAGCATACCGAGTGCGAAGATAACCATCTTGAGTCTTCAATGTTTGAAGCATGAATTTGAGACCATCCTTCCATTCTTCAACTCCTCCGCTAACAGATAAGATAACTCTTTCAGTGATAGCCATTTTGAGATTTGCGGTTGTATGTGCTGATAATTATGAATTGAGAATTCTTTTAGAATTATGAATTGTTGAGATTGTGCCGGACAATTGTTTTGAGAGATGAGCTGAATGTGATGATATGATATTGTAAACCAGGTGGCTATTCGTCGTCCTTATATATTGTCTGCTGTCAACATACATGGATGTAAAATTTGAGCAAGCTCCATGAGCCCATGACAGAAATTCAACTAAAGGAGACGTTCGCAACTCATTGTTACAGCTAATTGATTTACAACATTGAAGCATTAAAGTGCAACCATATCCGAAAGTACTCACAGCACATCCGGCACGTGATTATAATCTTGCGAACGGTACACTGGAGCTTTTATTTACTCTTCCCATTGGCCAGCTCATACGGTAGGAATTTGAATAACGCCTCTAGATCAGCTATTGTAGGGAAGCTTGAATTGGAAAGGCTGTTTCATGAGATGCACGCTCGGGGTTCGGATACCATCGCTACTCGAAACAAAGATGTTTGCACTGATCGCGAGTGGGGCATTGCGATGCGATGTGACAGGTGGCAGATGTCAACCCTTTCAAGAGTTACTTCAGACGATCCTGTTGCTCTGAGTTCGCATCCTTTAAGCAAAACAGATTTGTGCGCACGGTATACGAGTCTGTAATGCGGTTCGCATCGCGCATGGATTATGCATTGAAAGTGGCTAACTTTGAGTCCGAAAGCTGAACGGCTGAGAGGTTTGAAATCATATTCCGGACATCCAGGGCACTATCGAAGTATCAAACACTCCGTTAGAGTTGCACTTGCATGTTTCTAGATTCACCAAAAGAATCGTACACCTCAATCATGACAACTTGACAAGGATGATAGCTATGTGAATATCAAAAGCCAACAGCTAAGCAAGTGATCAAGAAAAGTGTTCAAGTAAGAAAGCATAAGTATTTGTGGTAGTCCGTAAGCTTATTAAGATGGGGAAATACAGTTGAGATCATATAAGAAATGACTTCGAACTGAAAAATTTCTTGAAAATGCACACAATCACAACACGAAAGAACTACCCAGTATTGCAATGATGGGAATTGAATTGCCGATGTCGAGAATGTTATTTGAAGTATCTTATGATAACCGTCGACAGCAGCTTAACTGCTTAAAATGTGGTTGATAGTCACTGCTTGTTGAAGGAGAAAGATACAGTTGGAGGTTGGTTTTTCCTAGCCCCTGCATTCGAACGAGATGGAAATCACAAATGCCATAGCTGGAATTATGATTGTTAATGATCTCGTGTGATGATGGTCCAACATACAAGAAAGCGACATCTGTAAAATACAAGAATTCAACAAGCATAGATGTTGAATGATAGGTAAGTGCAGTGTTGATATTGCTGTCGTCGACGAAGTAAGGAAAAGATACCAAGTTTGAACCAATTGCATATGAGATTATGTAATAAACCATGACTAAGCACCTATCTCCAGGCGATATCCGAAGTTTGATGTTTTGGCTAAGCTTCAACCTCCGAGTGTTCAACCCCACTATCCACCGAAAGTTACTAAAGCATCCTCGCATATCAAGATTGAGTTACCCAACGAATGAAGGTAATGAGATGGTAAGCATCATTCGGGGTGATTCACTTACCTGCCAATTTTGGGGGAACAAGTCCTAATCCTGACATATTTATTGGGAACATCTTAGACAATGAATACTTGTACATAGGTGTACTTGCTTGGGAGATATTGCCACTTCATATCAATTCAACCCCGCCTTTACTCACTTGCTGAAACGTCCATAAGATTGGTCTAGAGTGTTAGTCTGATATCCCATCGGAGACCTCCATCGGCCTAAGTTGCAAGATAAGAAGCAAGCCCAATATATTATTATTTCCCTCTTGAAGAAAGATACATTCTTTGAATATTCTGTTCTTTTCCTTTTTGTTTTCTCCTTCCAATTATCTCACCTATTTAAGAGAACTAACTTTCAAGAAGCACTGAAAGATCCTTGTGGCAGGAAACATATCTTGAAAGGGGCGTTGGCGACCTATACTTCTAGATAATTAACCTTCGAGAGGTATCACTCTCACAACTCACAATGGCACCCATTGCTGTTTCCCCGAATTCCTCGCCGGAACCTGCAGTGTCTCTTGCCTCCAGACACTCCCTCTCTTCCGTAACAACCTCTTACGATGATACCCTTCGCTTCTATCTCAATGGCACACGAGTTGTCCTCGATAATATGGATCCCGAGATAACTCTTCTTGAATATCTTCGTGGAATCGGCCTCACAGGCACAAAGCTAGGATGTGCAGAAGGAGGATGTGGAGCTTGCACAGTTGTTGTTTCTCAATACAATCCAACCACTAAGAAAATATATCATGCAAGCGTGAACGCATGCTTAGCGCCACTGGTCAGTGTTGACGGAAAGCATGTTATAACAATAGAGGGAATTGGAAATACAAAGAGGCCGCATGCTACGCAAGAAAGAATTGCTAAAGGAAATGGTAGTCAGTGTGGATTCTGCACCCCAGGTATAGTTATGAGCTTGTATGCACTTTTACGGAATGATTCGAACCCTTCGGAGCATGATGTTGAAGAAGCCTTCGATGGAAACCTTTGTAGGTGTACGGGGTATCGTCCAATTCTGGATGCAGCTCAAACTTTCAGTTCTGGAGCTGCATGTGGGAAGTCTAAATCAAATGACGGAGGTGGATGTTGCATGGACAATGGCGGAGGTAGTGGTGGTTGCTGTAAGAACGAATTAAAGGATGATCAACCTATCAAACGCTTTACACCTCCTGGATTTATCGAATATAACCCGGACACTGAGCTCATATTTCCTCCATCACTTATGAGGCATGAATTCAAACCCCTAGCTTTTGGAAACAAGAAGAAGAAGTGGTATCGTCCTGTGACTATGGAACAGTTATTAGAGATAAAGAGCGTTTATCCATCGGCAAAAATTATTGGTGGAAGTACAGAAACGCAAATCGAGATTAAATTCAAGGCTATGCAATACACAGCTTCGGTTTTCGTCGGAGACATTCCTGAATTAAGACAATTTTCATTCAAGGATGACCATTTGGAGATCGGTGGTAATGTTATCCTCACGGATTTGGAGTCGATTGTCCAACAGGCAGAGAAACATTACGGACCCGAAAAGGGCCAAGTTTTCAAGTCAGTAGATCTATTTTTCTCAGAATTCTTCATATCTTTGTCTTTGATGCTTTCAAGTCCATCGTTGAATCTTCTTATATTTTTCTTTCGGGTGACGTGAGGATACACAAGCCTCAAACAACAAAACCAAGGTTGCATTTAGCAATTTTCTAAACTAACAATATCTACAGAGCCATCCATAAGCAGTTGAAATATTTCGCAGGCCGACAGATTAGAAATGTCGGTACCCCAGCAGGAAATTTAGCTACTGCTTCTCCTATCTCCGATCTCAATCCTGTATTTGTTGCATCAAACGCTATTCTAGTCGCAAGATCTCTGGATAAGGAGACAGAAATCCCCATGTCTGAATTCTTCAAAGGTTACAGATTGACCGCACTCGCTCCTGATGCAATTATTGCTAGCATTCGTATCCCAGTGACTCAAAAGGGAGAGTACTTAAGAGCATACAAGCAGTCGAAACGTAAGGATGATGATATTGCCATCGTCAATGCAGCTCTTAGGGTTGCCATCGACGATTCGCATATTGTGACTAGTGCAAGTCTAGTATACGGAGGAATGGCTCCGACCACAATCGCGGCTAGAAAGGCTGGTGCTTATTTGTTAGGCAAAAAGTTTTCAGATCCCGCGACTTTGGAAGGCACCATGAATGCTTTGGAAGAGGACTTCAATCTTAGTTTCAGCGTTCCTGGAGGAATGGCGACTTACCGCAAATCGCTTGCATTCGGCTTCTTCTATCGCTTCTACCATGAAATTTTATCCAGCTTCGAAATTAAAGATTTGGAAGTAGATGCAGAAGTTGTACCCGAGATTGAACGTATAATATCTTTCGGTAAAGAAGATAGAGAAGCCACTGTTGCCTACCAACAGAATGTTCTCGGGAAAGCAAGTCCACACGTAGCGGCCCTCAAGCAAACATGCGGAGAAGCACAATATACCGATGACATACCAGTCCAGAAGAACGAGTTATATGGATGCTTAGTTTTGTCAACGAAGGCACATGCTAAGATCATAAGCGTCAATTCAGATCCTGCAATGGATTTACCAGGTGTGGTTGACTATGTTGACCATACAGATATGCCAAGTCCAGAAGCCAACTTTTGGGGAGCACCAGTTTGTGATGAACCATTCTTTGCTGTTGATGAAGTATTTACAACAGGCCAACCGATTGGTATAGTTCTTGCTGATAGCGCAGCACATGCAAGTGCAGGAGCACGAGCTGTCAAAGTCGAGTATGAAGAGTTACCAGCAATTTTCACAATGGAAGAAGCCATCGAAAAGGAAAGTTTCTTTGATCATTACAGGTATATAAAGAAAGGAGAACCAGAGAAAGCATTTGAAGAGGCAGATCATGTCTTTACCGGTGTGTCTAGAATGGGTGGACAAGAGCACTTCTACCTGGAAACCAATGCCTGTGTGGCAATACCTAAAATCGAGGATGGAGAAATGGAAATCTGGTCTGGAACTCAAAATCCAACAGAAACGTAAGTAAAATCGGGATGCAGTAATATTCTTCAGCTAACAATCCATCAGCCAAACTTATGTAGCGCAAGTATGTGACGTTGCTGCAAATAAAGTTGTGAGTAAGGTCAAGAGACTTGGAGGTGGTTTTGGTGGAAAAGAGACTCGTTCCATACAATTGTGTGGCATTGTAGCTCTTGCAGCCAAAAAGACTGGTAAACCAGTCCGTTGCATGCTCAATCGTGATGAAGATATGATCACATCTGGCCAAAGACATCCTTTCTTATCTAGATGGAAAGTTGCGATCAATAAAGACGGCAAAATTCAAGCACTCGATTTGGATATGTTCTGCAATGGAGGGTGGACGCAAGATCTTTCTGGTGCTGTATTGGATCGATCATTATCACATTCTGATAACTGCTACATGATCCCCAATATTCATGTCCGAGGTCGTGTTTGCAAGACGAATACCATGTCAAATACTGCATTCCGAGGATTTGGTGGACCTCAAGGCTTATATATGGCGGAGTCATATATCGAAGAAGTCGCAGACCGTCTCGGTATGCCTGCAGAGAAGCTTAGAGAGATTAATTTCTACAAGGCAAACGAGCAAACTCATTTCAACCAAGCTCTTAAAGATTGGCATGTGCCATTGATGTATAAGCAGGTTCAGGAAGAATCGAATTATGCCGCAAGGCGAGAGGCAATCACCAAATTCAACGCAGAGCACAAGTGGAAAAAGAGAGGACTCGCGATTGTACCTACAAAGTTTGGTATCTCTTTCACAGCACTTTTCCTCAATCAAGCTGGGGCATTGGTTCATATCTATCACGACGGATCTGTTCTTGTGGCTCATGGTGGTACCGAAATGGGTCAAGGTCTTCATACGAAAATGATGATGGTTGCAGCTGAAGCACTTGGCGTCCCCTTGGATAATGTATTCATCTCGGAGACTGCCACTAATACGGTAGCTAATACCTCTTCTACTGCTGCATCAGCTTCTTCGGATCTGAATGGATATGCTATCTTTAATGCCTGCGCTCAAATCAATGAAAGACTTGCTCCATACAGAGAGAAGTTTGGCCCTGATGCCACAATGAAACAGCTAGCACATGCCGCCTACTTCGATCGTGTCAATCTTTCTGCGAATGGATTCTACAAGACTCCAGATATTGGTTATACATGGGGGCCTAATATCGGACAAATGTTCTTCTACTTCACCCAAGGAGTCACAGCCTCTGAAGTCGAGATTGATACTTTAACCGGTGATTGGACATGTCTACGTTCTGATATCAAAATGGATGTTGGTCGTTCTATTAATCCATCAATTGATTATGGACAAATTGAAGGTGCTTTCGTACAAGGAATGGGATTATTTACTACGGAAGAATCTCTCTGGTTCCGTGCAGGACCAATGGCTGGACAGCTTGCTACTCGTGGGCCGGGCGCATATAAAATCCCTGGATTTAGAGATATTCCTCAAGAGTTCAATGTGTCTCTGCTCAAAGGCGTAGAATGGGAAGATCTCAAAACTATTCAGAGGAGTAGAGGAGTGGGCGAACCACCACTTTTCATGGGAAGTGCAGTATTCTTTGCAATTAGAGATGCGTTGAAGGCTGCTAGGAAGGAATATGGTGTCGAGGCTGAAATTGAAGAGGATGTTAAGGGTGGCGGATTACTGGTATTGGAAAGTCCCGCAACACCAGAAAGGATTAGGGTTAGCTGTGCGGATCCGATTTTGAAGAGAGCGGAGGTGAAACCAAGAGAGGGAGAGAAGAGTTTCTTTATGAGTATTTAGTATGATATGATGATGGTCAAACAATCAGGATTACAGCAAAATTGGCTCTTGGTAGGAGTTTTGGGATTGTGCGATGATTTCTTGAATATATGCGGAGCATTTTTGTGGTTTAGCATGGTTGGGATATCAAATGTACAAATTCTAACTAACTTCTTTTTTTTGAGATATTTTTTATTTTTGCACATGAGAGAGAAATGCGAATTTAAAGAGTACAGGAATTATTCTCGTGCAGTTATGGACAATGGATTTTCCTCGCCTCCTCTGATATACGATCTATACCTGCCTGCTGAGAATTATAATTCAATTGTACCCCGTCATAAATAAAACTTTAGAACTGCTATCGAACGAACTGCAATAAGATGAACAATATTTCTTTGTTGGGTACAGAGATACCATCGAAGATATTTACAAAATAAAAATAGAGATGGCAAACAGTAAGGAATAAACCAAACAAGGTAGATAGGATGTCGATGTCTTCCGAATATGATGAGACAACACAAGTCCTTCAAGTACCTAGGTAGGTATGTATTTTTGGATATGTATGCATGATTTGGTAACCAATCAATTGATTTTATGCTCTTGTGACTACCTATCAGATAGGTAGATAGGTAGGTAGGTAGATCTAATTAATGATTGTTTGTTTGATATCAACAATTCGATCTACATCTTTGTATAGGTATGTACCTATGTATACACATGAATTGAGAATTGCTTTTTCTACGGCATAAAGTATATTTGTATTCGAATTGACAGAGAAGAGAAGAGTAGAGTAGAGTAGAGCAGGGGTGAATGAATACTTATAGATATCGTGTCTTGCCTTGCCTCGTCTCGTCTTACCTTGTTATGTTAATTCTCTCTCCTCTCTTCCTCCCTTCTTTTCTTCCTTCTTTTCTTCCTTTCTTCCTCTGTTCTTCTCGCATTCTTCCTTTATTCTTATTCTCATTCGCTTTTTCCCACCCTACACCTACCCAAACATCCTCATATCCAATTCAATTTCGACTCCACAATCGAAGGAATGGAATCCCCGTCACCCACTCATACACACGTCTTTCGAAATGATGACTTGTCAAGTATGGCATCCACAAGTTTGGTATCCACAAGTTCCCCGGGTGATCATTGATCTTCCGGTTCCCTCCATCATGGAAGGTATTTATTAGTTAGTATGTCAAAAGACCTATTTGGCTTCTAGAAGTTGGGTGGTTGGGGGTTCCAGGAGAAATAAATTGTTTGTCTGTGCGAGGTGAGACAAGATAGGATAGGACAGGCAGCATGTATACTAGACATGTACGTAGATATTTATAGGATGCGATATGCGGGTACCTAGATACTTCTGGGGAGTAAAATTTGTGTACAGTGGTTATTTATTATGGTGCGCTAGCTATAGCTACCTATGGGGTATACGGTGAGATGAGATGGGTATCTTGTTCTAGCTTTCAAGTTATCTATGGCATTCCACTCTCCCGGGTCCGTTTCCTCTTTATTCCTCCCTGCGTATGCCCACTCCTGCTCATACATAGTAATGATGGTAATGACAAGTCATCAATTCATTCCAAATGGTCCCACATCAGGATTGATACTTTCAATCCCCCTCCCAGTTGTGAAAGCGTTCATGAGCTGGCATTGCGAAAGCGGGCATCATCGCACCACATACATTACATATTTCCCGATGATCCATTTCCTCCTCCTCATCCTCTACATTCCAAAAATCTAGTTCGTCCACCGTATCTTGCGACCGAACTATATCTTCTGAGCCCATAGTATACTCTGTCTCAACGCGATCACTGGAAGGATGCTTCTTTGCAGGAAGCTGATTCCTATCTGCCACGAAATCAGGTGGGGTGTCTCTATCCTGCACCTTCCACTCTTTAAGCCTCGCTTCTTGTCCCTTGAACATGCTGCCTATATTTCTACCCACGCCGCCTGAAGATCCGTCTTCACTAGCTGCTTCGATCATATTCGTGACTCCGATATTGACCAGACTCAGGTTCCAATCCGCTTTCTGGGGATGTAATTTTCGAAACATGGGTATCAAAGATTCTTGGATGAGTCTTTCGACAATGCTATCTTTACCATCTTTTAAATTGAAAACGAAATTGGGTAGGGGTCCGGACCTGTAGATTCGATTGAAACTTCGGGCTCTGGTGCCATCCGCGTTCAAGGGTGGACGGGGACGGGTCGACAAACGGAGTGTTTTTGGATAAGCTATCCATCGTTTTGATGGTGTGTCAGATTTTTCATCGTCTTCAAGTAAGTCTTGATGCATTCTATTCAAGAGACTTGTTGCAAGCATTCGAAGCTCTCTTATTAGTTGTGGCATAGTATCAAGCTTGATATATGAGTCCTCGATTGAAATTTGGGATGGTACCTTTCGGATATCCTTCACATCCGAATCATCGCGACCATTGATCAGTGCCCAAGCCTTACCTCCGATACCTCTCTCTGCCCCAGATCCTCCAAGCACCTTTTCAAGTACCTCAGGACCAATTCCGGGGAAGAGACGAACATCACGGACTATGACAGATTCTTTGGTGCCTCCATAAATTAACCCACTTTCAAAATCGGCTGGACGCGAAAGAACATGGTTCCGAATACGTTGAGACATTTTGAACCCAATTCCAGGTATTTTGCCAATATCATGGCTATCAATGAATAACGTGACATTACTTTGTAGTCCATCATCACTGGGTAACACTTCATAAGGTGGGAGAAGAGTTGTTTGACCCTTTGGTTTGTGAAGGTTGCCTACCAATTTACTCAAAAGTTTGTTCGTGGATATACCAACTGTTGAAGTGTAGCCTTTTTCTTCTTCCAGGCTTAATCTTAGATGCTGGGCAAGATGTGAACCCAAAATCAACCGAGTAAGTAGTCCGATATCATTATTCGGCGACCCCGAATTCAGTGTATATTGAGGGGATGCTTCGCCGCACGGCTGCAAATCGGGATAGCCATGACCAGCAATCTTCGTCGCATCAAAGGCAAACCCCACGGTAGGATCATTACGGTCCATTTGAAGGAAGGAGTGGATCAAATCATTTGGATTGAGAAGTTTCTGATTATAGTCGACAATATCTGTGACGTCCATGAATACTTCATCAAATCCTAACCGTTCGACTTTTCCCGACCAACTGAACTTTTCCAAATTTTTATGTAACATTTTGGAGGCATCACGGAATCGACCCAGCTCTTCTCCCAAGACAATAACAACATCCGGACAGATTTTCTTGGCTTCGTGGATTAATTGTAATTTGCTCAAACCACGACGTCGAGCTTCATAATTGCATGTGACGATGATTTGTTTCTAAAGTGTTCACTTAGAACTCAGATATACATAGGTCTGTAGAGTTTGTACTATTTTGAGTTGGATATGGCAATCAGAGAAAGTCTTACCTGTTGTACAGCCTACTTATTACATCAGCCATGTCTCATAGATCAGAGGAAGGCAGAGAGAGAGAGAGGAAGTCAGATGTAAATATTTACCAAAGGCACTGATTTTAGAGCGGGATTCTCATTTTCAAAGACAGACGCGTAGAAACAGTCATAATCCTATAAACTCCGATTATCAGAATAGATACTTTTTGGAAGTGACGTGTTTGTTTACGAAATAGTGATGAATATAGAAATCCTAATGGGGCTGACTAACAAAATGTATGATTATCCTATGATCCTTTCTTGCCATTATGATTTATTATTAGCTCAGTGATATTTTGAGTTTGCTGGCGACGATGAGACAGGTGGATGTGAAGATTTTGGTCCCATTTTTTCTTTTGAAGTCAAATTATCGTATTGTATCGTATCGTATGGTATCGTATGGTATCGTGATATTGAACCTTACCTAGGTCCACGGGTAGTCTTTGTCTTGGTCCGAGTGAATAGAGTCTCATCCGAAAGAAGAATCTGGGAGGAAGAGAAGGTGCCAAGTTTGACAGCAAAGAGAAGGATTTGGATTGTTGTCAATGATACTCTACCTAGGTAGATCCATCCGTTTGGATATCAGGATGTATGGGTGTATAGTGTAAGTCGACGTCAAACACATCAAGTTATCATCGGATATACCTTTGCTTTGATCTAAAAATGTAAGACGGAGTGGAGCTTGTCGATAAGCAATAGTCAGTAGTCAGTACCTATGTATACCTTTAGTCGATAAGATTGACCCAGAGAGCCAGACTGCCAGAATCATAAGATGCCATTCTTAGAACTTTGTGCGGAAATTTGTTTCTAAGACACGTTCACACTGCACATGTCTAATCATATCTAAACATATCTAATGGTGGACTCAGAGTGGAGTTTGGAGATCATCTTGCTTTTCCAGAATTCTATTTTGAGATACATCTAAAAAGTCAGGCGTTTGATGTGGAGAGTTACCAAGAAAATACTTTCCACTGTAGGCGTACTCAGTGGGTACAGTACGAGTACGAAGTAAACTTTGCAGTATTATCGCCATCGCCGTCGCCATCGCCCCTTTTGCCTTCGTAACCCCTTCATCGCCCTCGCCACCAGAAAGTGGTTCTCGGAATTCTAAACTCAATACTTTCGAATACGATCAACCAGGGCAAATTAAAACATAGTTAATTTTATGTAACAATTGAATTGTATTCAAGTCAATAATGTGCTGAACCCAAGATTTTACCCCATAGATCTCATCCATTATTTGTTTCCAATCGTGTTGTTTCCTTGTCATTATCACCCATTCAATAAGCGATACTAACGCCAAAGAGCGTCTCAGCTATCGGTCTCTCAACAACAGATAAAGTTATTATTTCACAGGGCTACAAGGCTATTGTATTCTATTGATCTATCATGAAATATTGGTTGAAATAACATAAATAGCATATGGGATCAGTTACTTAAGGAGGACTAAAGGGGCGAAATCAATTATGAGAAGTCACGGTTGATATTGCAAGAATTCCTATAATAAGATCAAGCCACCACACTTACTGGTCCCATTCCCCTTGAAACAGCCAATCGTCTTGAATTGTCTTGATCTTCCAAGTCAAAAATCTATTCGCTCAAGCGGTGTGATATTCAAAAAGAACCCTTGCATAGGCGCCACTCACCCATGGACCCATCCACTCCGATAGTCCGAGATCCTAGATTCAGCCCAAATCTGCTACTCCATCTCCGTTCACTACTCCAATTTGCTAATCCAACCACTGCTACTACCTTGACTATCATAGAAACGTCCTACTCGAGTATTGCTGACCATCGCTCCGTAAACCAAGCTAAGGTAACTAGCTTCTCATACTTGTATTATTCAACCTCTCGGGAAATCCTTCCACGGCGCTTCAAGGAGCCACAACAACCATTGAATCCTTATATGGGTCTATGAGATGAGCCTAGTATGGTGGTTTGATGACCATCCCGAATGCTTGACAACCTGTAGTGCGTGGAAATCAATGAAATATTTCTATTTGCTTGGTTCAATTGTTCGAACCTGCACTGCAAGCCCCTCGTCACATCATTTCTATAAACATCGCGCCTATTCCCATACCTCACAAGCATAAGCATTTCAAACTTAATTAGCAGATGCATGACAGGTGATAAGACTGTGCTTAAACTCTAAACTCTCCCATCAGAACTTCTCCCCAGTTTTATTTTATTCATCTAATTCTTGGCCTAGGCAAAGGTCGATGGTGATATACATATAGCTGCGGCACGGTCACTGTTGGTTTCACCTGAGGGGCAGTTATTCATATCTTTTTTTTCTCTCTTCCTACTCATTTGTCTTACGCCTTACGAAATTACGAAATCATTTGACGAACTTTACGACTACGCCTTGTTATCGGTACATTAGATACATTATATCTAAGATACCTAGACCACCTGCGACTTTTTTGTGACCCAAATCATTGTCTCGACTCTTAAGACGAACACTCAACATTCAAATATATACTCTCGTACCACGGACCAGAATACAGTCAAGGAAGACTTTATTAAGAATCCTACCAAATCTCCGATTATGATGCTGGCACCTGTTCAAGAGTGCTCCTCTATAGTTATGTCTTTCCCTCCTCGGCATTCGTCACCACCAAAGAGACCGAAGTTGTCTTTACAGATCAAGACCCCATCTGCTCCACAAACCATTGGAAAATCCTCCACAGCGTTAAAATCAGACATCAATCCATCATCACCCACTGCATTTAATACACTTTCGAATGCATACGCAACAGCAATTGAAAATGCCTCGCCGCAAATATCAAAACCGGCAAGCCTTGAAGCTAGGCCTTCCTTGAGAATTCAACCCATGCCTTCACGACTTCAGACGACACGACTTCAAACAAATATAAAAGCAGAGGATGGATATATACATCCATCAGAGCGCACTGCGACTCCTGGGCCATTTGCGATATCATATCCTGATACCCCAACTTCGGCTCACCCTGATTCAGCTCACCCCAAAGATTCCCTAAACTTCACATTTACCCCGCCGCATTCAGCTGGCTCATCCGATAAAAAGATATTCACCTTTGCATCGCAAGCTTTTAATAGTGCATCGCCGCGAAGTATGAGACGACTTACGCCATATACACATCCCAAATCTCTTCATAGTATCCTTCGGAACTCACCACTTCCACCTCCAAGCGCCGTCGCACCTGCAACACCAAATACTGCAAGTCGACTCGCAACGCGATTGGCAAATAAAGGCACGAAGAAAGTAGAATACGATGACCCTTTGACTCAAACCATCACCACTAATAAATATGTAAAATCGCACATCGATCTTCTATCCGAAGACTCTCCTCATCCCGCCACAGATCCCGAATTCGCAACTTTAGACACCCTCGACACAACCATGCAATACACTGGCGATGAAACACGCGATGGAGGACAGACCCCGGGACCATTTGAAGAAATGCGAAGAAGAATGGCAGAGAGTGGATTAGAAACTCCCGGGTTACGAAAACGTAAGCGCAAGGACAAGAAGAGAAAGTGGAGATGGACAATAGGAGATGGAGAGGAAAGTGATGCGCAAACAACTCCTACGACTGCGTTGGAGAGAACTCCGATCACATCGATTTGGATGGGTGGAGAAACGACAAATGGGGATTCAACAATGTTTGGGAATGGAAATGAGAATGGGAACATTGAACAAGATACTGTTTCGAAAGATAGAAATAATATTTCATCGGATGAAACGATTAGGATGAGTCGAAAGAGAATTTCTTTGGGGAATTTTGAAGGAGGCAGAATAGATGAGGGTAATGATGATCGTGATAGGCGAACACAGTCCGTGGAACTATTTACCGATTCGGACATGTCAGAAGAGGGTAGTGAAAGACCTGGTACATCACATTCTCTCTAGTTTATAGTTATACGATAAATGATTTTATCACCTACAAAGGTTATTTTATAAGCATTCAGTATAAGCTCACCTGTCTTGATACATCAGACTGGTTACATGTACAGAGTATGAAGAAGTCGTATTGTTTGATATGACTTGGTAGATGACTCGACTATTCGACTCTACACATATGGACCGATGAGATAGAATAAGACGAGGTATAATTTCTAATTATATCAATTTATATCTAGTATTCTCTCATATTTATTAAATATATGGTTGATATTTGATAGAATAAGTTGTAAATACAAGCAAAATAATCACACACAATAAATGAATAAATAGTTGGTGTTTCTCAGACTCTTATCTGAAATACTTTTGGGTCGTACATCCATCAAGCACACTTTCTTACCACATTTTGCTTCAAATACCTACGTGAAATGAAAACAGGGAACAAAAAAGCCTTGCTAGTTACATATATCTTTCCATCTATCTCAATTCAATAGGTAACATCCCAACTTGGTCCATCCGACCTTGCTGGATGGTGGAATCGATATATACCTAGTCAGGTATTTATTACAATGTAAGGTTAACGCTTTCTATCTACTACCTGCTGAAATACTCGTTAATCTAGTTCTAAAGAATATTGATTTACAAGACACGATTTCAACCAACAATCTCTTTTTGCTCCTCTCTCTTAGCATTCTCCTAACTTAACGTTGTGATATTGCAATCCCATCGGTCGGTAGATCATAGGACAAGTGCTCACGAGATCAAGAAGTCATCTTGATCACTTCCGACCAATGAGGAAGAGCGATAATCACAAAACACGAGAGGAAACTTTTTTATAAACTTTGAGAGGTACTGTCGTTTGTCGTGAATATTTCTGGGAAAGAGAGAGAGTTTCCAGAGAGTTGCTTCGTGATGTTGGTGGGTGGGAGAGAGGATGAAGAGGAAAGGGTCATTTGGTGCTACATCTCAGGCGGGGAGGAGGATGTGAAAATATAAAGGGGGAGAGATGAGACGTTTCGTTTGGAGAAATCATTATCGCAGAGTTCTTGAGTATCCTCAAAGTTTTGGATTCTGGGAGATTCTCATCCTATTTGCCTTTTCGTTTTTGCTTCTGTTTTTCTTCTGCCTTCGTTTCTTCAATCTCTAGATGCTTGTGCACAAGCAAAATTCTCATAAGATCATTTATACTCTATCCTTAAGATCGATCACGTAGTCTTTTCGTACCCTATCATCATGTCCTACGATATAGAAGACGGTGCTCCCACCACCCTTAGCCTCTCCTCAATAAACAGCACCAGCACCAGCACCAGCACCAGCACCTCTCCCTCTCAATTCCTCGTCCCTAGTTCAGTCTCCCGCCACGCCAACTTCTCAACAAGCACCCATCAGTACCCCGACTCACCTACCCTTGGACCTGTCCCCGCCGTCATCAAATCCACCAATGGGAATCTCTTCTGGGCCGACGAATCCTGTGCTCGTCGCGTGGGACTCACTTGCGACGAAGCTCGTCTCTTCCTGCAATTGCAATCTGGTAATTACACTTACTCGGAGTATTCTCCCATGTTTCATGCTTTTGGAGAGGAGAAGAAGAATCTCCAGCGCAAACTCAGGGAATTGAAATGGTGGCAGGTGGAACGGAGAAAGGAGTGGGAGCAGAGAGTAGAGTGGTTGAGCAAGATGGAAGAACCGAGACTTTGGTTGCTTTATTTGATGGCGAGAAAAAGGAGAATTTTGTGGGTAGCTTGTAGAAGGGTTCTGGATAGATTGAGGTATAAGAGGGAGGAAAGGGAGGAAAGAAAGAGGAATTCTCAAATAGGAATTGAGGCTTTGAAAGAATCTACTACGGGGGAGAATTCAAGTTCATTGGATTCCGAAAACACGCAATCGGGTGATAGCGAGCAATCGGTAACTGAATTGACTACAGGTACACTCACTCAACTGGTTACCGCCCATCAGTCTAGCTCTCACCCAGCAAGCACACATTCTCATGAATCCTCCACACACTCTCATTCTCATTCCTGCTTACACAAACTCACCAGCAGAATGAGACAACCCGAGAAATCCCACCCCGACCCATCCTCCAATTCCTGTCCAATCTTCAGTCGTCCCTTATCCGCCACCACCTCCTCTCTCCAAGCCCTCACCACTCTCCTCCTTCCCCCTCAATCCCCCTACCTAGTCCTCGGCTACTTCCCCACCTCCTCTCTCGATCCCCACGAAACCTACATCTCCCTCTCCGACCCCGCTACTCTCTTCTCCTCTCTTCACCACGCAGAACGCTCTCTCCGGGGCGCTCGCCGCTTTTTCTCCCTCAAATCGCTCGCGGGGTTTGGTCTGTATAAATGCGATATTGAGCGCGGTGCGCATATGAAGATTGGGTTGCGGGAAGAGGAGAAAATGGTGTTGAGGAAGTTTTATGCGGCGTATAAGGTGAAGAGGAGGAGTATCCCGTGGTTTGGGAGGGGAGAGTGGGATGAGGATGTTGAGAGGGCGTGGTTGGGCTGGGTGGAGAAGAGTTTGAATGAAGGGAGTCAGAGGAAGGATGGGAAGGGGGATAGTGCAGAGAGGGCTAAAGGACCGTTGGAGGGGAGGTGGAGTTTGGAGTTGGTATATGATTGGTTAGTTGAGTCCTTTTTTCCTTCTTTGGTCTCTGCTTTTGATGGAAATCAAGATGAACATTATGATGTGATAAATACTAATATATGAGCAAATAAACAGGTGTCCATATCGACTCAGCGCTGTAGTCATCACTCCGCTCCTTCTCAGTCTCATAGTAGGAACCTGGTTTATGGCAGTAACCGGTGATGTGATCACAGCTTGGACATTGGCTTTGTACATTGTGACGGCGGCTGCGGCTATCGTTGCACTATTGGGTATTATTGGGAGTTTGAAGGATGTTTGAATTTTGATTTATACTGCGGGGATATCAATCTGATGTATATGTAATACATAACCTACTTTTTGGTTCTTGGATTGTTGTAATGGGAAACTTACATGGCTGGGGTTTGTATGGGGAGTATTTCATTTGGGAGATTTGTACTCGTAGACTCTAGAGTAATTATAATTAAGCATGCTTCCTCTCGCAGAATGGAATCCCCTCAACCTCATCTCAGAAGTTCAAAATGACATTCAAACACTTCCAAATCCTCACATACAATGAACCGAACACTTACCCAGATCCCACTCCAAATTGAGTTCCGAAACACAGCTTCTCTCGCACACATTCATCCACTTGGTGAATCCCATCATTTTCTCGAATCCATGTGGATTTAGAAATACCTAGTATTGTATTATAAAATAATAGTTGATACTCCACTGCTAAGAGGTTATACTCAATATCCTCTCCTCAACTTCTCTAACATCACCATCCCTCGAAAAGGCTATCGAAATCGTCGATATTACTCACCAGACTCCATGAGATTCCTCACAAATATGCAGATTCGAGAAGATAAATCGCCTTCGGTTAATAAGATTGTATACAATTCCCTAAGGATTATCAACCGAAAAAAGGAAAAGAAAAACTTGGAGATGATAATAACGATTAATTCTACCCTTTTCACGGAATAAGTTTTCATTCATTTCACTGCACTACACTCTCTCCCATGTTCGTTTTTCCTGTGTACTTCCCCCTCCCTTCACTCCAACCATGCCCTCGAATTTTTTAGAAAATCGAAATTAAAATCAAAAAATTATGTAACATCTCGCTTTCCTTCCAAAAGGAAAGGCATCTTATTGACTCTCCACCCAATTCTTCTTTCCCACATGGGGAAAAAGGTGCCGAAAATAAATTTCAAGTTACACTTAGCAAGTCCCAGTTTCGATCTGGGGACCTCCGGGTTATGAGCCCGGCGCGCTTCCACTGCGCCAACTTGCTTATTTGTGTTGCTTGATTTGATGAACGAGCATTAATTATTTCTGTATATAAATATTTTTTGTTGTGTGGGTGGAAAAGAGGAGTGGAGTGGGGTGGATGTTAGTCATAGATGCAGAGGCGGGACCGAGAGGAGGGGCATTTTCATTAGACGACTTTGGAATTAGATGAATGATTATTATGTAGATATTTGAGGGTTGGTGTAAATCTATAAGAGGGAAGAAGACTTTCCAGATGAATCTAAAAAGTGTTGAAATAAGGTAAGGAATCACAATACCAAATATAGCTTATTCAGAATTCATTTCTTTTACATCTATCATTCGCAACGACTGAGATATATCTCGTTATTACCACGCAAATCTCCCATCAACACTAACCTCACAATTCATACCTCATTTCCTTCCTACTCTAATCATACTTCCCACTCAACTTTACCAATCCCTCTTTCTCATTCTCCTCCTTACTCTTCCTTGACCAAGCCGGAGCTTCATCCTTTCCTTCATCTTCCTCTTTATCACCTTGCTCCTTCGTTTCATGCACCGTAGTTGGCGCATGTTCTGCCGGCGAATAAATCGTGTACAGAATCAATGGTTCTTTCCCTGTGTTTACAAATTGATGTTGAGTACCCGCTGGTACGACCATTAAATCTCCTTTTCGAACCTCTTGGTTTTTACCGTTGATGGTAGCGAGACCAGTGCCGGAAGTAAAGGTGAGAGCTTGGTCGACTGTGTGGACTTCGTCACCTATGTCACCGCCGACGGGGATGGTCATGAGCACGACTTGAGAGTAGAGGCCTGTGAACTTGGGAGCGTTAGTCTAGGGTTTGACGAGGCGATGATAGGGAGAGGATGAGGGAGAGAGTAAAAGGAGAGGAGCAGTATATTGCATTGAGATGGACGGCATATAGTTAGATGAAGCAATGTTATGGGAAAGAAGGAAATTCTGATGCACATACAAGTACTCTACGAAATTCATGGGAGGAAGCTGGAAGATCCGAGGTCATTTGAGGGAAATAGACCATATCATGAGAAGGGGGCGATGAATTGGGTTTCTTAGACGCCATGTTGCGACTTTGTGTACTTAACGGAGTTGGATTCTTGAATGAGGTTGATTTTCTATACGTGGAGAGTAGACGGGGAGTATATTTGGCGTTTTGACTTACTTTACCAAGTAAATTGCGGATGGTTGGTGAAAGCATGATGAATTAGAATAAGGGACTGAGATGAGGAGTTTTATATTGATCTTTGGAGGCAAATGGGTGATTTCTTTATGATGAAATTTGTAACCCTTGAGTTTGTCTGGATTCATCTCTGTGCTCGGTCTTGATGTCATTGAATGATATTAGTTCAACTGCCAGGTGGTTCACCCCTCTTTCCTTTGTAATCAACCTGCAGAGGAAGGGGGATATTCCTCATTTGACAGTATCGAATATAATGACATGATATGTTTGATACCAATAATCGGTGGTAAATCGGATATTTTCAGAAATTGAATCGTAAGGATAGATTTCATGCCTTAATCATTATTGTCTCAATATCCTAAGAGGATAGATACCTTGCTGTATTGCTGTACATCATGATGATGTCGTACATAGTAAACACATCCCGAGTGATACCGAATAATTTCCCCAGATTTCGGGCCCGGATTATCTTCCTCATTCAAATCCCGATCATGATCCGATCCTAGTCGATAATCTTTCTCACTCATTGATTCGATTTCATATCTACAGACAACTTTCCAATCACATAATGAATTCTATACCACGGATATCGAGAGCTCTGAGTAGCAAAAATGCTAATGGGATATGTACATCATGTGCGAAACCAAAACGAACAAACGCACCATTTTTCAAAACTTCAATAAGCAGAAGTATTTCCAATAATTCAACCCCTCGAGGAAATGTAGCACCAACGATGGAACAATTGAGAGCGCCATTCTCACAGAAGAATAGTTCGACTATGTACTATACCCTCAGTATCATTCTAGGAACTGTAGCCTTCTCATATGGTTCTGTGCCAATGTATAAAATGGTACATTTCATTACACGCCACTTTACTACTATCTAGCTAATGTATACTTCTTCAGATCTGCCAGACTACAGGATGGGGAGGGCAACCGATCAAAGCACCCGGACATGGCGGCAGTGGTGTAGAGGGAGAAGATCCATCGGAAAGACTCAGACCCGTCACTTCTGCAAAACGTATACGAGTAACCTTTAATGGCTCTGTTTCGGATGTTCTACCATGGAAGTTCACACCACAGCAGAGAGAAGTTCGGGTTTTACCAGGAGAAACGGCATTGGCATTTTATACTGCTACGAATAAATCTGATGAGGATATAATTGGGGTGGCAACTTATAGTGTGACGCCTGGACAAGTGGCTCCATATTTTAGCAAGATTCAATGTTTTTGTTTCGAGGAGCAAAGGTTGAATGCTGGGGAAACGGTTGATATGCCAGTATTCTTCTACATCGATCCAGATTTTGTTAATGATCCGAATATGAGAGGTATTGAGCAGGTTACTCTGAGTTATACATTTTTCAGTAAGTTATTTTCTAATTCAAATATGAGGGTTAGAAAGATATTAATATATCCAACAGAGGCTAGATATGATAAGAATGGGCACTTGAAAGCTATGCCTGTTGGTATGTAAAAGACGTATGGGATGTATTATATTTATTTGCATTGAGAGGAGTTAAAAGCTTTAGAGGTATATGGATTCGGGTTGTTTGTATTACTACGGTTTAAGTAGGTATTTGCTGTAGTTTTGACTACTTGGATATCTATTCAGCTGTTCTACGATGTATTACTATAGTACAAGTATCTACTATAGTTTAACTGTCTATTATCACCAACACTTCTCTCTTTCCTGCCTTTCTAATTCAGTTTGACATTCTGTTTCTCATCGTCCTTCCCCCTTCTAACTGATATTCTAGAACTACAGGTTGCCTCTTGCAATATATGTGATGAGCAGTGGCTGACCATACGTGATAATGAATTAGAGAAGCTTCGTGGAACAACGGATATCTAAATATAAATATGAAAGTAAATGTATCTCGATGATCCAGGTAGGTAGGTAGGTAGGTAGGTAGGTACTTATTACTGATCCATTCAAGATAGAATTGTACCTAATAAGTACTACCTACTCGGTACACAAGTAGTTGAAGAATGAAGAGATTCATTCACTAATTTATAAGCAGATTTATTAACCAGTTAAACACATTTAAACAACAAATCAAGCTTTGATTGAACCTCCACCACTACTCCCTACTAGCTACTTTATTAGCTCGCCCTTTCCTCGATTATATTGACTACAGTAACCTTAACCTTTCTACAATTTACTAACAAGCTGTTTGTTTATTTACTTTGGGGTTCGAGAAAGTATTCTTCTCTTCCTCAATATTGAAATTGATAACAGCAGCATCACTCTTCATATCCCGCTATCAGAATTCGTCTTCGATTTGGGATTCATTCTTCATTCTCAAGTAGGTCAGAAATTCCTATGTCTGCCTAGTTTCCGGGTGATTCAAGGCCTACGCTCACTCTCCACACAGCCAAGTAATCTTACCTTACCATTCACATAACGGTCACCTGATTATTGTCACTCAAAATTGTCATCCAAACGATGGCCACGAAAAAGGCTGGTGAGGCTGGTGCAAACATCCGTCTTGATGATGATGATGATGATGATCAGAAAACACATATTCCTCACATAACTCCTGCGCTATCTCGCTGTTCTTCTTCCTCTTCGAATACATCTTATAACATGGCTCACGCTCCAATTAGTGTGATTCAGGAAGCTGGTTCAGATCTATTCGAGGAGCGAAGTCATGTAGAATATTTGAAACCATTTGAGGAAGAGATTCTTAAAATGGTCTTTCCATTTGCAATCACCCCTGCAGTATCACCTATATCTCCGCCTTACAGCGACGAGGACTCATCCATTTTGAAGGATAGACTAGATTTGGTAGAGAAGAAGCATAAACCATTCATTACTACACCTCCAGAGATTATCATGGGAATTTTCAAGTATCTTAATCCTATCGATGCAGTTTGCTTCAGTCTCATGAAGTTTGTACTACCCAAAACTCATCGTATGATCATTCATTAACTGCTTTATATAGTAAATACATTCGCAATGTCTATCTGTCACATGGTCGTCATCAAATTCTTGATTTCAACCCACCTCTTGCGATGGGTCGACCGGAGAGTACATTTCCAGTCATACCTGGACCCCAACGTTCATGTCGTCACTGTTGTCCTGTCGCTTTCTTCCCAGCACATTGCGAATTGCATTTTCATCTCACAAGTTTCATGCCATCACATCTTACCTTTTGCGCTGGACAATGTCAAATGTTCACGGAGCGTGAAGAATCGGATCTGAATTATTGTGGAAGCTGTGGGAGAAATTACAGGAAACAGTTTGAGAGAGGCAGGAGAATGATCGATGTAAAGAGAGGAGATGGCCATACTTTTAAATGGTATGAGCAGCCAAGATTCGATCGGGAGAGTCGGGCGAGACAGGAACGTTGAGCAGCAAGAAGAGCGCAACAAGTACCTGCCTCTAACTCCTCGTAGAGTTAAAGCGACATTCGCCCTATAAACATAAAGAGAAACGCAACCTAGAGAAATGTAACGCACGCCAGATAATATTCTTACTCATATCGCCATTTCGTCGTTGTCTCAAGTCGATGTGGCGGATTGAAAGATTGGATTCGAATAGCTGGGTGATAGTACGCCGTGAGAATGTTACAACCGGATAGATTTTATTTACGAATACACGTATGACTATTATTTCGATGGAGTTTTGAGATGGTAAAATAGGATACAGTACTATACCATTCGAGTTCATGAGACGCATTTGAATTTTTACGGATTGGGATAACAGGTAAACAAACGGGATAGGGTAGGATATGACAGGATTCACGATACTTGCTTAAGGGTCCACGGAACGAATTTGCTTCATGGATGGAGTCCCGAGATGAGATGAGATGCAAAATGGGATTTTATGGTAGCGGGAAGTAAATGTTTTGAGGGATTTCGTTTGTAATTGGATGGTATTGCCTAGGTATGGATGGATTATGGTTATAGGTATGGTTGTGGACTTTTTTTTTTTTTTTATGGACATGATGGGATGGGATATTATGGTATGGCGTTGAAATGAAGTGTTGGTGAAGTGGAATGAAATGCTCGGGAGGTGGTGAAAAATTACCTAGGTCGGATTGTTGATGAACGTATGAATATTGGCTTGAGGTTACTTGATGAGATATTTATATAGAGTAAGGGAGAGTAAGGGTTTGAGGATAGAGAGGTCCTGACCTGGCTCTTGTTACCTAGTAGGATAGGTAGGTAGTTGAATGTTAATTTGATATTTGAATCGTAGGTGGATGATGAGATATTACAAGGATGTGTTTGTGTTTGTGTTTGTGTTTGTGTTTGTAGGGAGGAGAGGAGGAGAGGAGGGGAATTGCTTACTTGTAAGTGAGTGAGTGAGTGACTTACTAGGTGAGATTTGGGTGTTTTAAAAGTTTATTAGGGAGGATGGGATTTAGTGACGGGTGTAGGTATGGTGAATGTATGGTTTATGATTTTAGGGAAGAAGAGGAGAACGATGAAAGGGAAGGGCAAGGGGAGGATGTAGATTAAAGATTGTAGGTAAATATCTATCCTTTCTTCTTTCATCTGAATATTCCTATAAAAAAAGAATCGAATGAATATCCTCGCTATCATGATTAAAATAGATAGATGCGTGAGTAAAAGCATATATATCACAAAGCAAGAGCGAGTACAAAAGAGTTACTAATATGGGATAATATAATATTGAGTCCTCTTTGGGAGTACATGATCATTTTGTTGTGTGGAGATTATATATGCTATGCTATGCTACTATATGACTATGTTACTATTCCAACAGAAACGATACTCGCATACCGTTTCTGGATCCTTGAACAATATAGTATTAATGTAATGTAAATACATATCTTGGAGCATCGCTATGAACCTAACAATAGTGCTTTTCCCAATACTCCATACTCCTCATAAGCATCACGCATATACAATTTTTCCTTTATTCTCTCAGGTCATCGAATCCTTTTCGATTCTTGATAGCCTACTCATCCATAGCAACTCAAACAAATTTCTTCCTTTTGATATCCACTTGAGATTTACTTCTCTCAATAAAAAGGACTCTCTCCAGTACATTAACCACGAACCATTGAATAGCCAAAATGAAAATCCTCAAGATCAAATCACTCAATCCAAGTACAGGACGTTTACCTCGACTAAAGGTACTATCTTTGAACTCGAACGGAAGAGTAGCACCTAGATGATCCATTGCTACCTTGATTCCACTACTAAAGCCATCTTCGTGAAATCCGTATTTGGTCCATGCTCCACAGTAAGATATGTTTCTTGTGTTTTGAATTTCCGGAAGTTGGGATTGAGAGGTTATGGCACGTGTATTATAGAGTGGATGACGATACGTATATGTACTGTGAGTGAGTTCTGGTTTTGGTGGAAATAAAGGATTAAGTGTGACGAGGACATCGCCAAATTTGGAGGTCGGGATATGCTGCAGAATATTCATATTGTATGTTAGACAAACTTGGTCAACATTTCTAGATTTCGAGGTCGAAGAAGTAGAAGAAGCAGTAATATAATTCCAAGCGGACCAAGCCTCCCTACTTTGAGGCATGAGAGAAAGATCAGAGTGAAGGACAGCTGTATTTTTTGAGGTTTGAAATCCAGTAAGAATGCGACGTTCGGTGGATGTGGAAGAGGATCGGACTAAATTATATGCAACATCTCCATGAGTAGCGATTATGACGTGATCGAATATCTCCTCCTTGCCATTCTCGAGACATAAGCGTATACGATTATCATCATCATTGCGTATTGATTCGACGGGTGTAGAAAGGAAGATGTGATTTGGCGGAAAGCCTTTCATCACGGCATCGACGTAGGACTTCGCCCCATTCTTTACCGTTAACCAGTCAGGGCGAGCAGCAACGGTACTTAATAGATGATGATTCCACCTAAATTTGTTAGTAATGTTCAAATAAACTATGCCCTTAATTTCGACCTACATGAATCGGACCAAAGTGACGGCTGGGAATTCTAGAGAACACTTATCCGGACTTGTACTCCACACAGCTGCAGTCATTGGTATAAGATAATCATCTCGAAATGCATCCGAATATCCTTCCCTATCCAGATATTGACCTATGGTTTCTTGTTTCTCTGCATGATGAATGTTCTTTGAATTTCCATTTCCATTTCCATTCACATACCCGTTCACGTATTCCTCACTCTTCTCTTCCTCTTTCAATAAGTCCAAAGCAAATTGGTTGAAACGGATGATATCGAATATCATTCTCCACATCCTTAATGAAAAGAGATTCTTTCGTTGTGCGAATACTGATGACAGTGAGGTTCCTGACCATTCGAATAATCCCTTATCTCGAGAGACTCCAAAGGTCATTTCAGTACGTACGGTAGGAACATTGAGGGTATTCAGAAACGCTATGAAATTCGCTATAAAATGTTTGTCAGCCTATATGCTCTTGAATGTTATATGGCCATGGTTGTTTGATAGTTCGGACTGCAGTCCAACAATCAGATGCTTCCAAAGTCTCAATTTAATCAAGAGATCCAATTGATATGAAACACTGAGTCTATTCCGAATATTGTTGGCTTGCTTTCTGGCATTGAAAACTTGCATCCAATCTGCCAGTCAGGACTGTTTGTAAATCCTGCGTGTGGCGCGGGATTGGGCCAGTGAATAACTTACGATAAGTAGCAGTATTCAGGACTATAAACCCTGTATCGACAGGAGTTGTTTTGCCATTATGGGGATACTGGACGGTATTTGTATGACCTCCTAATCGATCCGCAGCTTCGTAAATGTATACATCGTGGTGCGTTCGATTTAAAGCCCAAAGAGCCCCAATTCCAGCACAACCACTTCCGATGATCGCGACTTTCTTTCTAGGAAATCGATCAGTTAGGCCGGCGGACATGATTATGAAGGAAGATACAAGATGGACACAGAAAGGAAAGAGATGGAGGGAAAAAATAGTCAACAATTAAAAAGATGTGAAAGAATGGAATATTCACATGTCAGTACTGAGCGGCTTCTCTTGGGTGGTGGCGGGGGTAGCTGCAGCTGAAGCAGTAGTGGTATTGGTATTGGAAATAGTGTGCTCGTAGCTTGGAGAACTAGTTGATGATGGCATCGTTTGAATGATTTCTTTTGTGAGTGTTCAATTGGGTGTTCAATTGACTTTTTGGTTGAAGTTTACGACACGAGTACGGAGTACTATTTGAGTGGTCTATGATAAGGTTCGATATGTAGAGAGAGAGATATAGATAGATAGATGTAGATATAGATGTAGATGTAGATGTAGATATAGATATAAACATAGACAGAGGGTTTAGGAAGGGAGAAGTAGAAGAATGATTTGTGATGGAACTTTGATGAAAAGACAAGTTGTTGTTAGTAGGGTAGATAGTCAAGTTTTTCTTTCCTTCCCTTTCTTCCTCTTCCTCTTCATCATTTTCAATCTTCTCTTCTAAGTTCTCTCTTCTCTCAAGCTAGTCCCCCTTCCTTCATCTGTGCTCAAGCTTCAGTTCATACGATTACGATGCTGAAACTTGGTGGGGATGGATGTGAAGATCAGAAAAATGTAGCAGGGGCTAAGGTTAAGCCAGGTACAAGGACGAGGGACGAGGGCAGATACGGAATAGCTCGATACTAGATCGAGACTATCTGAGATAGATAGTTAGGCACGTGATAGGTAGGCTTTTATCACTTGTAGCTTCGAAGGGCGAACCTCGGATGATCGGACTTTATTGACGCCGACGAGGGAACAGGAACAAGTAACAATTTTCAAGTACTGGTATGTATGTATCCCGTCGGAACTACCGGTATAAAATATCGTCGAGAACATCCCGATGGAACAAGGTTGACTATGACATATGGCACATGCATTGTATCACATGATCCCTGAGCCACATCTTCTTATCTGAGCCACAACTAAACTCCCCAAGGCTGACATTTATTAACCTGTGAACCTGGTAATGATGTTTTAAGACGTCCGCAACTTCCAGTTTCCCATTCCTTTCCCCTTCCTTGAATTGTCAATGCATTAGCAACAATAATCAAAACACAACTGTACATTATACATTATTCAAAAGACAAACTGTTGACCTATCATCTATCATAATTCCCCCCTCTCTATCCCATGGTTTTGTGATACATACATACTCTCATACTCTCATACTCTTTGACTTTGAACCGGGGAAGGAAGGAAGGAAGTATTGCGTTGCTTGCTCGGTGTTACATTACTGCATTACGACGCCATCAGAAGGCACCGATCATCAATAATTATTCTTTGAAATAATCCATATCTCCTTTTCAATACCCATCACATTCATACCCATTGATTCTATCACCTGCCGTTTTCAATCATGTCAAATCCTCTCGATACCGATGCAGGCTCGGAGCTCTTCAGCAGTTATGAAGCAGAGCTCAAACTCGTTCAAGCCGATTTAAATCAAAAGTTGGACCAAATCCCCGACCTTACTGGAGAACCTCGTAAAGCTGCCATAAGTCAAGCTGAGAGAGCATTAGAAGAGGCAAATGAATTGGTAGGCTCAAGAACAAAACGCTTGTTATCTAGTACTTACTCTTATCTAGCTTGATCAAATGCGACTCGAGAAACAAAATATCCCTTCTGCAACTCGTACCAAAGTTAACCAACGATTTCGAAATCATGAATCAGATGTGGATGTATCAAAGAGGAAACTGAAGACTTTACAAAACGACCGATCAGCTCTATTTGGCTCACGCTATTCCGATAATCCAAACGATGTCCAACTCGAACAAAGACAACAACTTCTATCAGGAACAGACAGATTAGACCGAAGCTCGCAGAGACTAAAGGCCAGTCAAGCATTAGCCAATGAGACGGAGGCTATTGGTGCTAGTACGCTCGCAGATTTACACAGACAGAGAGAGACCATTCAACATACACATGACACATTGATACAGAGCGAGGGGTTTGTTGATAGAAGCGTAAAAACGTTGAGGGGGATGTCTCGTAGGTAAATCGTCCCTTGCTCCACTCATAACTGCCGAGGATGTCACGCTGACCACCCTCCTTTAGGATGGCTACCAACCGGATAATCACCGTGGCCATTATAACAGTCTTAGTTCTTCTTATCATTGCTGTTATTGTTAGCAAGTTCAGATAGACTTCTTGCATTTGGACGGGGGCGTTCTTTGTTGCTTGGTTCTCAATTACACTTTGCCATAGGCTGATTTCTAATATAACTTTGTACTATTGGTTTACATAAAATGGTTCCAAATAGCAATTCGTGCAAGGGTAGGTTGATTGATTTTAGCCAGGTTTCCGATGAGGAATTCCTAGTGCAGTTCGGTAGCGGTCCGAGATACAATATCAATCGCGTGGTTCGGGCAAGTGCATGGCATGTAGTGAACCTCGCACCGGCGCGTTATGATGATACCTTCTTTGGCCACTTCCCAATCCATTCTTGCCAACTCATTTGCACATTGCTGCAGTCAGCGAGTTTGCCCTCTCTGTGCACATTCTTTCTACATATTATGCTGAGTCTCTATCATTGCCGGGTGAGGTGAATGCCGATGCAAATCTCCTCTGCATATCACGAGTCACAAACATATGATCTAATGAATACTGTGCAGTTAAGCATGTGCGGGCATCCATCCCAACTGTTCTGGGTGGTAACCAAATATCTGAGGATGAGAAACCATGGCACCACAGCTACATATGTATCCTTGTTTCATGTGGTCTATCTTACAAATTGGTATTGACAAAATGTCTTTACCCGTCAAATTTTGCTTGCTACCGGTGGTGTGTTGCACAGACAGGTCCCAAAGAAGCACCGATAAGACTCCTCGCAACCATCCATGCATTCATGAGTACTACACACTTACCAGCCAAGTACTTAGCCTACGCAAGTCACTTTAACTTCTTATGATGCTAGATTGACGTCGGAATACAACACGCCCTGTAAGCTACAACATTTACGCAAATTCCAATTGGGCTGCTCGTGGTAAAACGTGGAGATCTGTAAGTCATTTGGAAGCCCCGCTCTCTCTCCAAAAAAGGAAGGCCGCTAGCCCTTCGACAGGGGAAAATGTCGATGCTTCAATTTGTTGAGGCTGCTGTCCTCCATATAATGGTGACGATGCTTGAACATAGTGTACAATATGGTGTGCAATCATGGCTTTATATCTCCTCCGTTGCCATCACTCCGCATTCCCCAATTTTTCTGCATTGCCATGCTCAGATTTTGATCGTTTGTCATTGATTCAATCCTTCTTTGAACATGCTGTCCTCTGATATCAGTCGGTTTGACGTGGTAGCTATTCTTGGAACTTCGATTCTTATTTACTGCATCTTGGGCATTATATATCGTCTTTACTTCCACCCGTTATCCAAATTTCCGGGTCCTATATTGCCTGCAGTCACCCTCTGGTCGGAATTTTATCATGAATGTATCCAACCAGGCCAGTATTTCCTTAAGATTGCACAATGGCACGAAAAATATGGTATGTCAATTGGACAGTCGATACTTCAAAAGACCAAGTAACATCATATTTAATACTCTCCTTAGGTCCAATTATCCGGATCGGGCCAAATGAAATTCATATCAATGATCCCGATTACTACAATACCCTATTCTCTTATAGTGGCGTGAGAAACAAAGATCCATTTTACACAGCCCAGTTCAATACGCCAGATACTGAATTCGGAGCCGAGGATCACTATATACATCAAATGAGAAGGTCTGCACTCAATCCATTCTTCTCAAAAGCTTCGATTGAACGCCTTTCCCCTATGTTAACTTCTATGGTAAGCCTGCTCTCCACTAGAACTGTCGAATCTTGAGCATTCATCTCCTCCCAGTGGCTTTTTATATGATCTCATCTCACACCAATATTAAGTGCTCCGGATTAGTCTTAACATCTATATCTCTCTATAGGTCGAGAAGCTCTCATCACGCCTCGAAGAGTTCCGTAACACGAATCAACCGCTCATTATTCGCCTTCCCTTTCAATGCTACACGGCCGATATTGTTACACTTTACGCAACCAACCGTTGTTGGAAACATCTCGATGTACATCTCACCCTTCTCGTTTGGAAACACTTCTAATAGAATTCTGCAGAGTCCAGATTTCAATCCCTCATGGGCACAAACCTTTGTTGCTCTATCTGTCATATCAAAATGGGCCAAATTCCTTCCAAGTATTTATACCTTGATGGAACATACCCCGCGCTGGATACTGAACAAATTTGCTCCGAGCGTCATTCTCATGCTTGATCATAACAACGTACTTTCGTCTTTCCTCTATCTTTACTTCTGGCCCTCTCTCCTCGCTAAGTTGCAGCTAACACAAATCCTCTCAGAAAATTCGCACCCAAATCAGCGAAATCCTTTCTGGCACCATCCTCCCGGTCGATGCCCCAATCGATGGCTTCCCACGTACCATATTTCATAATTTTCTCTCCTCTTCTTTACCGGAAAGCGAAAAGAAGTTCTCTAATATGAGTCAGGAGGCTACCAATATCATTGGGGCGGGTACGGATACGACGGCTCATACGTTGATGATTTTGATATATTATCTAGCTAGTGACGCGGTGAGGTGTGAGAAGTTGAGGGAAGAATTGAGGGGTGCGGGATTGGAGAGGAGAGAGAATGGGGAGCCAAAGAACGTGGAACTGGGGATGGTGGAGAGATTGGTTTATCTGGTGAGTGTATTTGGGATCATGAATGAGAGACGTACGGGACTGACTCGAGATCTAGAATGCTTGTGCTCTTGAAGGATTACGGTGAGTTTGATTTCATACGCAACCTGAAGACGACTCGATAATAATGAATAAAAGTCTTTCTTACGGCGTCTCGAGTCGACTAGCTCGCATCGCACCCAACGAGAACTTACGATATGGGAAATGGGAAATCCCCGCCGGTGTAAGTTCTTATTTCTAACCTTCCTCCACTCTCTAACTTCTATCTAATACAACCCTCCTAACAGACACCCATCGGAATGAGCACAATGCTCCAACACCACAACGAACACATCTTCTCTTCCTCTCATCACTTTATCCCCGAACGATGGATTTTAGAAAATGGGAGTATAAACCACGCTCTTGAAAAATATCTTGTTTCTTTTTCGCGAGGCTCAAGAAGTTGTATAGGCCAGGTGTATGTATATCTTCTCTTCTTTTGAATTTCCTCCATAACACAACCTAACACAACCTCACCCAACCTCTCTATCCACATCCCTCCCTCCCCTCATCAATCAGCAGCAGAAAACCCCACAGATATTCTATTGCTTTATCCCATCTTTTGGTCCACAACCACTCGCTAACAAGCCCCACCCACCGCCGCACAGTCTCGCAAAAGCGGAAATTCACCTCGCGCTCGCAGTCGTCATATCGCGCTTCGATATCCGTCTCTACGATACGGATTTCGAGAGAGATGTTAGGGTGAAGAGGGATTATTTTTTGCCCCAGCCGGGATTGGATAGTAGGGGCGTGAGGGTTTTGTTGAGTTGAGGTGAGGTTTTGGGGAGAAGTCTTTTGAGGATTGGGATTGGGATTGCGGGTGAAGTTGTGAAGTTATGAGGTTATCGAAGTGGGAGGAGAGATATTGAGATGGCGTGGAATTGGAACTGGAACTTGATAGCTGGAAGTTGATAGCAAGACTGATAAACCCTTTCTGGCTGTGGGTATTTATTGTTTCTGTGGACTATCTCCTAAATCTGATGGTGTAAAATTGACAAGAATATCTATCTATCTATCAAGAGTCTTTTTTTATGACTGAGGAATTAACGCAGTGCAAATATACAATGAGATGGATTTTCATAGATATCCTATCCTAGCCAGATTACTCTATAGGGATTATGAGATTGCATTAACTACCTAGCTAGATCCATATCTATATCATTTCATGAGGATCAAGCGAATTGATATCTCCTATCATTTAACTTTCATTTCGTTTCATTTCATTTCATTCCATTTCATTCCATTCTTCTTCACTTACTCACTCACTACACCACACTGCATTAAATTTACCACAGTAAATAAACTACGAAACTCTTAAAATCTCCACCCACCATCATCGTCCATTCTCCTAGGAACCATACTTTATCTTCTCATCTCCTAAGATTTTTCCCTCGTTGAGATTATAGAACTGTGCCAAGGTTTGTCATTCAATTCCAGTTTCCTTTCTTTATATCCTTACTTCATTTTCCATTTCCCCAGCGAAGTCATTTTCCACTTTTTCCCTTTCCCTTCCCCTTTCCCTTTCCCTTTCCCGTTGCAGTTGCACTTCCCAACACACTCCCACCCCCCTCCCCCTCCCCCACAACATCCAGACCCCTACTCTTCCCCATCCCCTTTCCCTGCGCCACCACATTATCCGCCGCTTCCTGAACCGCTACCGCGAGATCGCTTTCATCACTCTCTTGCTCCTCCATTTTCTCCCTGTCTACTATCTCTCTCGAATTCGTATTCCCCCCCTCTTTATTCTCCTCTTTCTTTTCATCCCCTCCCAATCTCATCTCTTTATCAGAGACAAAACCAGCACCAGTAGAAAGCACAGGTGCTCCTACCGCAGGCGCGATCGTTTCCTCGCCGCTACTGAGAGGTTTGCGTCCGTAGACGATATACATGTTGCACCAATTGTGGACGCGAGGGTCTTTGAATTCGTTGCGGACGCCGGCGGCGAGGACTTGGTATCTGAGTTTAGGGGGGTGGTTAATTTGGGATGAGGGATTGTTTTGGGAGTTGGGGGATGTATAGAGGGTGGGTCGTGGGTCAGGAGGAAGGAGGAGAGAGACAGGAGATGAGGGGATGAAGTTGGGGTAAGGGAAAGTTGAAAGCGGGGAATAAAGGGAGTGGGTGAGTGTGAAGGAGAAAACTCACTCTTCCGGACTCCATCCTAATATCCGTGTGAAATGCGCCATTCCATACGCAACAGTTGCGTCTAACATGTTTTGTTGCATATAAAGGCCAATTTCCTTGTTGCGACGATCTCGAGCCCAAGGTGCCATAGGGAGCTAGATGATGGTTAGCAGGATTCTATGATTGTTGAAGAAAATAGAATAATCGAGTTAATGTAGATGTGGAAAGGAAAAGAGAAAGAGAAAATATATGGGCGATTCTCCGAAACATGGAGTTCTAGAAGTGTAAGTCATTCCTAGGACTCGTCCGATACTCGAGGGAGATCCCATTTGCATCCATTCCTCTCCTACGAAATAGAGAATAAGACATACCCTCCAATGTCTCTCCACCACCGCTTCGAATCCAGCTTCTTCCAACCAATTTTTAAATTTCATGGCAACGTTCAAGTCTCGGCCGAATAATCTGGATGCTTCGTCAAGGCCCGCTTGCCATTTTTGGAACGATGGAGCTAGCTGTTGAGTGGTCAGTGGGTGTGGGTGTGAAAGATGCAACGTAGTCGGGCTTGAAAAAATGCATACCTCTCCTGTCCCATCATCTGAGTATCCGTGACTATGGTAGAAGTTTAGATTGGAATTGTTCAAGTGATGAGAGGCGCTATAGGACGAAGATTCAAATAAGAGGATAGAATGAAACTGAGACACACTATTCGAAATCCACAAGCTCGATAAAACCTCCCTCATTCAGATTATCACGAGCTTGATCGAGAAGATGAGGCCTGGGTGTGAATATTTAGCATTATTTATTGTCGTGATGGATTGTCCTGTTACAGGTAAAGTCATAAAACATACCAAGAAGCTATAGAACCGCCCAAGGAGCGAATGTGTATAAAATCGAATTTCTGACTATAACGCCAGGTATCTTCGACATCATCGATCTAATCATGGTCAGTGTTTCGATCTAGGAAGTCGATAGCACTAACCTACTTCAAATTCAAGATTTGGTGGAATCCTACGAGTGACTTAGCCAACATTTGCACAAGGATAAAATAAGATCATACCAGCCAGGTTGAATTGGAGATAAGTCGCAGCCTACAACATGCGATGAAGGATATTGACTGGAAGCGAAGTTAGGAATCTCTTCTCCTTTAAGCAGGTTTAAACATACTCGGCGAAATCGATTGCCCAAATCCCAGTACCAGTTCCAACATCAAGTACCCGTTGAGGGTTCTCAATCGGAGCCAAGTACAGCTTTCCATCTAAAACAAGATTGAAAACGTGATGAAGCTTTGGATATCTATCAGATTGGTTTACCAGAATTGGAATGTTCATGTACATACTAGATCCATGCGATCTTGCTCGTCATCATCGTTGGGCTTGGATTTTTAGTCCTGTTCTGTAGTGGTACGAATAATGTATCTTACCATTAGATATTTACCATCTCTATAAGCATGATATCTCCGACCATTCTAGAAGGTATAAATATATTTGATTACTTCAAGTATACAAAAGCCGAACCATACCTCTTCCCTAGAATAGCTCAATCAGCTTACGTACTTCTATCAAGAATCATAGAAGGACTCACCTATATCGAGTAATTCCAGACGTTAACGATGTCTTACTCGTATTGCTCCTATGCTGATATTAGTCTGCGTCTGAAAACTTTAGTTATCACCTACGCTGTAGGCCCACCGAATGCGGAATCATTCTCGAGTGCCTCGTTGTCCTTCACTAGTAAGCTTTAATTTTTAAATAGCTCTGGTAGGATCATTACATCAACTTCGATCGGGTTGGAAATCGTATCATCTTGTGTATCTTGACGGCTTGCGCCAGCTGCATTAAAAGCATCAATTGCTTCTTGCGATGTTGCCATATTGTCGTTTGAAGTACAACCACATTCATAGAATCACTAAAGTATGGAAGAAATGCAAATGTTCATACAGAAGAAAGAAACTTCTAATGAAATAAAAATGAGTAAAGAGAAAGTTATTCTTTTAAAAATCTATCCTCGTTCAACTGGTCATCTCCTCAACGCAATCTTTTGTAATACCACATCTCTCGTGTCTTGCATACCAGTACATGTTGCAGCTTATTCCGATAATCAAAAAAACCTCCAACAGTTTGGGTTTGACGACAGCGATGATTCCTGGCTATCTATGACTCGTCCCAAAGTGCCGGGCCCGTTTTGCTTGGACGGATGAACCAGATTCCGCCAAGGTGCTGCAAAATATGCAAGTAGCCGAAGGTATGCGAAAGGTAACTAACCATGATATATGGTCGGCGATCAAATATTGGCGCTATGGTGTTGCCATCACACACCTGTCATTGAATGTGGTGAATTTGAATGATAATGCAAAGAAATGAAAGTGTTGAAAAAGAAAGTAGAAGATTTGGTCATGCCACAATGGGAATGAGAAATTCAACGCTCGCTCAACGCACCCAATGCAAACAGATGATATTAATTGCTTAGTACAGCGGGTAAAGAAGCCGTGTCACAATACTCAGCTGGATAAAAGGGACAGGCGGCTTACGCAAAGTCCCCGAGGAACTTTCTGTGCATTTGATTAAGTTGAATGGCTGGGGAAATTACCTAGACACCAGTAAATAATGACTAGAAACATTCACGGCCTTAGAGGGTGGCCTGTTGTGACCACCAATTTGGCGTCATTTGAATGCACTGATGATCGTAAATATGTACGTCAACTTGACAGTTTCTCACCCGTTGAATAAAAAATAGTCCGAATTCGGGGAAAATGGCAAGCCAATAATCTCCAATGCTATGTTAATATGAATTAGATGAACGGGTATCATGTATAGCTTCCGTCGCTGTCACCACTTCTCCCAAAACGCCCCAGTAACTCCATCGGGAGCTCACTTATTTTCTCCTCCCTCCGGAGCAAGGAACATAAGATGTGAGCACCTGCTTTTACAATCGAGGCAAAATATCACCGCCATCTCTCTCAAAATGCCTCTACTACTCCAATGAAATCCCTCTCAGACTCTGGCACTCTCGTATCGACAGATGTGAAGTCATAAGATGACAGCCCCCCAGCAATTTCAAAAGCCAGCTCAACGATCTTAGCGTATCATGAGAGAACTTTTAGAAACCCAAATGTGATACTTAAGAGGAAGCCCGTGAAAACAGCAATTTGTCTTCTTGATGACAATATTCCAGGCTCTCTTAGTATCCATACAACACATCCAAGAGGCCATATAAATCCCATAATGTTGCCCCATAATAAGTCATCAAATCCACTACCCATACCATCATCCCCAAAGTCAAAGCCACCCTCAACTCTACCTGCGTCATTGCCTGCATTATTATCTATCCAAGAATCTTCCATCCGTAATAAGGTATCAGGGGACGGCATAGTATCTGGTGTATGTATGCTTGCTTGAATTGACTGGAATTGAAGTCGTAGTTGATTCACTTCAGCTGGGGAAAACCCAGCAGAGAGGAATCGGTTGAAGCCACGCGGTGCAACTGTTGTGCTTGAAGTTGGTATGCCGAGACTCGTAGAAGCTGTATCTGGTAATTTTTCCTTCTTTGCCTTATTGAGTGCGGTAGTAGCTGCTAAAGTTTCCGCTTCGAGCTCGGAAGGGCTTAGATCATCATCACTGAGTGAGCAGTTGATGTATACCCTGGGAGGTGGTAGTTCTACATCTTTTCCTTTTCCTTTTGCATCTACAGCCCGTGGAGGAGGTGTCGGAACTTTAAGTATAGCTGTTAGGAAATCATCATCCCGTATAAACTTTCCCCCATATATAAATCGAAATCGACGTTGTGATGCTGGAGGTTCAAGCTTTGAACGGACCAAATGTTTCAATCCTACACCAGTAACATTGTTCTGAGTGGGGATGTCCAAAAGCAGGTCCGGGATTGAATCTGCGAATCGAATGGTAAGATGCAATAGCTTTGACAGTGATGAAGTCGCAGAGCTTTGTTTTGGAGTCATTGTTGAATGAAGGATTGAGAAAGGCGAAGGTGGGCGGGGTTCAAGTTCTATCTCAAGCTCGAGGCCAAGCAGTCTTATTATCAATCTAGAATCATTGTATCGATACAAGGGCAGTCGATGAACTTTCTTGCAGTGATCTTGCGTTGATAATTGTGATGTTTTTCGGATGATAAACTCCAATACTACCTACCTACACTTCTCCTTCATCCCGACTCGTATCCCCATATTTTGATAAGATGGCCGCTAGTGTTAGAAGCTTCACGGGAGTTTCCACCTTCACCTTATCGTAATCCTTACGCCGAGTTATTGCGACATTGCGACACCGGCATCCGACTACCTAATCAGTAAATAAAGTAGAAGAACATGAGAAACCTAATCGTGAATAATATCAAAATCTTCAAGGGATTATTCATCATCGCTATCTTATCCCACCTTTCTTCCTTTCCATATCTCTTTCTCTTTCTCTTAAAGTACCGATGATATCAATGATAACTCGTAAATCTTCTTTTCTTTTGGCACCATCTTTGACAGGGCAATTTATCAAAACCTCTTCTATTACATCTCCCCGCTTCTTTCACCCCACGATGAGTAACAAATCTAAGCTTCAACCTGCTGCTCGGGTTGCTGCAAGAAAGCAAGATGTTTGGTATGTACAGTTTTGCCCTGTGCCTCATGGAAGTTTGTCAACATTCATTACAAGTCCGCAAGTGCAAGGCACGGGAACCTCTGAGCAATCACTCTAATGAGCCCATGGCTTTCTGCCAGTGTTATCACATCTCTAACATAATGCATTTCGCAGGACTATTGTCAATGAGGCTGCTGCCGCCTCTCCCAAGCAGCCTATTGTAAATATGGGCCAAGGTTTCTTCGGATATAATCCTCCTAAATTTATCCTCGATGCCGCCAAGGCAGCTCTCGATAAGGTCGAATGCAATCAATATTCGCCAACCAAGGGTCGTCCACGTCTCAAGCAAGCAATTGCAGATTCATACTCTCCCTTATGGGGGAGAAAGCTGAATCCCGACACGGAGATTACTATTACAACCGGTGCAAATGAAGGTTAGAGGATACCCACGAAGTTACGGAACATACGCTTACCAAGTGCAGGCATGCTAAGTGCCTTCATGGGATTCATCGAAGAAGGTGACGAGGTTATAATATTCGAGCCATTCTTTGACCAGTAAGACGATATATCGAATATGAATTCACAAATTCGATGCTGAATCTTCACAGATACATCAGCAACATAGAAATGCCAGGTGGAAAGATCCGCTACGTACCTTTACATCCACCCGAGAAGGGCGCAGCTCAGAATACTTCTGCGGGAGAATGGACAGTAAACTTCGCCGAGCTCGAGGCAGCGATTACACCCAAGACAAAGATGATCGTTCTTAACACGCCCCACAACCCGGTCGGCAAGGTCTTTTCAAAGGAGGAATTGCTCAAGATTGGAGAACTTTGCGTCAAGAACGAAATTATCATCCTTTCCGACGAAGTGTACGACCGATTGTATTATACACCATTCACAAGAATTGCAACCTTATCCCCAGAAATTGAGAGACTTACACTTACAGTTGGATCTGCTGGAAAGAACTTCTACGCGACTGGGTGGCGTGTTGGATGGTTGATCGGACCACCACACTTGATTCAATATGTTGCAGCAGCACATACAAGAATCTGTTATTCTTCTGTGTCACCCTTACAAGAAGCTGCGGCTGTTGGATTTGAAGAAGCCGATGCTAATGACTTCTGGAACTCAGCAGTAACTGAAATGAAGGGTAAAATGAATCTTTTCAACGAGATTTGGAAAGAACTGGACCTTCCATTCTCCGATCCTGAAGGTGGTTATTTTGTTTTGGTGAACATGAAGAAAGTCAAGATTCCAGCGGACTATCCATTTCCAGACCACGTTAAGGACCGCCCGAGAGACTTCAAGTTGAGTTGGTTTTTGATACAAGAGGTTGGCGTAGCTGCTATTCCTCCAACCGAGTTTTATACCGATGAGAATGCACATATTGGGGAAGACTGGTTACGATTTGCTGTATGCAAGGAAGATGAGGTACTTGAATCGGCGAAAGAGAGGTTACGAGGCCTTAAAAAGTACATTGAGGCATAAATGTAAGATGATAAACGGCGCTTTCAACATGCAGGGTCCATATGCAACTAGGGAGTACTAGCCAGTAAATAATTACCAATTGCGAAACCAAGATTCGTAGGGTTGTCTTACAATCAATGCTATTAAGCAGGAATTTTGTGTCTCACTGAGTATGTGATCCGGCTCCAATGAGAACCTTGGAGCTCACTGAGATAAGACGTGAATACTTATCATGCAAGTGCATATGTCGTAATGGTTTTTAACTAAGTGGCCCTCGGTATAGTTGACAACATGTACCCAATAGGTGTACCTAGTAGGTAAGACACAAAGTGATGGCATAGGGAGCTGATTCTTTTTTACCCCGCGGTATGATGTATGCCTCAACACTAGGACGTGGTGACATCATGACTATTAACTTCACCTACCTAGGTATATATAGATAGATCGAAGTTTTATACAACTTCCAAATCAACAGACATTTCTCATAAGTACCTACTAGTATCTAGTATATTAAATCGAATATTTCCCATCAAGGTTTTCTTTCTATATACAGATTCTCCTATCTCCAGTTTCGGAATCATGCAAGCAGTCAAGAACACAATTGCCGAAAACTTCGGTAGTGCGTATGTATCCATCATTCTCCCTAGATATTCGTTGTGTTAATTTTTTGTAGACACTCTCTTGCAAAACCAGAACACCAATTTTCCCTCGAGGATTGCCCTGATCAGAGTGGAAAGGTAGCAGTGATCACTGGTGGTAGCGAAGGTATTGGCTATGGTTGCGCACACACTCTGCTCAAAAACAACCTCGCCAAGCTATTCATTATTGCTGTATCCCAAGAAGTCTATGATGGTGCCGTAGAAGACATCTCAAAGACTATCTCACCCGAGGCAGCTCAAAAATGTACATTCCTTAAGTGTGATATGTCCGACTGGCCATCTGTATGCAAGGTTGCCCACACGATATCCGAAAGCACAGATAGAATTGATGTCTTATGCAATCTCGCTGCACGTGGAATCATGACCTATCAACTTACAGATTATGGTCTTGATAGACACATGGCTGTCAATCATTTCGGCCACGTTATTCTCACCAGTCACTTGATGCCAATCCTCAAGAAAACAGCAGAGGCGGGAAATACAGTTAGAATCGTTAACATGGCATCGAATGCTCATCAAGCCACCCCAAGTGATTGCAAATTCGCAAACCAGGAAGAGTTGAATACGGATTTAGGGCCAAATGGTCAATACGGACGATCAAAGTTGGCTGCTATGCTTTATTCTCGTTACTTAGCTCGTCATCTTACTCCCAAATATCCCAAAATCCTGGTCAATTCCGTGCATCCAGGATTTGTCGACACGAAGATGTCACAAGTTGATATTCATGAGCCATATCCAATACTCGGATATGGCATGTCTGTCTTGATGAAGCCGCTCAAGAAGGATCAATGGGACGGCTGTGTCAGTACCATTTACGCAAGTACTGCAGTGGAAGAAAGTGGATTATATATCTGTCCACCAGCAATCCCAGAGCCGGGAAGCTCTCTTTCACAGGATGAGGAGTTAGGCGAGCAATTGATGAAGTTGACAAAGGAAATCATTGTGGAGAAAATGCCCAAAAAGAGTGTCGACCAGGGATGTCCACTTGAGCTTTTCTAATTCGCAACGCGACATATTTAATCGAGTATGGTAATATATTAATGAATGATTATTTACTCTAATATTCTAACTCTGATATCTATGTTGTCATTTCGAATCTGCCTCTCCCCTCTTTCATGTGATTTCTTCTGCTTTGCTGAAACGCCTTTCACACCTTTCATACCCTCACTTCCCCAGAGCTCAAATTCTCTTTGCCTTTCACAATCACACACATTTCTTCTCCCCTTTTCGTCTTCATCTCCACAAGTATTACAGCACTTGACACCTTCACAGGCCTCGCAAATCACTAACACCAACTCACACCCTTCAATACCACATTTTCCCATTCTGTCTTCCTCCCTCTCGCAGCCATGACACTTTGCTACTTTCTTCCTTTCATTCTCATTACCTAAGCCCAATGATCCTCTTCCATCAAAAACATATTCCCTTCCCTTCCATAAACACTCATCTTCTTTCTTCTTCCCAGCGATCATCTCTTCCTCAAACCATGCCATATAAGCCGATATGCCTCCCTTCAAGGTGTAGATTCTATCTTGCGGGGCTTGATCTACATTCTCAGCAATCCACCTTGTAGCCTTTTCACAGCGAATACCACCTGTACAGTACGAGAAAATCGTTCTGCCGGCACTGACCTGCTCCTTTTCGCTCTCGGGTGAAGAACGAGAGGTGAAATCAATGTGTTTCTTCACAAACGCTGGAAACTGCGAAAATCTCCTAACCTGTGGCTTCACAGTCTGGATACTCGATTTCTCCGGTGCCTCAAAATAACCAATCCGCGATTCGTAATGATTTCGTATATCCAGTAATATTCTTTTCCCTTCGTCATCTGCCGTGGTTGTAACCATAGCATGAAACTCCGCAGGACTGAGATAAGAAACCGCGTTCCAATTTTTAGGCTCATAGTTTGTGATTCCTAACGGCGTGATTTCATCCGCAATGCGGGTATTCAAATTCTTGAAAACACATGCACAGCCTTTTGTAGGTTTGAAGAACTCCTTGATTCCCTTCTCATTGTTTAAAAATAGATCTAACCCAGCGAATGACCAATGAGATATACAAGATTCGATGTACGAATGTATGTCCGACGTCGTGCCGGCAACAGTGATATTGAAGCCTTCCCTCGCAACTCGAATTTTGCCAGTAAGACTCAGAGCTTCACATGTTGACTTCTGAAAGGTGTGCAAGTCTTTGAGAGTAGAAGGTGTGAGTGGATAATGTGGTGAAGGGAGTTGGGGTGATGAAGTAAAGTAGCGATAAAAGAGAAGCACAAGACCTGGCTGATTGCAGGTACAAGTGTAGGTAAGTGGATCTGAAGGCATCACTGTTCAGATACACAGTGATAGGTACGTGAAGAAAAGGCGCAACGAAATGTGACGAAAAAGATCACGTGCAAACTGGCTTCAATCTTCCCTCCCGGCAATAATTCCTGCCAAAGCATGAACGACTTTTTGACGGTGATGTTCACTTGACTCGAAACGGTGGATATTTGGAGAGTTTACGAAACTGCGTGGGTGCCAAACCTCTAATTTTTCAATCATGCTGTACCTAAGAAAATCATGATGAAAGGGATTTGATCGTACTTTGCTTAGTCATGCGGATTTCTCAAAAGTTTTATCTCGCTCATCTCAAATCCCTATTACATCAATATAACTTTTCGTAGTCACATACTTCATGTAGCATCGACGAAGTATTGTTGGAGCCGAATTCCATCAAGAAGTTTCGTCTATCCAGGAACTGTGGTCTATGAAATTGTTGAGACAATAAATCGATGTGATACGGCGTCGCCCATCGAATTCAATGCAGTGCAATCATGGGGTTGCAAATTCAGGGGTCCAGGGCAAAGATCTGCTGTTGTTAACGGCAACTTGACATATCAAGCGATGTGTTGATGTTCATTCTTTAAAATTGTCTTTTTCCTTATAGGTGCATTTTCAATCACTGCTAGATTGATGTATCATCATCCTCACACAAACATTCTGCAAGCTACACATCACTGATTGAGATTCTGGACTGTACACAACAGGACGGATGCGCAAAGCTGGGATAGCGATTCACCGTTTTGTTTTCGATGCCTGATAGATATGAATTCTAGGTCTAGTTTCCCTCGATTCAATTCTGAAGCGTTCGTCATTTCGTGGAACATGAATTAAATCGCATTTCTTGGAAGCTGGGCTGGGGCGGACTTCCCATTTCAAGCGAAAGATTTCAAAGGTCCATGGTCGGTGTGTACAATAAACCAATTGACATGACAAGATTATATAAGACACCTAATCTTGAGCGATACAGCTTGCCATTACTATGATAAATTAAAGATAATTAGAACGAAAGGATTTAGGAATTGATTGTCTTGCTTCCTATCATGGTTAGATATTCCGGACGGCACAGTGAAGGTAAGAGCAGAGAAGACGGCGAGAGCATTCCACAAAGGAGAGATGCTACACCTTCAAATTCTTCTCGTAAGATTAAAGACAACAATAGCTTTGGTAATAATCGCCCAGGAAAATACTGGGATGGAAAAGAATGGATACTTGATCCCAATCTCGTCAAGAGAATCGAGAATTTTATGATAACCTGGAGGCTGCCACCAAGAGTAAACTAGAATTGGAGGGATTTATGAGTTGCATCGAACCGCCACCAAACGATGACCTTGAAGTAGCAGCAGAAGTTTTTTGAGATTCTCAATTTTCATTGCCTCCTCTTTGATATCTTCTAAATACTCATTGACCAATCATTATGTTGATTTGATATCTCTATTGCACTCCACTAACCTTGATAATTTCAATAAATTCAGCTCAGTCATAAACCTGAATCCTTCATTTCCCTTATAATTTCCTCGATATCCTTTCTCATCCTCACTTCGAAGGTTCATTTCTTATATTATTCAAACAACTCTCCCTTATCTACTGAGTATTCTGCTACATATTCATTACATTATACTAAAATTCAGAAATCCCATTGTCTTCTAAAGAGTTTCGCAAAACTGCAAATCGAATTGGAAATCATTATGTTCAAAGAAACTATTGATTTCTTCAATTTTTCCTGTCTTTCGAGTATCTCTACATAGCTATGCTGAGTATAAGCTGAAGATATAGCATCTTTACAAAGCTTAATGAAGAAATACACACATATTCAATTGCGTAATGAATGAGAGAGCTTTTATCAGGCACTATATCACAGCACGATTTCTAGCTTTGCTTTCTTTCGAACACTTCTTATACCAACTAGCTACGTCATATCTAATTCAGAGTTGAATGGAATCGCTCATTCTCCTGTTCAGTTCAGCCGCCACAGCAGCTTACCGGAAGGCGGGTTGTAGTGTCTTTCGACAAAGAGTGACTGAGACTTTTCTTGCAAATTCTCACAAAAGTTGACTACATTGATTTGATTTTGAGTAGCGAATTCCCATTTTTTTTCCGGCGATATTGTGATGAAATCTGTTTTGGGGCTTACACACTGACTAGACCATTTTCGTATGTCATATCAACACCTCTATGGCTTTGTATTCTCAAGATACTATATACTAATTTTCATTATCGATACAGCAATATCAAGTGCATTTGTAGATGTAGTCTCTTGTGTACAGCCGATGATATAAAATGTTGTCTCGCTTAACTAGAATCAATAGTAGTATTCTGCATTATTATTAGTTTACCTATAAATAATGAGAAGAGAATCTTGATATCAGAGATTAGATGTTATAAGCTTTCGCGTATAGTGATCAAGTAAAGTCATAGATATAATACAAAATGGAGATATTTTAAGAGTTAAAATTTTACTTGTTATTTTTGGACGAAGCTAAGGAAATTACGAAGAGAAATGATTGTATTTATGAATTTGAAGTAAAAGAGATTATAGTGATTATGAGAATGGGGTGGCTAATCTACTGTTACAATGAAGAAAAGTTCCAAGGGGTCTAGGAGTGGGGCTTTAAGCGAATGACTTATCTTGACATAAATCTCTCACTCGAGAGAGTTGAATGCAAGACTTGTTTCTCGCTTGAGTCCGCAACAGAACATTTGAGAAAACTCGGCGCCAGCGCTTCGTCATCTCATACTCCAAAGCTCACTTCTCATCCTTCTCGTCCTTCTCAAACTTCGACATCAAGGCCTGCACACGTAGACCAACTTTTCTACGACGAGGATGAGCACGGATTCGATCTATGATTGCTTGAGCTTCGGTGATCTCATCGGCCTCAGCTTTCTCTTCTTGGTCTTCCTCGCGTTCTTTTCCTAGCTTCAGTTTATTGAGTCTCTTGGTAAGTTCATTGACCTCTGGTGATTGTGGTTCCTGCATCGTCGCCTCTGGCACATTGTACCCGGGGGTCATGGGCTTACTATAAATAGGCGGAGGCGAAGGCTCACTTGAGCTGTCTGAGACTTCAGACTTCTTCTGGGCCTCTTCGCTATCACTCTCGAGGGTGAGGGTTTCTAACTTCTCGGTCACCGCGTCAACCTGTGGTGGTTGAGGTTCTTGCATAGTTGCTTCTACATTGTTAGACATCTTGGTGAATGTTTTATGAAGATTATTATGCTGATATCTATTGAGTTAGGGAATATAAACTGAGGGATGTGAGTTGAGACTTGAATGAGAATGGGAAGATAGGGATCAGATCTTGAAGTACAGTCCTTGATATTCTAATAACCATGAGAAGTTGGAATTCTCAGGAGGAGCTGGGATCACTCTCGAAACTCGACTTGAAATGCAAGTGTTAAAGATCAAATTCGAGCATTGTAGGTAGGATCGACGAGCTGATCAAACTGATTCATGGACAGATAGATGCCTTACCTTATTACCGAGTGTTCATACTAAATAGGTACCTAAGTATCTATATAGAGTAATCGCATCATACGCTAACCTCACATGATCGAATAAATCACCCAATAATAGTCTTTGTATCAATGAGCAGCCAGGGGTCATTAGCTAGGACTTACTCAGACTGTCCTACAGCTAATAAAATGGATCAGTAATAGTCACCATTCTTTTCTCTCACTGTAGCATCGAATTAACTAGATTAAATGGACATATCACCATTCAATACCATCGCTAAAACTCAAATCTAAGTAACTTAGTACCATCATATAAGAACCATTGAAATGCAGTTCCAAGCTATACATATCACAGTTTCCCGGGATTTGAAATTCGTAAGTGAATGATTATTCACCCATTCACGGATATAATCCGACAGTGGCATGAAGCGTGCATATGAAGGATTTTCCGACAAGATACATAATAAATAATTGCAATAGTCGATTTGCAGCGAATGGCAAAATACGACATCCATATACGATTGAAGGATCGCGCCACAATATGAAGTGAATACTTGTGAGTACCAATCCGCAGTCAATATCTCAATATCAGCTCCCAATCACTCATTCACAGCTAACATTTGAAGGCGGGGCCTTTGTTTCAGCAGTTGCTAGTACATCAAGTGAATTATTGTTATTTCCTATTTGAAATTGCATTACACCACTTGCTTGTTAGCGAGGTACCTAGCATATATATAGCTCAACCTTTTGCTCTCCTCGGCCTGATATGTTTTACACATAGTACTTCTCCTCTTCAGCCTGAAAGTCTTTTCTAAAATATAATTTCCATTCGAAAGAAGCAATGGCATCCTCCTCAAAATTACAAAATGACATGCCTGATGGAACGTTCATAGAAGTAAGTTGCTGCCAAGTTTACCCTTCCACCCTTCACCTGAATATCTCCCTGCTTTAAGCTTCTGTGGAACAAATTCCCTGTGCTAGCATGGTAGATTACACTTGGGGTTGAGTTCCAAATTACTATCCCCATTATTCTCATCGAATCTCACATAGCATAAGCTGACTGTATGCTAGGAGAATATGAATGGTCTAGCTATTGATGAATTGACCATGTCCGACTCTGAATTGGCTTCAGCTGTTTGGAAGAGTGCGTCCAAGTGGCTTCCTCGTCGAAATGATGATTGCGACTTTTGGTGGCAGTCAACTGGTCCTCAACTTGGTGCCCTACTTTTTTATGCTGGATACAGTGTCACTCAACAGTATGAGGGCTTGCTCTTCCACTATCATGTTCTGTAAGTTCAATATTTTAGTCAAAATTCTGTTTTCAATACTCGCCTCTGTTCCCCAATGTTAATCTGAACCATTGTGTTTTCTAATGTACTCTCTCATCTTCCCCGCACAGTATCAGTACCTTATTTTGCCCACTTCTCTTCAGACTCTAGTTCTTGGTAGGTGAAGCTAACTCCTCAATCTTTCAGCGTACCACGCCTCGGTCCTCGCCCAGCACTTTCTTCTCTCTCTGGAGAATCACCATACAAATGGAAGTCCTTTATGCAAGACGACTTTAAGCCAATTGAATACAGTTGGAAATGGGACACTGGAAAATTGTTGTCGAATGGAAAAATGTCGAAGCCTGATCTCAGAATGGTCATTGAGGCTATTGGTCCGCTCACTGGAACAGCACAGGATCCTCTCAACCAGATCGCCACGGGAGAACTTCTTCGCGAACTAGACTCTGTAAACCCAAAAGTAGACTTGGCTTGGTTTCACCAAGTTTCTCGTGCTATATTTGGAGAAGTGGATGTTACTGAAGCCAAGAACCATATCCAAGCAGCAGATTTGGCTGATGTGGGCAGCTCATCAATGTTTCTCGCTTTTCAATTCCTCAAAGGCGACCCCAAGAGCGATTCTCCCATCAAGGCTTATCTCATGCCACCAGGATGGGCAAAGCCGCGAGGAACTGACAATAGAGCCTACGAAAAAACCATAGGAGCTATTCGAAGCCTTGGACAGAAAGATAAGCATGAATGGACCACGCTAGACCAATTGTTGTCGTTTTTCAGTGACAACGAGAATGGTAGACAATTATCTACTCCTTTCATAGTCTCAACTGATTGCATGATATCTTCAGAATGCCGACTAAAGATATATGTTCGCACGCCCAGGGCTAGCTTCGATTCTGTTGTAGATATTCTCAGCATGGGAGAAAAACGAGTAGGATTCGAGAAGAATTTCCAGGAACTCAAGGACCTCTGGCGCTTAACCTTTGAACTTCCAGAAGGCTTCTCAACCTCGGAGGATCTACCTCTAAGTGAGCATGGTACCAGTGGCATGTGCTATCATTTCGAAATCCACCAAGCAAATGCGCTTCCAGACGTCAAGCTGTACATACCAACCAAGCACTATGGACAGTCAGACATGAAAGTTGCTAAAGGACTCACCAAGTTCCTTGAACTTTATGGTAGAGGAACTTATGCAGCTGACTACATGAAAGCACTTAAGCAATTGGCACCTCTTCATCAGCTTGAGTCCTCATCTGGTGTTCAGTCATACATATCTTGTGCATTGGAGAAAGAAAGCTTAAGCCTCACGACCTACTTTAATCCTTGCATCCCCTTAGGAAATTAAAGATGTTTTGTTGGCAGATTGGTTATATGTAGAGTGGAAGGTTGGTCGATAATGACAGCATTTTATGACGAGCGGATTCTTGACAGAAGGGCCATGCGATATATGATATGGTCAAATGCGCTAGATTGTTAATTAGTCTACTTAGAGTAGAGGAATTATATAGATCCTTTAGATCAGAGCGTCCTTCACGAAGCTCAAGTTCATCTATTTCAGAATACTGATCGATGTCTGCTCCTTTTCCGGCTGATATATGTTCGTGATTGTATGATACCGTGATTGACGCCTTCGTTGCATGTTACATACCAAACAATGAAAATAATATTTGATGCATTAATTTGGATTAGATGATATGATATTTTGTTCAATATATAAGCACTATATAAGAGGAAACGAAATTACAAAGAGTATCAGGAGGCGCTTATGCTATCTACTCGGCTCAAAAACAAACCGGAGATATCATCTAAAGAACGAGACCAAGGAAGCATGCAGGCACGATTGATTACATACCCTTGTTCAGGGGAGATGAGGTATCAATGACCCTGTTGTATCTATCTATCGAGACCCTTGGGATGGTAGTGATGTATGTCGTTGTTTTGAAACACCTGTTTGTCATTTCTATGTACCGCTAGGTCGACCATCGTGGCGCCCAGTTCAACAATTCCGATCGACAAAGAGCTACCAAAAATGCACTGAAGTATGGTCGCACTTTTGGGTAGCACTCCTCCGGGCTTGACAAGATGAACCTTGAATGTACTCTGAATGCCATCCTCTGAAGTTTCCAAGACCCTTGCCTCTGCTGCACCTCTAATGCGCCGTCCACTGGAATAGTACCACAGAGACCGTTCTTTCTGACCTTCTTCTAGAGGTGATTCGGTGAAGGCCCCGCCAAGTTGAACATACCGAAATTGCGATGACCCAAGAGGCCGTGACTTTATGCAATTGATGAACGTGAGGGGAAATTCAATGTCGACTCTCTCATCGCCATTATATGTGCCCAAACACCAGATCGCAGCATCGGCAGTTCTCAATTCGTTGACGGTAGATTCGTCATACGAGGTGAAATCGTTGACAACAAGTACTTTGACTTTGGGGTTTTCGGCCAGGGCTTCGAGATTCCGACGAGTGAGAAGTATAATAGAGGTTATGGATGGATGATTAAGGCATTGGGAAAGAACTTCACCCCCAATGTAGCCTGTACTACCAGAAAGAACCACTTTCATCTTCAAGTTTAGAATTTATAGATGGTGATAGACCGGGATGGTGTCTTGGTAGCACGCGATGTGTTTTGCTGAAGGAACTCGTTATACTAGCTTTGGTTGCTACTTGATGAAATTAATGATGAAGAGGAAGTTGATCAAATTATACTTAAAAAAACATGGTAATCAAGTCAATATATAGGTTTGAGATTCGATTGCCGAGATTCAATCCTTAGTGATATTCGGTGGAAAATGGCGGTCGAAAGGCGTAGCCGAGAAATGAGACAACACCTACGTTGTTTGGACGCCTATATATTCTCAGCAGGCCCCTCCCCCACCCTTTGTATTTTCCAGGATTCCCTTCCTTTAGTGTTCATGATCCAACAGGAAGTCCTTGCTAATGAGAGAAAGATACATTTTCATGCAGATCACGTGAGAGGGACGTAGTATTTCCCTCCAATTTGGCCTTGAAGTAGCAATACTCATCTCTTCGCTCACACTGACTAACTGATATGTTGATTCAAAGGACTAGTAATGATTGGTACTGAAACTGCCGGCCTCAAAAGATAGAAATTCACGACTGGCCTGGCATCAATGTTTATGAAGATGCTTGAGAATGAAATCAAATTAGAATAACTGGAAGGTCGGAAGGACTGCCTTTCAGAATGAACCCAGGGTGGCATAGCAAGGCAATTTTGCAAAAACAGGCGTAGTCCGCGTCGAAATGTATTCCATCCATCGTAGGGTTGATACTTGTGAATATTATATTTATGCATTGTCTTTGTTACACAGATGCATCAAGAGTGATAGTCTGATTTATTCCCCCTCTGAAGTGAACAGTGCAACTTTAACCCCGTTGCGGCTCTCCGTGGTCATTCTGACCATCTCAACGTACTCCAAAACGGTATCTCTATTCTCAATCCTAGCAAATCTTCTTGTCATTCTGACGAGCAGATATACAGATTGTGTAAGTACCTGTTGTTGGGCAGGACAGATACGAGGACCACCCAGAAAGGGGGTAAACTCCCAGCCCATTCTTTTATCGTTAAATCTCTGTGGCTTAAATTTATCAACATCATCACCCCCTTTGTGTATTGGAATGTTAGTAGCTGTTTTTATTATAAATGGTCATAAGAAGCAATTGAATCTCCGATCAAATTGAGAAAAGATGACACATGCGTTGTTAACAAGCACAAAGATTAAGTAATACTTACAAATATCTTTATCATGATTAGGACCCCAGATATTTAAAGCAACCACATCTCCCTGCTCTACAAATATAGGGGATTTTCTGTCCGGGCCACCCCCTGCCGGAAGAATTGTGTTCTTGAGCGCTAGACGCTGTGAACGACCCGCAGGTCCTTGAAGACGAAGTGTTTCCTGAAGAACATTTCTAAAAAGACATAGTGATTTTAAGGACTCAAAGGTGAGAGGTTGGTCACCGAGCCCAATACTTTCAGCTCGAAGTTGGGTCCATATCTCTGGATTTCTTGCAAGATGGAATAAACAATTCGCTATGAGTACAGAAGTTGTGTCGGGTCCAGGCATGAATACATTCATAATCTGATAGCGGAGTTGAAGAGGATCCTTGATCTGCCGGGCCATTTCATTCAGGAGAATATGTCGACGAACTGCATTTCCACTACTAGTACTTTTCTCCTCCGCAGGTCCCTTATCAAGCACTCGTTTGACATGTGCATCAACATACGCGTAAACCGTCCCGGTATCTCTATTCCAGCTACTTTCGAAGGAATAGATAAATTGGAGCTTCCCAGCCAACCGCCTTTTTCCAACACCCGCAAGGGCGCCATTGAAGGCCTTCAGTAATTCTTTAGAATTATTTGGGTCATCGGGCAGTTGTGCATCGATCGATTGCCCAAATAGAAATTCTGTCGAGAGATCAAGAAACTGATTCATGACATGTTAACATTGTATTAATCAACTCGATATGTTCGTCCTTACCAAATTATGTAGTGGCTCTTGAAGATTGATTTCGCTTCCATCACTTGGGATGAGATCAAGAAATCTATCGGCATGGAAACCAAGGGTGTCCAAATCAAAGACTTCGGCTCTTGGGAATATATGCTTTACAATGTCCCTGGAGTGTTTCCACTAGTGAGTTTGATTAGCATCTACATGCAATGAGCATATTAGGTATAGGCAAACCTACCGCATTACCATCTAGAGAGAGGACTCCATCACCTAGAAATGCCTTGAAGAAGTTCTGAGTTGGCTTTCCATAATCCTCAAAAGAAAGAGCACAAACTCGCTATATATTGCGAACTTCTATTGTATTGATAACTCTGGTGCCAAAGAAATTTTCTTCGAAGGTTTTCCCGATCTCGTTGAAGTGTTTCATGAACAAGGCCATTTGACGACCTTCACTAACAGCCTTCATTCTCCTCTTCATCAAGTCGGTGCCCCATATTGAGTCCCAATGAGGGTATCTCGGCACCTTTTTACAGCCATGCTGCTTAGCAGCTGCTCTAAAAGCACGATAAGAGTCCCATCTTTGGCGAAAATATACAAGTAGACTGATACAAACAGTATATAGTAGAGCGCTTGTTACGGGATGCATGGCCATAAAACTTAAGAGGTATGAACGCAGATATGTTCAAGAGAAACAAGGAGAGAGAACTACTTTTCAAGACGAAAAAGTGGGAGATGATATAAAGCAAAATGTATAGTATTCCAACAATATAACATGATGTAGCATACTGCATAATCAGGATCAGTCGCCAACCCGGACTTGGAACATGTGTATTGTTAACTTTTGTTGGTCTCCGTGGCTAGGCAAGTTTCCACTCGGACAATCGATAATGACATTTAAGTATCAATGAACAAGTCAAATTGCTATAGAGACTTAAACGACTACAAAACTCAGATAGAATTAAGGAGGATGGAAGTAATTCATGAACAACCGACGCAATTGTGGTGTTGAAGTTGGAAATGCAAAATATTTGAGAATATGTTAGAAACAGATATACATTTTGATGTGCTGGTATTACTAGATGATTCCAACAGAGGTCCAACAACCATAACAATATGTGCCCCACAGATAACATATTTTGTGTGTGTGATTGTTGGTTTCCTTATAAAATCTTACAATCAGCTTTGGACGTTCTAAATGGATGAGTTGGTTTATGCATGTGTTGCAAAGGATGCAATGTATGAATATGCAAACGCTGGGAGGGAGAGAAAGGGCTTCGGCCGGAGTTCGCAATCCCAAGTCAATAAAAACCAAGCGAAAATCACAATCTATTTGTACTGACAATCTTGTATAATGGACTAGATCTCATTGCTATAGGAAATGATCTTGTTGATATTCTTGAGATCCAGAAGAAGTGTGGCACTGGTCAGCGTTGACCAAGCATGAACTGCCAAAATACTCATGTAAGTCTTACACTTTAGCGTCCTACATATGTAAACGTTCGGGTATAAACCGATTTGATGCAACAGAGATGGCAGGTGTGTAGCCAGTCGGATTGAACAAGTGGAAATACGTTACTGATACTTCAATGCGAAAGCGGGTGAGAGAGATCTCTAGTAGGCGTAGACTTGTAATATATGAACTCTTCATTTCCCTTACTTTTGGGAGTAATACGAGATGACGTGCGAATGTGGCATCACCCTTGACAAGGTTCATTTATACTACACTATGAGCAACACATGAAGAGAGAGGGGAGTAGGGATGGGGATGGAACCACTCGGAAAGTTGGGATGAGAGTATGATGTAAAAAAAGAACCAGAACTGTATATGAATTATATTTGATGCTAGCAACTGCAAGCAAACTGATTCTAACCATGCTTTGAGGGAGGCAACTATACCAGCATTTAGTATTTAGTTTCATGGCCACTCTTTGAATGAATGGAAGGAAGCAAGCCCATAGTTGAGTAGGAAATAATTAAGGGGATATACTACATTCGAAGCAGAACGTAGTGCACTTTGTCCTGCGCAGAGGGGATATTATATTTTACTAATTCCTAGTAGTACACAGAAGACCTATTTCCGGGGTTTTGTTTCATTCCATTCCATTTTGATCCCAATTGTCATAATCATCTCAACCCAAGCAAAAACTTTCCACCACCTTCTTTGCCACCCTCACCACCGCCGGGTAAGTAAGTGACATTAGGATTGCTTGCTAAGGTCTGTGCAATCTCCCTGCTAGCCTCGATTCTTCTAATCATAATCAGACCATCTCCTGCCTTCGCAACAGCCTTGCTAATAGTGTCTGCACTCTCTGCTTCACCCTCTGCACGGATGACGTTGGCCTGTCTTTCTTGCTCTGCCTTCTCGACAATAAATCTCGCTCTTTCGGCATCTTGTTGAGCAATCTGCTTTTGTTCGACGGCGCGAGTGAACTCTTTACCGAATGTCATATGGGTGATTGAGACATCTTCAAGTGCAATATTGAATTCTTGAGCACGCTTGAGGAGATCTGATCGAATGCGGTTGCTGACGGCTTCACGCTGGGTGATGAGTTCAGCAGCATCAAACTGGGCGACAATGGATTTAAGGACTTCATTTCCGATAGAGGGCAGAACTCTCTCATCATAATCTTGACCCAAGTTCTAGCGTGGATTAGTATGCCATCGGCTTAAAATGGGGAGAGGCGACAAACCTGGTAAATCTTGGGTAGCTGTTGGACCTCAGGTCTATGTAGAACTCTCAGTGTCAAGCTGACCATTTGCAAATCCTTACTTCCAGTGGTCGTTGAAATGTTTCTTGGTTTCGTGCGTACATCGTAGATGATGCTTCTTTGTAACCAAGGAATCAAAAAATGTGTACCCTCATTAACGACTGTCTCCTTGACTCCGGATAAACGATCGAAAATAACTGCTCGAGAGCCACCCTTAACATCGTATATAGAGGACTGAACGGCCGCAGTTGCAATTCCCAAAGGAACGATAAACTTGTAGAGGTTGTTTAGAGATTGCGCCATCGTGAATATGGTCTATGGGTGGTGGAAATGGAGATGTGCGGGAGATACTTTTCGAAGGCGGGATATCTAGAAGCTCAGTGCGGAGGGGAGGCTCACTGCAGCTTGACATTTTTGGAGGAATCTCGCGCTAGTGATGATTGGGTGGGCAAGGCAGGGGTGTCGGATGAATGCTTGGCGATTATAATCCGATTGCCCGACTTCTATTCAGAATATTAGAACTTCTGCTCTGACGAATAATACCTAACAATTGAATCTGTTGGCACTTCGCACATTATTCAAAATGAGACCTACTTCAATTCTTAGATCTGGCGGTGATGGAGAGGTTGGAAAGTACGGAAAGTGAGTAATTCCAACAAGATTCCCACTGCGAAGGAAGAAGAATCTTCACGGGTCTTCACGGGTGGCCAGACAATTACATGAGTGTGCGAGGGTTATGGTTTCCAAGATGTATGGCATGCTAATATTTATGTCACTTTACAGATATCTTGGTGGCTGGGGTAACTTGGGTGAGTTTGAAGAGCATTTTCTACCACTACTCGGCATTCTGGAATCACCGCACAAATCACTCGATACACACAAATCTCGCGAGATGCCGAAGGGGGGTGCAATGAGTAGAAGAGGATGAAGAGGGGATTACTCAAGCGCCGAAAATACGAGATTGATCAGACGGTATCGAGCAACGAGGAGGAACATTTGACTGATGTGGGATATACAGGCTCCCAACCCCAGAAGGGTGTCGCATCATATGCACTCAGTGCTAACCGACAACGTCCTCTCGCCGGCGCCTTGAACGCAGCTATCTTCAACACCTGGAGACGATTCCGTGGCCAAGTCCTTTATGTTGCACCACCATTTATTATCGCATACACTGCCATGGAATGGGCTATTGAGAGGTTTGTCCTACTGTCCATAATATCGCCAACGTTCATTGCGTTCTAATTGGTTTTGGTAGAAACGAGTACTTGAACTCCAAGCCAGGAAGATTGGAGTTTGGTGGCGAGGAATAGAGCTTGGAAAGTACATGGCCAGCACACTGAGCAGTATTTGGTGTTGGACCTTTTCTGGTCCTCCAAGCCGGAGAAGTTCGGTGGCTATGCGAGATTCGAAGAAGAAATTGGGGTGTAAAGTATTAGATTGGGATTTTGCAATGCATCATGGTTTCTAAAAGTGTTTCTACGCAAATCACTAGGGTGTGACTTTTGCTATTTGTGAAAGCATTATGATATGGTGATTTGGACATGAATGAAGCCGACAATAAAGGAGGACATGGTATTACTTAAAATTCACATATCCGTGAAATGTTTATATTGCCCAAAAAGTGTTATAACATCAATCTAGCCATACCATTCTACCAGGCGTGCCCAAGTTACAGCTTTTTGAGAGATTTGGAGAGTTTTTATAGCAACTCCCGATCTAGTTTAGTGCGAATTGACCCGCCGAACATTTTGTAAAAAAGTTCTGAACCTTCAAGCTCTGATTTCATCGCAAAACAACAAATTTGTCCATTTAACACCACCGACAATTTTGTATTGTACATTAAACATTCTTTCCAAAGCAAAAGTTTAGGATATTCAAAATGGGCAAAGATAAATCCGAGAAGCGCGACAAGAAGGAGAAGAAGGAGAAGAGAAGCGAAACCGATGGTGTTAAGAAATCTTCTAAGAAGGACAAGAAGGTCAAGCTCACTGAAGACAATGTCGCTGCTGCCATTGCCGAAGTTACCAAGGAGCCAGAGGACGCTGAGGTCATGGATATTGTAATTGAGGAGGATAAGGAAGGTGCAGCTGCCGAGATCAAACCAGTAGGAGCTTTAGTTCCGTTCGCAAACCCATTGGCCGATGAAAAGGTCGCAAAGAAGGTGCTCAAGAGTGTTAAGAAAGGTAAATCAATTCGCCCTTTCCTTTTTGCAATTGTTGTGTGGTCTTGATTGTGGACGCATTTTTGGGGATGAAAAATACTGACTGTCGTTCGTAGCTGCCAAAAACAAGACTCTTAAGCGTGGTGTTAAGGAAGTCGTCAAAGCTCTCCGCAAATCTCCTCAAGGTGCCAGCAATACCGTTTTCCCAGGTGTCGTTATCCTTGCTGCAGACATTTCGCCAATGGATGTCATTTCTCACATCCCAATCTTGTGCGAAGATCACAACGTACCATACATCTTCGTTACCAGCAGAGCCGAATTGGGAGCAGCAGGTAACACAAAGAGACCTACGAGTGTGGTGATGGTTACAGAGGCGAGATCGGGCGCAAAGAAGGCCGAGAAGATTGAGGGCGAGGAAGAATTCAAGGAAGTCTACAAGGATTTGGTCAAGGTTGTGGAGAAGGAGGCCAGGAATGTTAGAGTCTAAAAAGAGTGATGTTGGAGAAAAACAAAAAACTTTCTGCTTATGGGTTGGCTACAGATACACTTTTCGGCTGTATCATATTAAGAGCATATCTTACCGTGCTTGGACATTACAATGGCGTTTGTGAGTAAGGATAGGGCTAGGAATAAAGAAAACGTTCAATTTTAATTCAACCTTTGTGTAGAATGCATGTATGAAGAAACTTGTGTGCTGTCACCTGTTTGTTTTGCTAAAGTCCCGCAGCTTCATATTATCTACAGTACGTACTAACGCGCGATTCTCTGCACACTCGAAATCCTCAAATTTAGTTTCTCTATCTCTGTCTTTGCCCCCGATCAGTTACCAGTGGATGGCGAGAAGATGTTATGTTCTTCTGCTGTATAGTCTGCCTTGGTAGTTTCGCCTCAACTGACGGACTTGGACCGACGCCATCATAGCCACGAGTGTCTGAGCCAGTCACGCTGCCATCATTCCAATCTCCCAATGGCAATCGTCCGACTGCTTGGGCCAACGCGGGTTCCGTCACTTCGCCTGCATCTGTCTCCTCTTTTTCCCCATGCACACCTGTCTTAGCCTTTTGCTTCTCGTTCTCAATACTTTCTCCCTCTCCAAGCAACATTACAGAAGATTCTTCAACTGTCTGTGTATGCTCCTTTCCTTTCGATGATGATGAGTATCCCACACTTGTTTCCAATATTGCTTGCGTGTTATGCGTTTCCTCACTTTGCGATCCCTCCTCCCAATCTCCATCATAACCGCGGTCGATCTCCGCCTCGGCTTCCCGCAGGTCCTCTGTCCATCCTTGCATCTTCTCAGTCTCTTCTTCTATCGCATCAAGAAATATTCCCACCGCATCCATTTTCGAACCTATCGGTGTATCACTGTCTAGCTTATCTAGTAGAGTCTTCTTTATTCTCGCAGAATGTTGGAGTTCCTCTCTAAGTTGCGTGTCTCTTCTTGGTAAATCCAACAATAACTGTTCGGCTAAGCTTCGATTTTGTTGCTGTTTACTTTCTTCCGCTGCTCCCAGTTCTGCAGCGTCCAAAACCGCCAATCTTTTTCCTAGGTCAGCCAAATCAATATGAGTATATGGTCGATTATTGCTTGTAATGTAACCAGAGTTAGAGTCTTCTATATCTTCCTCCTTGATAGTCTCATCCTTAATGCCTAGAATTGTGTTACTACCGCGGTCAAACCCTCCAACTCTAGAAGTCGACTTATTTTCGTCCTCGGCCTTAGCTTGCGGAGAAGACGAAATAGGTGCTGTTACGCTAGCTTCAATGGCATGCGGTGTGTCAGACGACTTTCTTGCAGAATACCAGAATCTAGACTCTTCTAGTTCTCGAGGAACACTATCATGGCCGATTGGACGTGGTTCTCGACCCCAATACCATGTTGTAGATTTGCCTGGACGTACTAAAGTGGTATCTTCCCAGTCAGTAGCAAGCATGTTTGTCTTGACTCGAGGTGCGATATTTTCATGTGTCCGATTGTTAGAAGGCAGATCTGGAAGTCCTTGTTGTGCCGTGTCTTGTTCTACAAGAGTATTTCCAACTGATGTATGAGAAGTAATTTCTGAGCCTGTAGTAGTATCGCAATCAGTGGGACCTTGAGAAGTAACTTCCTGTTGATCAGAAATTCCGTTTATAAGTATTTGAGGAGCAGAATGCTGATCCAGCGTATCTTGTTCGGCCTGAGGGTTGCTTGGCTCTACATGAGAAGCAATGTCTGGGGCAGCAGCAACTTGGCATTGTCGCGAAATGCTATTCAAGAAAAGATCTGCACTGATTCGAATTTGCTCTGCTGCCACCTTCGAGATGCCTGGCTCCTGTGTTGAATAAACCCATTCTAGTTTGCCAGTCTGGGGCCAGAATATCAATCTTTCTGGTTCTCCGCCATCTGCGACACCTGCATCTCGCAACAAATTGACATATTGTAGATCACAGTCAAGATTCTGACCTGTCTCTATCAACTTCAACGTGATATTCGACTTCGCGTCCCAAAGATCCATCGTCAACTTCTCGATGACCCCTGTTCTCCAGATCTGTTCCAAATGTCCCCAACCGTCCTCATGCAAAACCCACTTCTTGGCTGTGCCCCAGCGCTGATCGAATTTAAGTTGCTCTTCGACGACTCGCAACCAATAATTCAACACTTCCGCGCACTTCTTTAATTTTCTGAGCCACTCCTCTGTTTTGCTCTGCTGAGCACGAAGTTGGTCATCTTGCATGTATACACTTCGTCCCGGTTGCGTTTCCAACAGTCCATCAACCACCTTCACAACATTCATACAGCTATCCACGAAAAATTTCCGTGTTGAATGTGATCCATATGCAATCAACAACCACCTCAAAGCCGTTGAAGAAGTTACCGTCTGATATTCCAACACTCTTCCGAGATGATATCCTTCCTGCTGACCAAAAATGGTAGTGATGTGGCTAGCAACGCTTAGTGAAGAAATAAGACCGCGCTCCAGTGCTTTATCAACATTGTATTTGAATTCTGGATAATCTGTATTGAGAAATAGCTCTTCGATTAATATGTGATTAAGCCATGTTGTGTTGAGAGACTCTCCTTCGACTGGACCTGTCAAAAATGTTACCAAAAGGGTTGGGAGACAGGGTTAAAATGCTTACCGAGCGTCGAAAAGGAGTTCTGATTTGTGGTAGGATTATTTTCCTCCATGACTACCAAGTTTCTGGAAGAAAAAGAAAAATTGTATGATAAGCTCAAGAGAACTTGCGATTTTGAAAGAGATCTGAAATGTGCTTTGTAAAGTGATTTGTGTGGATATTTGTAAAGTGTAGGAATGGTGTTGACAAAGAGAGAGTGGTTTAAATACTGCGACCAGATTGATAAATTTTCCAGTACACGTAAATGTGATTGTTCAATAAATTCAAGTTCACACAATATCATAATAATCATCATAGACTGTGGTTAAAGCTGTGAATAATTAATTATTTCGCTTGTAACAAACTCTCTCTTGAGTGAATGTTCGCTGTGTTAATTGACCATCTTCAAACAACTTTTAATGTCCGACAAATGATTTTGGTGCTTTAGTTTCTTTGAAATTACAATCCTTTCATCCACCACACCATGTTGGACCTGATAACCTCTGCTTTTCAGGTTCCCCATGAACAAGCCTCACAGATTTTTTTTCCTCTCCGCAGCCTCGTCGAAAAGTTGTTCTGTGAGTGGGCAATCAACAGGGTATGCACAACTTTCGGGGCATTTCTTCCCTGCTTCATGATTCCTAGCTACTTTACGTGAAAGTGGAGGCCACGATATGATCTCTATAGATACTGATTAGCAATCATGCCTCTAAAACTAATTGAACAGCGAGACAAATACTAACTTGTACCCTTACAAGTATGACGAACATTAAAATCATATGCCTCCATGTTTTCCAATAAATTTGGGGGGCCTTGGGATCCAGCAGCAGAAAGCTTAGGAGAATCTGGCGAAGGGACGCTCTCGTTATTAGGCTGTCCGTCGGTAAAAGCTATGGTCGCAGTCGATCAGGAGTCTTGTTGGACGAGAAATATCTAGGCGGCTGGATGCGTTCGAATATGTTTGAATACTGCGCAACGTGAGAGGAGGGGCTCAAAAATGAGGTAGTTAAGCAGACAGACAGATGCCAATAGAAAGGCTAGTGACAATACAAGCACGAATATTGGAAGGAGGTGAGGCCGGCGAGCCATTGAGGAATCGCTATATAGATCCAAAAAGATTATTAGATGTATATAAGCTATGCGCTGGTAATATGTGCTATATTGTAGATGATGTAGAGAGAAAGAAGAAAAAAGAGGAAGAGATCGCTTTTTAAACAAACGGATACACATCGTGGTTTCCTTCTCTCATGGAAATGGTTGATCGAATACTCTGGACGAGGCAGGAGCGGGTGTCGGAATCTGCATGAGAGAAGGGGAAAGAGACATAAGGTAAGAATGTGTCTGGACGGCATGTCCTTTCTTCATACTTCTCATAGAATTGTTCTGAGAATGGATGTTCGGGTCTGAATTAAAGTCCGTGGAAAGACCTTTCTCTGCTTGAATCCATTGAACATGTCAAAATTCCTCTGAATGATGAGTCCAGTTGAAATACTGGATTCGTTCAAAACATAAAATCATTTTGAAAACAGAAACTCACATCAAATCTTCTAACCCACGCAATTGATTACACTGATTGAGAAAGCACGTACAGTGATTAATTTTTCATTGACTATATTGTGAGGGGTATTTTAACATTGACGCCTGCTATACTCATCCCATATCTCTTAAGCCCCTGCTGCCCTCGCCCTAGCTTTCCTCGACTTCTCAAACCCTTTCATGCTGCGCCTTGGTCTAGCTTTAGTTTTCGTCTGCGGCTTCGCATTGAGCATCCATGCATTCATAGGTCTTCTAGCAGCGATGAATTTGCCCTCGGGAGTAAACACTTCTACTGACGGCCATGCTTTTTCGTCCGTTGCTTCCTCCTCATCTCCCCATCCCCATGTGTTATCGTTTGCGGTATTACTTTCGGCTGGGTGTGTCTTCATGAGACGTCTTTTGCTAACCTGGGCAACCAGCTCAACCCATCCACACCCCTCGATTAAGATATCTGTAGAAAGAATTTGAAATGGGAGTTCATCCACTTTGCCTTTATCAGTCAACACAGTGGAGCTTGACTTCAAACGCGCCTTCGTGACATCCCATTTTAGAGGGAAAATACCAGCCGAAGCGATCTTCTCTTCGCTTCCAGCAATTGTAATGTTATCAATAAATGGCTCTTTACCTTTACTTTGCATAAGGATGGCCTTCTCAGTAGACGTTAGATGAGCATCAGGTTTTATTGATGTGAAAGCATAAGCCATCATGATGATATCTGGATCTGTGGGTGTGATCCGAATGAGACCACCGCCTAATACTAATGACTGGCCGGGTTTCATCACTTTTTGCTCTGGCTTTATCCGAGATTTCATTACTAACAGATTTCGATATTCTGGCTGAACATGAAGCTCAAGTTCACCTCGTGATATTCCGGGAAGATCGATGAGTTCTCCCTTTCCATTGCCAAATGGAACTCGAATTGGTGATGCAGTGGTGCCAGGGAGAGATGACACGAGTGGCATTGATGGATACGGCGTTTCCTGTTGTGCTGGGGGAAGAAGAGACATCGTGTCATTCGATTCATCATCAGGCAGTTCATTCTCTGACAATGCCTTATCCGCCTTTTCTGTTTCTACCCCCATCGCTTTGAAGGTACCCATAGGTACATCAGCCTCACGAGTAATATTGTTATCAATATTTGTACCTATCGACGGAGATCCTCCGACAGTAGTTTGCTTCGCCTCTCTTCTATCTTCAAGGGCATCCACTGGAAGAGGTTCTCCAACAATGACCTCATTTCCTCCCCTTCCCTTCGGAAAGATCTCATGGAAAAGCCGACTCTTTCCCACATTAACCTTCCCAACCATCCAATTTCCCCCTCCCCTTTCAAAAACATCCTCCTTCAACTTCTTCGTCCACCACCCTCTTTCCGCACTAACACATCTAACATTCCCCAAGCGAACCCCCTTTCCCGCTCTCCCTAACGCATCCCTCAACACACTCGTTAAATAAGGCATCATCCCATCAACCAGCGTTTTCGTTGGAGCCAGAAGATCCGACCGGGTAATCACAAAATCGACTTCCATCTTCCTATCACCATAGAATCTTCCTGTTCTCGAACGACGGTTCTGGGATCGCTGGGGCGTTAGGTTCAATGTCTTGTTTAGGGCGGGTATGAAAGACATGGGGAAGTCGGCGGCATCTATAACATGATAGATATGATTGTATTTATATGGAGATTCGTCGATCGTCTGTTGAAGTGCTTGTACGGAAGGATGGTATATAGAAACGCCCGTTTGGTGATTTTTGAGATTGTGACATCGATCGCATACCGGCTGTTCTATGGATGTCGTCGCGGACGAAGGGGTTTCCATTCCCAAAGTCTCGAGAATCGTACTATCGACATTTTCCAGCGCCTTTTTGACTATCTCATCTTCTGCCGTGGTTTTTGTATGTCTCGCCAAGTGTGAAGTCCCCAGAAACTCCTTAACTGATCTCCTTGTCAACGAATAATAGCCCGCTTCATCCTCGACTGTCGTCTGTGATAATGCACCGCATCCGGCGCATTGTAAAGGTAGTCTTGCTACAGCTTGTGCTGAAGCAACTGAAGAAGATTCCGGTGTATCTTGGACCTGGGTTTGAGCTTGCGACTGGACATATCTTCGCTGTATCCTAACACTCTTTCGCGGTTGATTGTATACCAGCTTCGGGGATTGCAAATTTCGCGCAAGTAACGGGCAAAGAAAAGTAGGTATCTCAGCGACCGCACATTCCGCCTGCTTTGAGAATCTCAGGGCAAGTCTTCCATAATTAGAGAGTGGCATATCAATTATCGAACGGGCGCATTGTACTACTCTGAAAATGATCGCGAATTCGCTGGACATTCATCTCACCAAAAAATAAATTTAGTCGGAGGTCGGAACTTTTTATCGACAGGGGGTCAAAATCCTGGTCTCAAAACATCAGAAATATATTCACAAGTCAAGCTTCCCTCCAAACCTCACCCCACGATCTTACACAGTATATTTCATTTATTGTATTGACCTTCACATATTCAAGATGGTTAACTTACTAAAACGCATGGCCAAGCTTAACTCTGTAAGTAATCGTACATTTCTCTGGCAATGGTCTCAGATGCTAACAGAATTCGCAATATAGAAGGTAAAGATTTCCCAATAAACGGTATTCATTACTCGAAGATGTGAAATTGACTTTCCTGCTTCTGCGCAGTTACTCGGTATAAGACTAGGACCCGGCGCAGCGATTCTCCCACCAGAAGTTACCAGAATACACATGGACTTTGCTGTTGGATTGAATGGACATCTCGGACCAAAGTACATACCCCTCCCCCTCGATCTACTCCCCATCCGTCCCCCCACTCCCTTACCCCGTCTTCTAGATATCAACTGCAAAAGCTAATCCTCACTCTCCTCAGGAAATTCTGGCGCAACTGCCTTCCCCGCCTCAAGTACCACAACCCTGCCGTGCCCATGACTGTCAACCGCAGCCATGACACCTCCCTCCCTGCAACCCTAACCATCCACTTCACCGACGCCTCACACGCCTCCTCTCCACCCCCCATAAACAGCACCGCCTCCAATCCCGCTGCCCCTTCCACCCCAGGCGCTCCCACAGCCTACACAAAAACCATTGAATGCAAGCACCGCGACGACAACGCCATCCTCTTTGATCTCATGGAATTAACGAAGGCCAAGAAAGTCCTACCTACCGCAGCCGAGAAACAAATGCTGAAGGATTTGGCCGCGATGAAATTGAAGAGTCAACAGGATTCGCTGTTGAGTGCGGCTGTCAATGAAAAGATTCGGGCTGAGAAGGCGATTTTGGATCAGGCGAGAGGTGAGGTCGCTGCTGCTTCTGCCGATAATTAAAGAAGGGAGCGAGATAACGACGAAAGATGGTCACGGGGCGTGTAGAGAAAAACAGGGGAACTACGAAAACGAATGGACAATTTTTGTAGAATATGTTGTATATATACCAGGCGTTGAGGAGGAATACTCACATGATGGGAAAATTGAAAATGAAAATGACTAGAAACAAGCAAGGTATTTAATACATCACTGTATATGGGAAAATATGGTTACAGTAATAGTCACGCAGATAAGGGACGAGAGAAGTGATATATGAATGATCATTAACGAAGAGATATTGTCTCGTCTCATCTAATTTTGATGAATGGCTCTGCTTCTCATGTAAAAGGCATGCAATCTTTGCCGGGGTCCAAGTTCAGTCCAATTCCAAGACTCATGCAAATACCTACTCAATTGTCTAGTTCCTGAACGACAATCGAGTTACCAACGCCAATGCCGACACCAAAACCCTTGGGGCTCCATTGAATACAAAATAAAGACGCCCATCTCCACCCAACATTAGCATCACTAGCACTCTATCTAAAATGCTTTCCTTCTCTTCCTATTGTGATCGTTTCGCCACTCACATAAACTACTCCCTCCAACACCTATCCCTCACTACTTCAATCCAAATCCCTCACTCTCATGGACAGCCCTCCAAAGTTTGTCCTCCAACTTTTCCCTCGTCGCATACCTCCACAAACTCAACGCATTAAAGCACGTCCTTGCCACCGGGAATCTCTCACTGTCGTCCCCCAAACAATTCAATTTAATAACCAAACTAGCTGCACCCATTGCCGGAATACAAGAACTGCCTGTAATAAAGCTCAAAAGTTTTCTCTGATCCTTTGGATCCGCTTTTTGAAAGGATTCCCAAAACCATTGGATGACGGGTTCGCGCTCTGCTGCATCTTTTGGCCCCCAATTTTCACACACTGAGACGGCGCGGAGTGAATTTATGTCTAGAGGCTCATCGGAGCCTCTAATGAGGAGTTCAATTTCCTCGGGTCGGAAAAGTGATAAAGCATTTCCTCCACAAACGGTGAAGAATCCACGTTTGAAGGGTTCAAACTGTCGAGCTACTGCACTGTCTAAAAGATATCGCACGTAAAGATCCACGAATTCTCTTCGATTGGAGTTCGTCACCGGTTTCTTGTCGCCGTCAGGGCAGAGAGGTACTTGGACTGTTTGTCCATAGCGATCAATGTCTGCTACGAAATCGCGACAGAATGTTTCCTCAACGTCTCCATCAAACTCGAGGAGTTGTCTCAGCCCATGAGCCAGAGCAGGTCTAAACTCGGCCAAGTCCTCTAGAGAATATGTCATAGAAGGCTTCGCATGTGATGTTGCACCGGGTGCTGCAGCTGGGGCAGCGGCGAGCAATTTTCGGAAAGCGAAAGGAGGCAGCGCCACATCGAGAATAGTTGAATTGTAGATAGCCAAACCAAGTACAGCCCCAACAAGAAAGTATTGATCGGTTGTTTCAAAGCTATTAGGATTAAAGTAACAAAAGTGAGAGTCCTCATCGTATGAGAACATGCCTACATATTGTTAGTTTACCATCTTAATCACATCGGAGGAGATACATACCATGATCAGGGTTGAAAACTTCTCTAACAAGAAGAAGGAACCATTCTTTTCTCAAGCCACCAGCATCAATACCCTCTTCGCCCTTGAATTCTATCTTCAAACTCTTCTTAATCTCCTCACCACCAGTTCCCACAACCTCACTAACCCCTTTCAAGCTATCCTCCACCAAGCACTCTCGTCTGACTTGCAAAAGAAGATTCTGACTGACTAGTTTACGTGTCATGATGCTATTAAAGAACGCCTCTCTCGCCTTCACTTCCATTTGACGACGAGCATCATGCTCCATGATTTGAATTTTAGCCCAAATGCTAAGAAAGAATGGATATTGGCAAAAAGCAAACTTGCTACGCTTGTTTTCCCATGCCTCAAAATCAGCGACAAGATCGGAGTAATCGAGCAAGGTATTGTAAAAGTGGCTTGTCGGTAACATCTGCCCATGTGCGGCCAGAGCTCTAATCGGAGTTCCAATACTAGGTTCCGTACTTTTTGACAGATACTCGGCTGGCGATTGAACGCTACTGAGTAACTTGCCTTTTCTATGCAACCCACTATTGTTGGCCGAGAAAAGAAGTGCCATCACCCTAGCAGCCGCCCTGATCTGCCAATCATCACTATATACAACAGCTTTTTGTTTCGTCTCCTTTTTCTTATTAGTACTCTGCCCAGCTTGAAGAGCCGCGTGAAAAGCTGCAGCGTTATTATGGGATTCTCTAGAACTCATGTGAGGAACTAAGCCAGAAGTGGGGTCGGGTCGATCAGCCTCGCGAGGTTTTCCATGCTGTCTGGTAAGTCTATAAGTGACAAAGCTGCCGACCAACTCTGTGGTACGTTGGAAATGACCCTCTGGATATCTAGCGAACCACGAAACTATATGATGATGGCATTCATTTGGAGTATTGGAAAGCAGCCCCACAATACGTTTGATGATTCCTGAGTGTTGGCCGGACGCTCCTTTTGTAACATTCGGTGGTTGTTTAGAAAAAGACGAAGGTTGACCTCTAGTTTTAGTCACATTGAGATCACTGGTTTCCGGTCTCTGGTCATTCGGTGGCGCTCTCGGCCCTGGATTTCTTGAAGCCGTACCATTTCCAGGGTACAGAAGAGGATTGGCTAGAATTATCAAGAGAAATCGAAGATTATCAGGTTCCCGTAGAGGACGCCCGGGACGTTTCAATAGACTTTCTGTAGCCTTCAACAAAATTCTCTGAAGATGCGACTGAGCCTCTGTGATTGTATCCTCAATTTCGGCAAGCTCGCTATCAGTGGGCGCTTGAATGACCGGGCTGGATCGACGTGATATTAATTCATCCAGTTTGCGATGCCAAATTCTTCCCGGATGCGATACGACATGATACCATTCATTGAGATCAGGCCAGTCAATACGAGGTGATTTGACTGTAGTAAGGTCGCAATGAGGATTCGCGCGTATCGTTTCAACAGGTCGTTGCCCGCGAGTTTTTTCAGGGGTTTCTTTTTGGTTTCCAGTCCACCAAGAACCATTCTCTGCAATATCTCCCAACATCAACATTCGGGGATCAAGTTCTTCCAGAGGAGTCTCTGACTGCGGATCATTTTCGTCTGGAATAGTGGCCATAAAATTCTTCAAACCACTCTGACTTCCTGCCCTAGGATTGGGATGTTGTCGCATAGTACTAAACGAAGTATTGATACAATCGAACTGGCTAAATGATGCTGTAATATATTCTTCCAAGGGTCTAAAGAGGTTTCTGGTGATATTATCTTGTCTTCCGTGCATAGGTTCATCGAACTTTCCCGGCGGATGGGGAGGACTTCTACTTGGCGGTTGACTAGCCAATTCTTTAGAGTAAGTACCAGAGCCCATTCGATCACGTTTTTCCATATGGGCGCCAAGGAAACTGCCAGGGGATGAAGTTGAGTAGGGCATTGAACGCGAACCTGGCCGTCTTTGAGCGTCTATACTTGGGCGATCTCCAGAACTGTTTCCGCGTCCAGGAGGAGGGGGTCTAATGGGAAGTGCTTGTGAACCAGGTTGATTGAAATGTCTGGGATACTGATATTCTTGCGGGGATTCCGTCGTTTCAAATGTAGGTGACCTTGGCGGACTTGATAGTGTACTACAGGCATCGGTTCCGTCATGCTTTAGTCGATTGATCAGGTAGGTAGTTATACATCGTTCCGCAATTCTTCGAGTTTTCTCCACAGATAATGGCGCGACTATAAAGGTCAGATATGAGATCTATAACAGATTATTCCACTCATAGCATACCTCTAGAGAATTGGGGTTTACTCAACCCAGAGTAAGTCGTAGATTTACCACCTCCTGCCACTCTGAGTCCATCATTATGAGCTGGAGTGTATGGTTGAAGATCGTTCACTGTCATACAAACTTTGCATCGAAACGTGTGAAGTTCTTTCGGCCAACTCACGCTCGAATTGCAAGTCATACACTTTCCCGTCAAAAAATCCTTGTCTGGCACCCTCGAAGACCTAGCCCCTGTATTATGTTCCGGTGATATATCGTCGTCATCAAAAAACCCAATTCCAGGTGGTGTCGGCGCGGTCACCTTCTTCTTGCTATTAAACAGCGATGGGAAAGGGTGGCTCATAGATCTCCCATGGCTCGAAGTCGGTTTGGTGGAATTCGAGGAGTTCGAACCCGAGGGACCTGGCCGACCGACCGTGGTCAATGTCGGAATACCATAAGCATTATCCAAGATATCTGCCTCCGTAATCTTTGCTCTCCCTCTTATTTTCGTCGGCGAATCAGGTGCTGCTCCAACGGTAGCAATGCTCGAGCCAGAATCGATCCGTGCGCTCGAAGAAGCAAGTAGGCGGCTAGACCAAGGTGCCATTTTATTATTTTCAAACGATGTCTGCGAAGTGCAGGCGTTCTAGTTTGACCATCGGGTCCTCCAAAAGTATTTTGCGAGATCAATTGTAAATGTTGTGCGAGGGCAGTAGCTCAGTTCCCTTCTCGTGTGGTATATCCAAGCTATCTTTTGTTTTCGTAATCGAGAGTCCGTCCGTTCGTTCGTGCTTGAACTTTAGGGGCAAGTGGTCTCGGGCTCTTTCCTAAAAGTATTCTCATGAAATTAACATCTAAAATTACGAGTAGTGAATGTTGCATTAGATTTTGACCTTCGTGCCAAATCCTCAAAGGGGGATCTTCTCTCACAACAAACATGGATTGGTCATTTACCGTTATCGTATAAATTTATATTGTTAATCTTGCAGGTTTATCTCAGTACATATTGGGATGGATGTGGGCTAAGGTAGGTTTCCCCACAAGAAATGCCTGGATTTGATGTACGACCTAGTAGTGGTGGTAGTGTCAAGATAGTGTAGTAGTAGTTTATGCATAATTGGAATGGCTTGAAAACGGAAGTGTTATTCCTTTGCCAAGAAATGTGAAAATCTTCCCTGGTTGACAAGAAAAAATGGAGGAAGAATGAATACGAGACATGTTGAAACGACCTCGGAGTTTATCGAGAAGAAGTTAGGATTTGGAAGTGTGTTGTGTTACATTACATGTTCGTGATGAGATTTTAAAATTTGTTGTGAAATATATATGGGGAAGAGAAGAATGTGTAGGGAAATAACTTAATCATTTCTTGGCTTCCCGACAGAGCGAAATTGTATTAAAATTCATCCCATGTATTCACATTTTCATTGGTCACAGAACAAGATATCCAAAAATCCATGGTACTTTCACATAGTAGAAGATTCGTAAATTCATAAAAGTTTTGGGTATGATGGGAAAGCTATGCATTTTTGCATTAACTACCAGCGCGCCATGAGGCCATAAAATAATCCTTTCATTCCCTTGCCCAAGCAAGCAACAACACCTGACCAACCCCTGATTACATTTATCTGTATCTTTGCAACTTGAGGGTGTTGTGCTTCTTCCAGGTCTTTCTGCGGCCAGCGGTGGTCTTGTTGAATCCGTGACCCTTTCCGAGACCACGGGACTTCTTTCCGGTGGCGGTCAATCCACGAGATTCTCTGTGCTTGTGGACTGGGTTGACGATCCAGTTAATACGGGGGTCGCGACGGATGGCCTTGTGTTGAGGATCAACGAGGATGACCTCGAAGTATTTGTAGGTAGAGTCTTGGTTGATCCAGTAGGAGTTCAAAACTCTCAAGTTGGCGCAACGACGACCGACACGCTCCTCAGCGGTGGACTTGAGGGATCTTTGGTACTTGAGTTGGTTTACTCCCTGGTTGGTTGGCTTTCCTATAATGCGAAATTTGAGTTAGTAAATGCAGATTTTTGAAGAGAAAGCATCGATTCCTTCTGTCAAATAAAGGATAGAACGTACCGTAGGTGGCACCCTTTGGAACTGGGCGCTTGCGGCCACCACGACGAACACGGACACGGTAGATAACGTATCCTTGCTTGGCCTTGTAACCGAGACGGCGGGCCTTGTCTGGGCGGGATGGACGAGAAGCACGGTGAACGACGTTCAATTGTCGGAGCTATATTATGCACTCTCAGCTAAGTTCAACGAGTGTATAGCAGAGACATCAAAGATGTCCACAATATTCCAATTTGCTTGTCCGAAGACCAAATTTTCTAATAATTGAAGTCGATCGAGATCGTCTCTTGGGGTCGTTTTTATCTTACCTCCCAGCATCGGACACGGAGAAGGAATCGAAGCACATCAGATTGCTTCTTCTTCTGAATTTCCTCGAGATATTTAAGAGCACCCATCTGTTTGCGGAGAATTGAGGTTAGCAAAGTTCCATCTGAGAACCATCAAAATCTAATTTGTGGTAGAGCTGGGAAGAAAAATCGAAGAAATCCAATTCCGACGAGCATCTGCAATTCTAGAAGTATATTCCTCGTCGCAGATGATTTATCTGAAATCTGCATTCGAACGAACTTGATTTACTAACCTTGATTGATCTTGGGAGTTGTCGGCGGCGTCGATTGTCGTGTTGTCTAAAAGGAAAAAGTTCTTGAGAATCAATTTTGTGAAAATCAATGTGCGATTTTTTAGCGCGTTCGGGTAAATTTTCTTTTAAGCCTGAGGCAATATGTCAGAAGTTTCCCACTTCATTATCCACCAGCGGCCCCTCCACTCCAACGTCCGGTAGGACGAAAAACCCGTGATCCTAAAAATACATCCTCAACTTGGAATTCAAAGTCAAGTCAGACAGACAATCATTATCTTGAATTGAAACTTTTATGGATATATTCGGGAGCTTCTATTGTACGATAAATTGGACATTGCTAGCATGCAAATCTATACTGATTGCATCCGCACATTGAATCCAATTCCAATCTTCTCGCTCTACTCCAAACATTCCCTTCTCTCCATACATCTCGTTCTCATCTCCTCCTCCCCTCAGCTGGAAACCCACTACCCAGATTCCTCACAACTTCCTTCTTCCCTCCTCTTCTCTCCCCGTCTCCCCACCCCCACACAATAATCTCAATACTTCACTTAACCCCCTCACCTCCCCTCACCTCCCCTCAGCCTACCTCGCTACAAACAAATCAAGTCAACTAAACGTCTGTATACTATGCAGTCACCATCAGTATCAAAATCCAGATTAGCATCAACATCAATCACTCACATCAACTAAACCCACCACCTCACACCATGTAACCGGCCACAAAGTACTCTACTCATTCCCCCAGCCCCTATAAATCATTGCCTCCCTGTTTCTGAATCCTCATCTCCTTTTGCAACTCAATCTACCTCATCGTATCCTCCACCTCAAGCAACACATTCCTCGACGAGATCTCGCTTACACTTCTTCATTATCTCCGGGATATCACAAGGTCTGAAGTAGTATTCCCTACAGCCTACACCAGCCAAGTATTTAGCTCAATTCTCTTCATTCGCGACTATTTCATACTCGGCAAGGTTTGCCAGATAACACGTACCGTATTCATCTTAAGGCTACTAGATGATAATATCTCAAAGTCGACAGAAGACAATATAGTATACACACTATAATACAGCTACATGTCCCACAGCCAGAATAGCGAAGTTTGAAAATATGTTCAGCAAATTTTAGAACTCTCCCATCTCGTTCCATTCCCTGATCCTCCTCGTACCACAACTCAACTCCTGCTCTCAAAAGCCTTAAGCAATTTCTTATGAGCCCTCTCATGTTTCTTCGCCTCCTTTCCCCAGCCAGTACTGCTTCCCTCTTCAACAACCGGAAAGAATTTCTTCGAAACTTCAAGTGCATCCGTCTCTAAGATCTCCGGCTTTGAAGCATTCACAATACACTCGAATTTATTCAGCCCAACCATTTTCCCCAGTTCAAGCATCTTAGCAATCTCTTCATTCTCTTTGCTCCATTTGTTGCCAAACAATCCAGCCAACTCCTTTGCGATATCTTTCTTGGCCAAGTTATCAAATTGCGAAATCAACTCCAACGCCCGTGTAATCATGATTCGACCTCTTTTATGATTCAAAGAGAAATCAAAAGAAACAGTTTTGAATGGTGCCGACAAAGAATAAGCAGCATGAAAGCCTTCCAGAAAGTCCTTATTTTCAATTGAACTAGAATAGTTAGTCAGTCCGTAGTTCAAACTGTTAGCCAGGAAAGTTATACTCACACCTCTCTCTCCAATTCTGCCGCCGCTTCCTTGAAGTCCTTCACATCTCTCTCCACAGTCCCAATAAATTTCTCCATAAACTGCGCTTTCGCTCTCTCGGCGCTCTTCTTTTTCTTCCTCTCAAGATTGTCGAGCTCCAGAAAATCACTTTGTTAAATCAAGTCAGTACACACACTGCAACCAAATAACACTTCAAACGCTCCGCATACTTGCTAGCCTCTTGTCCCGAATCCTCGTCCCCATTATCTTCATCCTCATCCTCATCCTCATCCTCATCCTCATCCTCATCCTCATCCTCATCCTCATCCTCATCCTCATCCTCATCCTCATCCTCATCCTCATCCTCCCTCTCTCCCAACCCCCCTCCACCAATCCTCGCAGGCTCCGACACTCTTCCCTTTTTCCTCTCCTTCTTTTTCTCTTTCCCATCTCTCCTCAAACTCTTCTTATCAAACTGATCCGCAATACCACTCATATCCTTTTTCTCCCTCCCATCCCACCTCACCCCCTTCTTATCAACCCAATCCGCAACCGCACCAAACCCCTCCTCTCGCTCCTCCCCATCCAATCCACTTCTATCTCCACCACTCTTCCTCGTCTTCACCCTCCAATTCGGCAAATCTCCTTCACACGCGACAACATTTCAAGTTAGATACTTGCTTCCACATTTCATCCCCAAAGAAAATAAAAATAACAATGCCAGAACAAAAAAACCAAGCATACAGAAATCAACAGGCAACTCACCTTCAGACTTGCGTTTTGATTTGCGCACCATCTTTGTTATACATATATATATATATGGATAGGTATGTGTAAGAAATTCAATGGATGGCGTGTAAACGAATCCGAATCACAAGATTAAGAGCTTCAACAAGACTCAAGATAGAGAAACGAAAGATAAACTCCGACAGAAGACAATCAATATTGAGGGAGTATTCAAGCACACATCAATCGAATCTTCCCAAATATAAACATAAAGTTCGAATTGAATTCAAGATCAAAGTCAAAGGTAAAGATGAAAGTGAAAGTGAAAGGAGCACAAAGTGGGTCCATCCACCATCCATCATCCGCTTCCTCCCCGCTCGCGAAACCTTTCCCCTCAGTCCAAAGTTCCTTCCCCAGCAAGGTAGTAGAAAAATCCGAAATAAGAAGGACCTTTCAAGAAAACAAAATCTCTTTTGTTTTCTAATAAAAGAATTAACTTGCGCAACCATCTTACTGTATTGTATGTACCTATATAAAAACCCAAAATCTCTATCCGAAGATCAGACTAACAAAACCTTGCCGCCCCTTACTAGGGGCGGGAGGAGAAACCCCATGATGGCGGTTTTTTTAGAAGACCCGGTGTGACACTCCTAACCGCTACACCACGAGGTGCCGGTATGCTCTTCTCTTTCGATTTGGCGTGTTTGTCGACGAGAAGAGATGCGTATTTGGCTTTATACAAGAGAGAGGTTGTAAGTTTGAGGAATGGACAATAGGGATTATGCTGACTGCTTATATATTTTGGTTCAATCCGCTCATTTGTGCTGTGCTGTCATCGCAAGCATACAATATCATATCACATCACACATTGACCACTTCAATTCAAAATAAACAGCCCAGTGTATGAATTCCATTCTTGCTACCGATTCCCTTATCCATAACCGTAATGCCTCAAAACGTTTCCATTCCATCTCAGCGACGATTCGATTCCCCGCCTCCTTGAATCATAGAAGAACAAAAGACTACAAAAAAGGCAACAAATAAGGCCAGAAAAAGAATCAAAAACCACAAAGCAATGAAAAAACAAACATGCATCCATCCATTATCCTTTGCAAATTTACCCAATCTCTTTTTTTCCCACTTGACACCGCCGTGTTTTGAAAGATCTATCTATCAATGGAGTTCTTGAAAATTGTTGTTTTTTACTCGTTAAGTCGTGGTAAGGCGTCAGGGTCCCGAAGACGCAAAGGTGCAGTCCTCCTGACTAACTGTGGAACAAAAATGGTATCGACGAATTGAAGAAGTAGAATAGTATGTCCAGTGTGTTGTGTACGAATCCGATGCCTGTCTCCGATTATGTAGTAAATCCAGAAGTATCCCCATTCCGAATGAAACCTTCTCAATTAACCTCTATGATCAATTTGCAATAAAAGTGTAGTATTCCAGAAAACGTTGTTCCAGTACGTCTTCATAGTATTTAGTATCTCCCGACCCATAGAAACAATGTGCTACCTGGTGCAACGCAATGTGAAAATGAAATAAATGAATGTGTAGATAGTATGTTCATCTAGAACATGTAGAGATTAGGAAACAGGGCCGATGAGAAGGGCATCTGTGGTATATTACAACAGAAAAATGTATCTAGTCTCCAGTTCTGTAGGAGTGTGCCGATGATAACTCACCATCTGGAAATGAAAAAGGGTATCAAAACCAGAGGCAAGGGCTATGACTGTTATAGACTTGCTTATGATTTGCCAAAGTAAAGGGTCGAAAACGTGCGTATGTTCTAATAGAAACCCATTTTTAACGAGTTCCCATAGATAAGCCCTGGAAAGCTCCGATCCAAGCATCCGATTGACCAACGAGTCCAGTCTGTCGACCGTATTCGCTACCATCATGAGTTGGGGTAGTGCCATGAGAAGAGGGGAATCGTCCAGGTGCTTGATAATCCGCTGTGTTTGCAAATCCAGAATATGGGTCAAGCATTGAAGTACCATAAGCACTCGCAGCACCGACATTTCTGGTAGAACCAAATGGAGAATATCCATAAGTGTATCCTTGAGATTGAAAGCCAGGAGCAGCTGCAGAACTTCTGTCCATAGCTGGCTGAAATGGTTGTGCAAAGACACCTTGGTAACCTCGGCCTGCTTGCGTTGTGTTGTATGTTTGTGGCTGCTCGGCCTGTTGTGGTCGACGCTCACTTTGTGGAGTTCTGTTTACACCTACAGCTCCAGGTCCGATGCCGCTTGGTGCTTGCAAGCCAAGTGCGGGACTTGCGAAAGAAGCAGGGTTGATGGCGGACATCCAAATTCTCGTCTTGTATACTTTGAACAGGTCCGTAACGAGGGAATTGAAGTTGATATAGGCATCAGCGAAGTAATAAAACGTAAGCTTCTTCCAATCCCTAAATTTGAATGTAAGCTTATGTCATCGGAATAGCTGGCGTAATCATTAGTCGACTTACATCTGAAATTCGGCATCTAGAATCTCCATGTGGAGACCATGCTCTTTCACCTTCTGCGTACAAACACGCTTGGCCTTTGCTTCATTTCCTTCCTTATCACGCAAAGCTTGAATTTCATGATTTTGAGCAAGGCGCTTGATGATCTTGGGCTTGATCTCTCCTGGGTTAGGTTCCTGCATGCCGTGCTGACTTGGTGGACCCATACCGCCTACAGCACTTCCTTGCATACCATTCGCAGCAGCCATTAAACCAGCACCAGTTCCATCGGTATTACCTACAGCACCCTGAGAGTACATCATGAGCCACTTGTAGTGCTCTTCGGCATAATGCTCTTTGAGTTCCTTGGCAGTAGCCCAGTCCACGTTATCCTTAGCAACGGTGCCTAGATCGGTACCTCGATCAGCTTCAACAATCACAAGATCTCCAGGCTTGACAGAGAGACCAGTGCCTTCTTGAACATAAAATACATCTGCGCGGGAACACTTGAACAACACAATATACAGTAGTTGATTGTGTCGAGGTTGTGGAACGCCATACATGCTTCGATGAGGTGATGCAGGGCGGCCAGTAGAGTATTGATTGACATTTCCGTAAGGGTATGCAGAAGGATTGAAAGGGGATGGACCTGGTTGAGTAAGATTTCCGAAGTATGAAGCTGCTGCGTTGAGTTAGTATAAGGATGTCAATTCATGCCTGCCTACAGCTAAGGACATCTCAGGAATTTATGAATATTGCTTACCATGGTCATTAGTAGAGTAGCCATTGTTTTCATTATACCGACCCGCATTTGACGACAGGCTCTCGTGGATAGATGCATCGAGTTGTGACAACGACTCACCAACCGCCGAGCTGACAGAACCTTGTCGAGCAGGTATATCAGCGAAAGAGTGGCGCCTACTCTGCGGGATATCGGACATTCCGCCGAATCCGAGTGAGCTTTGCCAATAGGCCTTCTTCACATTCTCCAGCTTTCTGTTTTCAAGAGTGTACGGCGAGGCTCTCTGGGCGCCAGCAATACCATACTCGCTCATTCTTCGGCCTAACATCGCCTTGGATGGATCTTGTAAATCGTTGAGCTCGTCGAGTTCGTCAATTGCATAATCTGACTCTTCAGGTAGAGGTTCTTCCTGCAAGCCATAACCATTACCAAGGCCAAAAGGATTGGAGGTTGAAGATCGTGGTCGGAGGCGCAGATTCTGATATTGTTGCTGTTGTCGTAACATTGCATTTTCTTTAGCTAATAACTCTATAGTCTTGGCTTCTTGAGATTGAATTTGAACACCATGAGAAGAACTGTTAGTACTCTCATCATCATCATCCTCAACTTCCTTGACTTTTCCAAGACCGCCCTCGGTCATTTCGCTCAACATACTTGGCCGGGATGGTCGATGTTGCAATCCGGAATGTCCAATTCTATGTCCCCGACTAGAAGCCGCTGGAACAGCTGCTGGGGGTGGGCCAGCACTTGTATCTGGGTCGAGCTGACCGACGGAGTACGATTGGGATCGGTAGGTCTTAGGAGTGGGGTGGAGAGGGATTGCGAATGGGATGGGTTGATTCGCTGAAGGGTCTCGTTGACTCATCATTTCATTAGGAAAGTATCCATTTCCAGCTGAGCCCGGTGGATGCATAGAAGTTGGAGATGGTAGTACTTCAGTCAATCTAGAGGGTGGCTCTTTACGCGACTCGCTGTTCCAAATAGCACTACCCCATGGGAATGAGCTCGTACTTGTATGTCCACGACCTGCTGCTGCTTGGGCATGAGAACCCCAGAGGTTGGACTCAGTCGAGGGTGTACTGGGATGTGAAGCTGTTGGAGACATGCTACTACTTGCGAACGAGCCCTTTCGTGGCTGAGTTCCAGCTTGAGGTGCGTCGTTCAACCATGAGGCACGACGTGCAGGTGGTTTTTGAGGTGGATTGACTGGCTGTTGGATGTCCTGCCTGTCAGGTTCATCATCAGAACTTGCCAAAGCCTCCGAATCTGGTGTTGAGCGGCGCTCATTGAATTTGCCGAGGAGGAGAGAAGGATTACTTGATGTCATGGATGAAGGATTAGATTGGTTAGCCTTGCCACCGGCTCCGATCTTATTATTGCTTGAACTCATGGTGACTAACTAGAAACTGTTAGTTCTCTGTAGAAGGGAAAATAAGAAAGCTGCTCTAAATTGAGATCTAAAGTAAAGAATTGTATGTTATGTTGGACTTGTGCTATTGCAACTTGCAAAGGCTGAACTTAAATGTTCAAAGTTGGAAACCGTATACTCAAGTGAGCAGGGGAGTGAGCGAGTGAATTATATTGAAAAAGAGGGGTTATCACAACACGAAGAAAACCACAGGAAAGAATCCCAGCAGCTTCTCATGCAGTCAATGTAAGATTGAATATGCGCAATAGATAGCAACCAAAGCTGAAGACTATCGGATAGATCGAAGGACGAAAGAATAATATAGTGATAAGAACTTACCAAACCAATAAAGAGTCTTGCCTAGAATTATAATCGGGTCTCGTATTGAAGTAATTTTTGAGAATGACCAAACTACTTGATAGAGTCTGCTTGGCAAAAGGGGGGTCAAGTCGACAGTAAGCGAATTTGTAGAATTGGCCG